CCGTTGCTGGACAATGTGATTGCGCCAATGTGGTGAGGAGCGCTGGTGCTGGCAGGTTCAAATGTCATGGCACCGTTGGTGATGGAAAGGGAGTCAATGCCAGGCCAAGTACTCGCCAAGCGCCCGGCACTGAGCGTGCCATAGACCGTCACCTGCGCAACGTACAGCACCGAGTTGGCTCCAGCCGTCCACGTGTTGGAAGCAGCGTGGCCGAGGGAGTCCAAGGTTAAGCGACCCGACGACCCAATGGTCAGCGAGTCGGCGCGCTCGGTGAAGATGCGGTCACTGAACGTTGTTTGCTTGTTGATCACCATATTGCCATTAATGGTGGCTGTGTTAAATGCGGTGTGATAATTGGCAGCCTCAAACTCAAGAACGCAGCCAGCATCCACGTGCAGCGTCTTCGTGTTGAGACTGAGCAAGCTGCCGTCCAACCTGCACGTGCGGCCCGTCACAAAAGACAGAGTCACGTCCAAGTCACCATCCTCAGGGCGTCCAATAACGCTGGCCGCACGCTCGATTCGGTTGACGGTGCCTGCCAGGCCCTCAGCATCCAAAGTAAGCTGGCCCGTCACCGTTACCGAAGTCAACTGCATAAATTGAATGGGCTTTTCAGCTGTGAACGTGCCATCTACGCTGAGGCTCTGCAAGTGCCAGGGCGTGCCGGCGGAGACGGGGTCTAACTTTAATACACCAGAAGATTGCACCGTAACAGCGGTGGTCGCGGCCGAGGTGATGAAATGCACCAGACCAAAGCTTGCAGTGCCCGAAACGGTGAGCTGGGCCAAGAAGAGGCCAGAAGAATCTTCACTGGACCATGAGCCCAGCTGCCCGCCAAGGTAGTCCAACTCAAAACGGCCGCGCGTGTTCACAGTGACAGTCGTGGCTGCAGCCGAGAAGCCGCTCAAGGATGTTGGCTTCAAGAAGAACAAATTGGCGTACGTCACGGAGAGCGTGTCGATGCGAGTGGTGCCCGAGGCCTCAACGACCAACTCTGCCGTCTTGGACGGCGAGTTTTGGCCGGCCAAGGTCAAGGTATTGACAGAGAGCGTTGACTTGCCAAGCAAAACGTCTGCATCAAGCAAGACGGAGAGGGAGGAGGCGGTCACCACTGAAGCCTCTGGGGCCCATTGCGTCAGGACCACATGCACGACGCCCTTGACGCCCTGGCTGTCAACAAAGGGATAATCGCCCGGGGCAGCAAAGTTACGGATGCAACGGTAGGAAGCGCCGGAAGCACAGGCCGCAATGCTGGCGTTGCTAAACGTGAGACCGGTTTGGTAATTGTGCCAATGAAAATCGATACGATCGTCAAGTGCAATGGTGATCTCGGCCACAGCCAGGGGATTGGCGGGAGGCCAGGCCAGGGCATGTGCCTTGGGGCCTTGATTGTGAGCATCCAGTTTCAAGACGGAGGCAGCGGTCACGGTCAACGTCGATACAGTCAAATCTGCGGACATGTCAAAGGCCACTGTCGAGCTGCCAGTCACAGTCAAACTGTCAAGTGATACATCGTAGCTGCTTGCATGGCTTTCATCTGCGTGAAACCAAAGAATACTGGCGCCCTGCACCGTAAGACTGCCGTCGTCTATGGAGGCACGACTGGCAGCTGGCCCCAGCTCCACCCGAGCCGCGTTGAGCGTCACAAGCGAGTTGCTGCCCAAAGCGAGACTTCCGTTGAGCAGAGCAATGCCGGAAAGCGTCTTGGCGCCAGTGAGGTGGTTCAGGTCCAACACGCTACCAGTTCCACTGAGCATGCGACCAGTGAACGTCGAACCCAGGCGAAGAGTCTGGGTATCGTGGAGGACGAAAGCACCCGCTTCTGCGTTGAGCACACCGACGCTCAGAGTGTCAGTGGCGCTGCCTGCCGAAGCAACGGCACCATGAAGCAGCGTCAAGGTGTTAATAGTGCGATCGATGCCCCCGCCAAGGTTCATCCAGTAAGAGCCTGACAGGGGTACAACGCCGCGCTGATCATCAACGGCCTGCGAAGCAAAGGCGGTGTTGACATCAAAGTCGATGAAATTATGAAGCGATCCAGGATCGAGGATGAGTTCACCCGTAGCAAAATAGATTACGCCAGGGCCACCGGGTGCTGAGTAGGCACCACGATTCACTGTCACTTGAAAGCTGCAGTATTCTCCGGCCAGGTACGCAAAGACGCGAGTCGTGCCGAGATGAAAGGTAGTGCCTGAGGGCGGTTCAGCTGTAGCACCGGGTGGAGCCGCAAAGGTGACGACGGCACCGCGAGCATTGGGTGGAGCCGTGACAACCATGTCGCTTGGGCAAGATGCTAAAGTAGGACTCCAGACGGAGTTGGTTGTAATGATGGTGCGCGTACACTGGTCTGAAACAAAACTGGTGTCTGCAAATGTGACTGAAAAAGTCTGCTGAAGCACGTTAACAGTACTGCTGGACGATTGTGTAAAGGTCGCTGACGATGTGGGAGCGCTGTCTGCGGCGAGCAGGGGCCACGTTGACGTGTAGGCACTTGTCTTGGTGCGAGCAACATCGTAGGCTTGAGGCAGGGCGATATCCACGCTCGTGCGACCGTCAGAGATGGCAACCAAGGCATTCTCGCCGCAACTGTTTGAAATATGGACATGCCCAGGGACAAAACAAACAAGGTGGGAAAAGCGCAAAGCATGAGAAGATAGCAATAAAGCACCCTCAGGTGAACATGAGGGACTGGGTAAACGCAGGGTCGCGGAGTGTCCGTGTTGAGACAACCCATGTAAGCAAGCACCGAACACCTACCCATCGAGAAACATTGGGCCCAGCTTGGGCCCAAAGAGTCCAGTGTCTTGCGGCAGTCCGACTGTCATGCCAAGCACGCAACAAGCGATCGAACCACAGGCAACAGAGAAGTGAGAATACTTGATGCGCGCTTCAGAAGTTGCACGACGGAGATTCAAGGTACGTACGATCCAAGCCGACGAGGTCGAAGCGAAAGGCTTCAGTGGCCACCGTAGGCCGAATGCGCACGCAATAGGCCCATGTGGGTTGGAAGCGGCGCAGTACTTTGCTAGTTGTGTCTCCCGAGCCGAGGAAAAGACGCTGCTTGCCAGAATCTGAAAAGGGGATCCACGAGTTGCAGGTCGGCACCTCACTATAGTCCAGTCGAAAAGAGCTGAGGAAGCTGGGACCGGCGTTGAATTTGTTGATATAGGTCACCTCACTGGTGGGCTGGATGTCGTCCTCCGGGAACGGGTAGTTACCGATGTCCGCGACGCCTTGAACGGCAATACCGGTGAGAAGTCGCAAGCGGTCCATTGACACGGTGAGGCTTGTTCCCGCCCAGCCAGCTGGCACAGTCGTGTTGGGCACGGCCGCGGGGTCATCAAGCCCCGTGAGATCTGGTGTAAAGGTACCCGAGTATGATACAGGGGTGGTGTACGGGTTCCAAGAATTGCATGCATAACAGCTGGCGTTGACACATTGGCGGCAAGTGCGTGAGCGTCGAGTGTAACTGTACCATGTGGCAGGTCCAGCCGCAGTCAATGCGCCGCTGGCCTGAACATCAATGGGTGTGGGAACACCTATGGGAATGAGAACGAAGGGGGTTGAAGAGACAACGGGGATAAATATTAAGTAACGCTGAACGTACTCCCTTGACCGGGGGAAAAAAAAAAATTCAATACCAGGCACAGACATGGCCAAGGTCACCAACCATTGGAAAGTCCACCATAAGTGGTGATGATACCACTGGCACCGAGGTTGTTGGTTGCGTCGATAAAGACCTATGTGAAACAGAAGAAAATGGCGAGTGAGTCGGGTTTAGCAAGGTTTGGCAGGCTCTTGGACAGCTGGCGTAGGATGCAGGGAGCTAGACAAGCAACTGACCTCGCCACCACTGCCACCACCCGAGGCACTGTGTCCACCGTTGGCATGAATGTAACCAGCGCCAGACAGGGAGGACGCCAAGATGCGAATGGTACCACCAGAACCGCCACCACCCGAGGAGCCTGCTGTGGCGTCTTTGCCGTCAGCGGTCAGCTCGCCATTGATGGTCACGGTATAGCCCGGGGCATTGATGACTATGGCACCACCGCCAAGACCAGCGCCAGTTCCGCCACCCGGCTGACCACCACGTTGGTTGAAATCAACCGCAGTGGGGGACTGGGCAGGGCCAAGAGGCGCGGAGCTTGGGCCACCGCCGCGCGCCCAAAAGCTGCCTCCACTTCCAGAGGCGCTAGCTGCGCGACAATTGCTTGGCAGGGGTTCGGCCTCGATGCGGGCCAATTGGTTGACCTCCACATGACCGGGAAAGGTCAAGGTGGGATAGCGACAGTTATTGGGTTTGATGGTCATGACGACCATGCCCGTGGCTGGACTGCCACCGAGTGTCCACTTACCCCCAGAGAGGGGGAACGTGGTGTCCTCGGAGACTTCGCAGTCCCAAGTCACAATGCCACTCGAGCAATTAACCGTGACGGCTGTCGTGGAAGCCACCATGCTGGCGGCAAGGCAAAGCAGACTCAAAAGAAGGAAAGACGTGAGCTGCATGATGCCGATGATTGGAGAGCGAACACACAAACTAAAAGAAAGAAGAAGAAACCAGCAGACTTCCTCTGGCGACCAGCGCAAGAGAGAGTACAACTGCTTCCACTCAGGGACGAGGAAACAAGACTAGGAACGAAGATGAAGACGATGGTATGAGCACCAACGCCCTAAGAAATCAACGATCAAGCTGTGAACGTCCGTTTTGCTTCAATAGCTGATGTCTGTCGTCGTCGGGTGCTCCGGCGAACGAACGATTGAGTGTGTCGCGTGGGAAGGTTGTGTGCAAGTATGAGCAAGCAAAGGCTCTGCTTGATTGATCAAGCTGTTGAATCAGAGCGAGTGCTACGCGCAAGGCTGCCAAGTGGGCCCCGGATCGTCAGAGGCGCGATCCGGACTGGACCAGCCCCGACGAGTGCGGGAAACCGAACAAGCTCGGGCAGCGACAAAAGGGGGAACCACACAAAAACGGATGACGAGGATGACAGCGGCCCCCACCGTCAACGCCTTTCCTGCCCCTGAAAGCAGGAAAGGGGAGGAGGAGGGGGAGGGCCGAATCGATCAACAGTGCCCCCTGCTAAGCAAGAGGCAGCCGACCGAATCCAACCCGCGTGCAGCCCAGACGCAGTTCCGGCAGGGAGCGTGTGATGTACAGTCCCCGCGAGTCCACACAACGTAAAGTGCCTTATCATGCGCAAAGCCAAGCTACGAGACAGAGAAAGCGCTGAAAGAAGAAGAAGAAAGGAAAACAAAAAAAAAAGATGGTGTGGGTGTGTGTGGCTTTGGGGTGTGCTCGACGTGAGGGAATAGGTGTGTGGATGCAACGCGGAGGTGTGGTGCGTGCATGACCGAGATGGGACCGTTCGTTCGTGGTCTCACAAAAGAAAGCCAGCAAACCTCTTGAAGGAATGAGGTGGATGTTGCAGCACCCATGTCCTTATGAAGTACCATCTGTCATTCCCGCCTCTCCTCTACACCTTCACCGTTACATGATGACGTTCATGATGTTGTTATCGTTTGCTGAGATGTTTTAAGCGGTAGGAAGGTGAAGGTGGGCCGAAATGACGCGCGGCTCCGGGCAGAATGTGGGGAAGCAAAACCAAGTGTCAGACGTGGAACTCAGTGCGCGATTACGTATGCCTGCTCTACTGTCGTTGCCCGCATCATTCTCAAGTCATCATTCATGTGTCCATTCAAGGCTGGTCTTGATGATCCACGTCCTTCTCATACACCTTGCGCTTCACGCACGCGAGGGCCGACGGTGAGCGCTTCCCTCCTGATGCCCATCTCGGTTCCGACGAATCAACCGATGCCCCTTTCTGGTCGTGTGTGCTTCACCTCGGCTGTCTGTTTCCTTCCCAGCAGCACCACACACGGATTTTCTCAAATCTCATTGAGCACGCGACTGACGACGACGGATGCAGCCGTATGCGCCGGGCAGTCCCAACCGTCAAGGACCTACATCAGGTTCAGTGTGCTGGGTCTATCAATCCTCATCGCGGAGCTCATTAAGTGTGACCAAATTTACACTCTGGACTGACTATCATGATAAAAGCCCACATTCACAACACGATCAGCTAGTGTGTGACAGTCACACCCATCCAGTGGAGCATGCGCTGAACCAAAGTGCAATCTTGGTCACACTTGTTCACTGGCTCGTCGACTAAACGCGGAGCCACGTTGTACGCTACATGGAGCCATTTTAGATGGCACACAATTTGTGCATTCTCTCTGCCCTTCTGAAGTCTAAACAACCCCCTTCAAGATGAATTGGAGAAAAACAAAAGGAAAAAGAAGCCCACACGACCTAGGAGAACTCAAAAGAAACAAACAAGGATCGCCCGAGGCAAACATCAATCACCCTGGCCAAGCAAAGTTCTTGAAGTGCAGGGATAAATGAGAGCGGCGACAGGCGAACACCGTTGCACAACAGGTTGAACACGCAAGTAGACTGGGACGTCCTGCCAGCTCAGCTGAGATCAATCACAATGACCTGACGCTCTTGATCCAGGCGCCCACTGCCGCCACGAGCCGGGAGTGAGTGAGTGAGTGAGTGAGTGAGTGTGTGTGTGTGTGCGATTTGGCCGTGCAGAGACGGAGAGAAGCAGCATTATGGCAGCAGCAAGCAAAGTCACCCCCCCCCCCCCCCCCGCCCCACACACACACACACACACACCTTGGCCACAAAGTCATTCAAGTCCACTTCCAGTTGACCCAGATCCATGTCTTCGCCGCGCGAAATACGGAAGCGCTGTGTCTCTGCCACAAGCTCCTGCAGGATAAAGAGCAGGAGCTCATTGTTGTCCCGGCGATAGGTAATGTACTTTTGAAAGTGCCGCTGCATCGTCTTCATGACTGAGAACTTTTGCGTCTCAATAAAGCTTGTTAGCATGACACGTATGGCCAGGTCCACGTCATCCGAGCGCACATACTCACGCAAGTGCATGCGAGCATGCGCCTCTGCCATCCGGATCATCGACTCGATGTGACGCACGGTAATGGGGATGCTGCCCGTAATCTCTGCCTCCCGACGCAACTCGGCATACAGGTTGGCAATCTTGTCCTGATCCATGTCCTGCAGCTTGGGATGAATCTTCTTCGAGTACTTGATGTATTTGCGCAACAGCTCCTGAGAAATCTCGCCAGGCCTTGAAGTGATCGTCGTACCAGCCCCTCGCTATGCACCCAAAGCAAAAGACCCCAACAGCATGTGAGCATATGAATTGAAATCAAACAGCACATGAGCACAACACGTCCGCACCTGACTCTCGGGATGATTGTTCATGTGACTGTCCACAACGAAGCTCGCCAGGCGCTCATCTTTGATGGGGTCAGCCGTATCTTTGACCACACAGAGAATGTCAAAGCGAGAGAGGATGGGCTCGGTCAGGTCCACATTTTGACTGAAAGTAAGACCCGGCTGATAACGGCCACGGATGGGGTTGGCTGCCGCAATCACGGAGCAGCGGGCTTGCAGACTGGTGATAATGCCAGCCTTGGAGACGGAAATGGATTGCTGTTCCATGGCCTCGTGGATGCTGGTCCGGTCCTGGTCGTTCATCTTGTCAAACTCGTCAATCAAACAGACGCCTTGGTCCGCCAACACCAAAGCTCCACCCTGCAAGGTCCACTCGCGCGTCACAGGATCGCGGCTCACCGAGGCTGTCAGACCCACCGCGGAGGCGCCTTGACCCGTCGTAAAAACGGCGCGATGCGACGTCTTCTCAATGTACTTGAGAAACTGCGACTTGGCCGTGCCAGGGTCGCCCAAGACCAAAACGTTGATGTCACCACGAACGCGGTGCTTGCCACCGGGATTCTTAGCCTCGCCCCCGAACATGGCCAATGCCAATGCCGTTTTGATATCCTCATGCCCATAAATGGACGGTGCGATGCTTCGCACGATGCGCCGACCAATGTTCTCATCAGCGGCAAGCGCTTGAATCTCTTTAATATCGTCGTCTGTAATGCCATCCTACAACCGAAAGAGAAGGATCACCAAGGTTGAGACGAAGCAGGCCTCCCATATTGCCACCAACATAGCTTCCATGTCAGGCGCCTCAACATGCAAAGAATGCAACCCAGCCAGGCAAGGCGAGACTTGGGGGAGGGGCCAGCACGCTACCTGGAACAGCTTATCGGCACGTTTCTCGATAAAGTTGGCCTCGATCACAGTCGCAAAGATGGGAAAGCCGTGCTTGGCGTTCAGTGCGCTGTCAAAGTTGTTGCGATAAATTCCCGTCAAGAGCACTTCGTCGCCCGGCTGTCGTGCAAAGGAGGGTGCAGGCCAGCAAGGACACCGCGCGCCACCCAAACGTCATGGTGAGGTCAATGAAATCAGTATCAACACATTCAAGAAATTCGCCATCCGTAGCCATGCATGAGCTGACCTTGACATAATCGACGTAATCCCAAAGAAGAATGACTTCCTTCTGACGTGGTAACCGGCCGGCTGGAACGGTACCGGGAGACTCCTGAATGGTAGCACGCTGAAAGTTGCGGTAGATCGTTTCCTCCGCATTCACGCTGATGCAAAGCAGAGTGTGTGACGCCAAGCCAGGCGCAAACAGTCCTGACGTGAGTTTTGTCTCATCTCTTCATACTATCGCGCAGCCTACATGTGCTGATCAACGCAACGTCATCTACGCTTTGCCTGAAGATGGCTTACCTAAAAGGTCCTCGAGATTGACAGCTCGGGCAGTTGTTGACAGACACCTCTCGAATGTTATCTTGCACAATCGGGCCAATCAAGTAGCCACATTTTTCACAGTTGTATTTGACAACCTGGTTGCCCCAACGCACACGCCAGTTACCGGGACAGAGAGCGGGTGTGAGGAGGGTGGAAAGTAAAAATTTGCGGCATGCACAAAAAAGGTCTTGCCGCGAAATGAGTAGCGCGTGGCTCCGTGCACGGGGCACAAGCATACCTTGAGCTGAGGGAAGACGCCTGTGCGGCGCGTGACAACGCCGCTGACCTTGATGAGCATGTTCAGGTGGTGCTGACGCAAATCACGGATGTTCTCAACGACGGGCAGATCGGAGATGCGCACGTGAATCTCCGATCGAATCTCATCATAGTCTGCAGGAAACGACGTTTGTCATCGTGGGCCCGCGCACCGCCGAGAAAGACCATGACAGAGACGAAGAAGGGCAAATGACATGGGGAAAACATCAGCGAGACGATGGTCCTGCATTTGCGCCCTGCCTCACGAACACCCACGAACACCACGACATGGTGCAGACATGTGCAAAACAGGAGAAAATTCGAACATACAAGGGTATGACTCGAGTACAACATCGCGTGCGGCCGCATCAAAGATCTGAAGCATCTCAGCCGGGGCATCGCTTGCGTAAATGGCCAAGGTTGGCGATTCTTCGCAGAGAGAGCGATAGCTGATTTAAGGAGAAGAACTTGGTGAGCAATCGAAGAAGATTGTGTATACAAGCCTCGATTCCTTGTGAAAGGAAGGAGTCAGCGTCATGTGAGGATGTTTGGGCCGACACACCTGATGACGAGAGATTCAGCGTTGCTTTGCGCGAGCTCCCGAATCTTCACCTGATAGATTTTGACACCCTGATAGGAATGGCCAGAGGTCAGTTCAACGCAAAAAGCACCCATTGGCCAAGCCAGCAAGCAGTGAGACAACATGCTGGATGTTTGTGCCAATCAAGCAGGACCAACCTTCTCTTCCGTGTTGCGCAAGAATAGCTTGAAGCGACGGTGAATTTCACGGCGTGGAGACTCCATTTGCACCCACTCGCGAGTCGTGTGACCTAACGCAATAGGGGTAAGAGCATGGTCAAGGGAAGGTCAAGATCTCGCACAAACATCACCCAAATGTTACTGGCTTGCAGGTGAACGCAGCACAAAAGCACAATTACGGGCAGCGGCATCAAACCTTTGCGGTCTTCGAGATTCTCAATGATCGGCTCGTCGTCATTCTGAATCAGAACAGGACATGACGTGAGACATATGCGTGCCCATCTGCAATAGCTTCAACGGGCCAGAGACCGTCCATTGACATGGTACAAATTAGGCATACCACATCCATGTCTTCGCCCTCTTGCTCTGGCTGGAGAGCCCGTTCAGCCAGACGCCGACGCTGGGGACGGGGTTCGCCCGAATCTTCCTCCTCTTCCTCATCGTCTACCCGATGATCGTGCCAAAAGTGAGCAAAGCAGCCAGCCAATCAATGTGAGCCACAAGTGAAGGAGCCAACATGGCGCGCGGGAAGGGTCGAGGAGCCTACCACCAAAGCCCAATCCCCGTGGCATGCGTGAGCGGCCTCGAACTTGCATGCCCATGCGCCGATCGCGTGCACGCATCAGGCGTTCTGCTTCAGCACGTTGATTCTGTACAGTTGAACCAGACCCAAACATCGTCAGTTCTTGCCCAGGAAGGCATTGGACGGAGAAAGAAAAAAAAAAAAAAAAGGGTGCAGACTCGGCGTGGCGCAGTGGGTGTACCTGGCTCAACTCTGAAATGTCACTGGCATCATCCAGCATCTCGGGGTCATAGCGATCGAGCTGCTCTATCGCACGGTAGTCGCTACATGCGCCAAAAATTGTCCCAAGCAGATGAGCACAAGATGGGCTTGGCCTGTGAATGACAAGGGCACACACAAGCATCCACGTACGCGCCCATGTCATCACCAAAGAGATCCTCCCCTTCCCCTTCTTCCTCCTCGACACCGTCGTGAGAGTAGGGAACATCGCTAGCCTCTTGGCGTGCAAGCTCCTCCGTCTCATCAGGAAACGGGTCCAAGCCTATGAGCAAGGGGGCGTGAGTCGCCACCAATGAAAATCAAGCAACACCTTGGTTGGGCCACAAGCGTTGCGAGCAGATAGACAGCATCGCGCTCGACAGCCTGGTCGTACCATCTTGCGAATCACGTGGTGGCGATGAAGAACGCACGGGCGAGCTCGGAGCAGACGACATGATGGACAGTCGAACGCAAGCGTCAGCAGTGCAGCTAGCAGACTCGTTCTGTGCCTACAGGGCTTCCTACCGACATGATCCAAGCAAAATCAAGAAATCAGTGCGTCGTCGCAGCCCATGGGCGGAGACAGCATAGACATCGAACAAGCTTGTCGCCGCGCCACACGTAGGATCGGATGGATTGGGCAGGAGCCATGGATATGGATGAAGGGTCATTTTTCCATGCCAGCCACGACTTTGAGCGGCACAAAAAAAACAGGGTGGGGGGGCAGTCGTTCATGTGCAAATAACTGCAGGACCATCACCCCCTCCAAAACGCAAAGGCCACCAGCCAGACAAGACTGCTCGTCAACACGTACTCGACATATAACCTTGCTCTGCCTTTACGAAGTAGAGGTGAGATTCATTCAGAGCATCCGCCTGAACCCGATTCTCGGCGGCAGCGCGCAAACAGGAGAAGTGGCGCCGCAGCCCGCGCGCAGCCCAAACCGTTATCGCCTTGCTACCACATGGTAGACCTCAATGACGCTCCTGTAGCTATTAATAGATGACCACATTATGTCAGAAAATCATTGTCATCAGTTTTTTTTTTTTTTTATTGCCAATGTTGATGATCAAAGCGTTTCTCAAGATTTTGGTTCTAAAAGCTTGCGCGCTCGCCCTTGACCTCATTCTTTTGGCAGCCCCTTCCCTTTGCTGCCTCCCGCTCGCTCTCATCCTCGCGACGAAAGAGAGGAAAAGGCAGAGACTTGACCCCCGTGCCGGGTCGTTTGGCCGTGACCAGCGACAGTCAACATGTTGTCCGGTGTGCTCATGCAAGTGTCGCTCCTCGGAGTGACAGTCATCATGTCCGGCATCTACCTCCTCTCCTCCTGGCTCAAGCACCTCACAACCATCATTCGCCCATGGCGCCGACGCAAGCGCGAGCTTGAGCGGGCCATGCGAGCCGCAGACACCTATCAGGAGTGGGAGGCTGCCGCCCTTTTGCTGGACGAGCAGGAGAAGCGTGATCTTTGGCGGCTTGACCCGGTCTCCAGTCTGTTTGATGCGGATCGCATTGCTGCCCGGCTGATGCGGCTGCACGACGCCCGTCACTCGGACGACATCAATGAAGCTATGGTCCAACTTCGAGAGAATCTCTTCCGCAACATCGGTGGACTGGGACAGGAGCAGCTCTACTCTTACTGTCATGTCGGTACAAAGGTCATCATTCAGCAATATCTCCAGGAGCTCAGCGCCACCATCGAGCACATTGTCATGGCTCCCACGGTGCCCCTCCATGTCAAGGAACGCTTTCTTTCTGATGCCCGCCAAGCTTACGGTCGTACCGCTATCATGCTCAGTGGTGGAGCAGCCATGGGCATGCTTCACTGGGGTGTACTGCGCTGTCTCTTTCAGAATGGCCTCTTACCTCCGGTCATCTGTGGCAATTCTATTGGCGCCCTCTACTCGGCCGTTCTCGGTTCGTTGAGCGGGGCATATCGCTTGTCTCAGCATTCATGGAGAGGCGCGGTCGCCAGGCAGGCAGGAGAGAGGATTAAAGGATTGGTGTGCTGGGTGGGAGAGGGGGTGAGCGCCTTCTGACCTACAGGTTGATTGATGGCACATGTGCAGGCATTCACACAGACGACGAGCTCAACAGCCTTTTTGATCGTCCAGACGCAATTGACTTTTCTGCGTTTTTGAAATTGGGTAGGCTCGACTTGATGCATTTGTATTTGTTTTGTTTTTTCCACCTTTTTCTTTTCGCTTCGCTTCGCCCACTGACTTGTAACATGCTCCTCTGTCTTGGGGTTTACGCTTGGCTTGTCGATAGGCAAGGGTAGTGTGCGTCGCAAGGTCATTCGTCTCCTCAAGCACGGTGTTCTCATGGACATTACCAAGCTGGAGGAGTTTTGTCGTGCCAATCTGGGCGACTTGACGTTTGCCGTATGTTTGTTCGCCCAACCCGTCCGATGAGACCACTTTGTTTTCGCATAGTTTTCCTTGACCGCCGTTCTTGATTCATTTTCCCATCGTTGGAATAGGAGGCATACCAACGCACAGGCCGCATCGTCAACATCACGCTCACCCACACAACCCACCAGGGCTACCCACACCTGCTCAATTACTTGGTTGGTCTGGTATATTCAAGCACGCCCAGTGCCATCAGCTCCAATATCACTTCTTGGGGGAGGTGTTATCCAGCTTCTGATGCCTCATTGGCACGGTGCTCCTTGCTGTTGTGTGGCCGGGGACCCATTAGACAACCCCCAACGTGGTTCTTTGGTCTGCAGCCTGCGCAGCTTGTGCGCAACCCGGCATGTATGCTCCCGTGGCTTTGATGGCCAAGGATATCAAAGGTAAGCTTTGACTTGTTGCAGCGTGCGTGTTGGTGCATTCTATTATGCCTGCCCTGACGCTTGTGGCGATGATGACATTTCGTGCGTGATGAACAGGCAATATCGTTCCTTTGCTTGAGGTGGACCCGGAGGCGAGTTGGGGTGTCAGTAGCACCATTCACAACCCACTCCTGCCGAAGCAGCGTCTTTCAGAGCTCTTCAACGTCAATCACTTCATTGTCTCTCAGGTCCGTTCAAGAGCGACTTGGAAGGGATGATGCCCCCGCCCCACCCCAAACGTCACGGTACACAAGCAGCCGGCACACTCAACATCTCCGCTTCGCGCTTAGGTCAACCCCCATGTGGTGCCTTTCCTGCGCTCCATGCGGTCTTCATCGCGATTTGCCCTCCTACACAAGGCGGTCATGGTAGCGGGTGGTGAGCTCATGCATCGTCTACGACAGCTGGCCTCCATTGGCTACTGGCCAGGGTGAGTACATGAAGATTGCTCGTCTTGCAGTGCCACATGGCAATTTGTTCTAATGTTGCCAGCCTCTTGCTCCGCCGTCCCGCTGACGTCCTGATTGCAGACTGCTCAATTGGTTGAAATCGGAGCTACTACAGACGCACGAGGGCGATGTCACAATTGTACCCTCGCTGTCATGGGCCACCATGTCCAACGCCCTGAGCAACCCGACTCCCGAGCTCGTCTCGTGGTTTGCACGTGAAGGTGAAAAGAGCACATATCCTTACATTCCCATCGTTGCAGCTCGTTGCCACGTGGAGGTGGCTTTGCATGCAGGGCTGCGTCGCATCCGCACATCAATCCACTCTGCGCCGGCATCCCCAGAAATGCGACCCATGTCCTCACCTTCCTCGCCCGTACCCTGGGAAAACGCCAAGCCAACGGAAGCGAGCTCGATTCCACCACGCCGCCGGTCGCCACCGCCCCGTGCAGGTCCACGCTCGCCTCGCCTTTGGCGTCAACGCTCACTTGACGCTTGGAATCGTTCTGACGGACTGACCGCCGCCTTGGCTGAATCACAGCGTCACGATGACGAAGGTTCAGACCTTGAACACAGTCCCGTAAAGCTTGACCCACGCCTTCTCTTGCGCAGTGGCATCTCTCCTGTGCTCCAAGATCAACAATAGTTCGCGAGCTCTTGCAAAACCACAAACGGTGTTCTTTTCTCTCTCGCCTCTCATACAATACGATGACATTTCTGTGCTTGCATGTTCGTGATCGCAGGCGCAAGCAAGCATGCAGTATCGAAAGATTTCTATTGATAATTGAACAAAATTGGGACCAAATCAATTCATTCTGTTTTCAACGGATAAAGCCTTTACTATGGCAGTTTTGTGTGTGTGTGTGTGTGTGTGTGTGTGTGTGTGTGTGTGTGTGTGTGTGTCGCTTCGAGCATTTTTGCATGCACCGCAAGCTTTTCAACAGACACAGGCAACGCGCCGTTCCCCAAGCGAGCCTGCGAGCAAAACTAGCGGTCGCACCATTGGTTGTCACCTTCACCTTTGTTGTGCAAATGCAACGCCTCTAAGCAAGAGGATGCCAAGCGATACCACACGGCAGTCCAAACGCGTCGCTGCGCGCGGCATGCCAGATTCGGCCAATCACGTATGCTCACGCCGTAGCGTTCTCGGCAATTCCGAAGTGGCTTGACTTGCGTTTGCCTGCGCCTTTGCCCATGTCCCCGATAGGCCCGTTTGGAGCAGCGCGCCTCCTCAACAACAAGCAACGGTGGTTCCACTGAGGACCGGGCGACCAAGGTAAATGCACGTCTTCATATCACAAGCTCTCGCTGCTTCGCTGATCGATCACTTCTGTATTCGCTACACTCCTTGACACTCAGAGCGCGGACCTGCGCGACGAGGATATGCATGGCCTTGATCTCCTCGCTTCAGCAGCGCCCGCCCGTCTACAGCGCGTACCTGGTATGCCATCGCCACGCAAACTTCAACCCGTGATAGTGTGACCAGGCCGGGAGCCAGCGCTGTATCCAAAGTGAGAGCTGCAATTAGAAACCATGCCTTATTCGACCATTTGAAATCTTGGGCGGCGTAGAGGATGAAGATGACGAGGACAATGCTCAGGCCAAGAAGGCTCTCCTCATTCAATGCAGCAACTGCTCGCGTACGTGACTCGTATGTGTAACCCACAGCACTTGGAAAGATGCCAAAGCAACCACGCAACGCCAAAGTCGACGCTGGCAACCTTGCGCTCCGCTAGCATACCTGACCCGTCCGTTTATGCACCGAATGAACTGGCACCTGGCTACAGGGAAGGTGGATGGCACGAGCTTGGGTTTTGATGGCGCGATGGTCAGCAAGATCCGAAGTTTGAAGCAGTGGGAGTGCCCGCAATGCGCCTTGGACACACAGATTCGACAACAGACAACCAGCAAGCGACCAGCTGCCCGTCGCCGTAGCCGAAAAAACGGTCCCTCTTCCTCCCAGGATGCGGCCATGTTTGTGGACGAAGCTGCATCGGCACTTCTATCCATGTCCCATGGTTCTAAGAAAGGCAATTCGGAAGATGCCGAGCCGCGATCGAAGAGAGCGGCACGGGACCATGCACGCAAGGCTGCGGCGCAGCTACCAGCAGAGGTTGCTGCCCCTTCAAATGGGGAGGGCGACGAGCCCAACTCCACACAGTGCTTCAACGGGGTGTGTGGCCTGCGTGGCCCGCTTGAACTGTGCATAGCTCTTGTTCTTGAGACGCCGTTTGCGCATTGTCATTAACTTTGTTATCTTTGACGTGATACCTCCTCTCTATTGTAGTTGCTGGTTGGCCAACAGGTGGTGATCTGTCGCTGTGCCAATGCCAGCCGCTCGGACATCACACTGCGCCGGGCTGAGCTCGAAGGCTGTCATGGCCGAGTGGTCAACATTCCCAACTACCCGTGCACGTGGATTGGTGTGCGGCTATCGACTACTGGCGAGACCATTAAAGTTCGCAGCTCGAACTTTCGCATCGTCACGGGCGATGCGGCAGCATCGGTGCCGGTTCAAACGGACCGCATGCGCAAGTCACTCCTTTTCAACAACTTGGGCCCGGGACAACGCGTCCTGGTTACATACCACTCCAAATACAAGCCACGCTCTGACTGGCCCATTCATGCTACCATTACCAACCAAACACCTTCCTTTCCTTGGTATGTGCTCTAGCGTCGCTGCATACGCCTGATATGCGCAAAGCTGCTATCCGATCAGATTTCTCACCCTACTTGCTTGGACCTGGGTCGCTGCTGGTAGCACCTGGCTGACAGTCAAGGTGGACGAGGACGGAGCCATTCTGAAAGTGCGCACCTCTCAAATAGCGCGCTCTTTGGATGAGGCTCAGCAAGTCATGCTGGCCGGAAAAGGTACCAGAAAAGCCTCGAGCCAGGGGTCTACCCAGGATTCAAAGGCGACCACTTTACCTGATCGTTCGGTCACGACAAACACTACGACCAGTGTTCCAAAAGCGGCCACCTCACAAAGTGTGCAACCTGCGGCCAACGCTCCGACGATGGCCGACAGCGCCATCGCGCCCAAAACGGGCACCATTGGCGTGGCACCCCAGATTGTGCATCCGGTGCCGCTTGGCAGCTATCAAAGCCCCGCTGCCTACTTGAATGCGGCTCGTGACCTGAACTCAAAAGAACTTGGAAGTGAACGGGCTGGTGCACCAGAGCAGCCCATCTCGCTGCGTGTTCCCACGGCACGCAACATCATGAGCACAGAAGACGTGGGGTCGCCCGCCTTTAGCGGGCCCGAGCCCGTTGTGGCTGCACCAGCCACCTCTGTTCAACCGCCTGCGGTACCAACCTCCGCTGAGGACACCGTCAGGCTCAGCAAGGCGTTGCTCCTACCACATTAATTTGTGTGGATGAGCAAAGTAACGAATTGTTTGTCCTCCCAAATTTGACTGGAAAAATAATGCGGACGGGGATGCGGATGTTTATTACTATGGCAGAAATTTATTTTGGTGCATTTCCAAAACAGTAACAAGTTGGGAAGCTGGAATGCGGTCTGTAGTTGTTTCACTTGTCAAATCGCCTCATTATTTGAAAGAAAAAAAAAAATTACATGGTTATTATGGTATCCACGATGCGCCCACGGTGCTTGCGATGTAGACCACTCCAAACTCTGAGACACTGACACCAACGCAAGTTTTCTGACGGATGGAATGGAAATGAACCGTATAAAACACAGCGCAATTGTCTCACATGTCGATATTATTATTATCACGCTGCTGTTCTTTGCGACAAAGTCGATTGCGACAAGAAGGATTTGGTAGATGCGTTTGATCGATTGAAAATCAAGTCATAATCCCGGCAACAACTTTAGCGACATTTGAGTGTCACGTGCACCAAGTTACTCAAAGCGAATTGATGTGACATGAATGGCTCCAGGAGAGCTGCATCCACTCTGCTGGGTGTCAGCTGCATGGAGAGCTTGAGGGCCAGTTCTGTTGAGCGAGTGCAAATGATAGTCAGGACACCCAGGGCAGCCAGCATGGCAGGTGCGCAAGATGGTTCACAACTCACTTTTGGCGCGAATGGCAAAGCTCATGTCAATGGCACCCTCCACAAGACCATCTTGTGTGACGGCCGCCATGTCACTCAACAGATATCGATGTTGGTGGCCGTCGGGCGTTGTAATCTAGCGTGCGCAAAGCAAGAGCAGGGCAACAAATATCCACGGGTGTTTAGCCATGTTGCGCTCGTCGTCGATTTGGCGATCCAGTCACAATATCTAAGGAGCTGCTCACCAGGAGGTTATACAGATCAAGCTGGGCGGTGGGCAAGTTGCAGGTGAAGCTGATGCAAATGGGGTTGCCCGGAATGTAATGATATGTCTATGTCATCGGAACCCAATGTGCATACACAAGGCCATGCAGCCATGAGCGGGCAAGGATCAGCGAGGCACTAGTCAATGGCAAAGATGGCTGCGATCGCATTCATGTAAAATCGCCTCACCTTAGCCCCTTGGATTGACATTGAGGCACCCAGATATGGCGGCCATGAAGTCAGCTTTAAAGTCTCACCAACTTGATCCAGAGCCGGGCCAAGCGCCGACCTATTGTGGTGTTGCGAAAAATGACATTGACCGAGTTTGTGAGACAAATGATGCGAGGCTTTTGCCATGATTGAGGAAGGGCGACAGACCTGTTCTCGACAGCCATGGCAGCAGAACGCAGTGCAGCGCAGGCAGGCTCCGATTCGGACGAGTACGCGAAGGATGCGAGGAGCTGCCAAGTCAGTCGATAGAAGTCACTGGTGGCAGCCTACTCAGTCAGTTGTTATGCATGATTGTGAGCAAAACTGAGAGGGGAATGACGGCAGCTTGACACGCAAGATGCGTGGAACATGATGTGCTGGCTCTTCTACAACATACCTCGCCTTGCAGAACATCCGCCAGGCAGCCTTGCCACTGCCACAAAGCTGCAATAAAACTGCCCGCCCGAGGAAGTCCATGGCCCAGCATATTTGCAATGAACGCCCTGGCTGTCACGTGACAACCTCGGCGCAAGAGGTGCAAACAGCGGCACCAAGATCGGAGATCAGGCAAGCCAGCCTGCTGTGCCGATAGCGTCATGGTGTTGTCCGCCGTGGTGGCAAAGGCTTGCCCGTTTTGTAGAAACAGCTTACGGATGTGTCGATCCATGAACGAAGGTAGGTGGGCGCGGATGGAGCTGGCTTGAGTCAAAGCTCCACACACAATGGCAACTGCCAAGGCGTAACGAGCATCACCGCAATCCGGTTCCATGGGCTCGAAATGCTCGCTCCAGTGAAAGAGGGCTCGGACCAGGGGCTCACCCCAGTCTGCATGGTGGCGACCAAGACAGTGGCCCGCACTCAGAATGGTCGACCGGCTGTCGCTGTTGCGTTGAAGCAGGCTTGACAGTTGGTTGTAGGCCACCTGCAGCAATTGCACGTTCGCCAGCTGGCAGGTCTTGAATAACGCCAGCACTTGGCAGCGCACTTCGATATGTGCATCGGCACAAACGGCTGGCAAAAGCTCAACGTGTTCGTCATGCATCACAAAGTTCGGACCCAAAGCCGCCAGCACCTGCAGCGCTCGTGCTCGCACTGAGACGATTTCGTCGTTGACGACGGTGATGACACAGTCGAGGGCTTCCTGGGCCAGTACCGGTAGGCGCATGCTATGCGCCTCGATCGCTGCAAGGCAGGCAAGGCGCACATGCTGGTCTTCATCATCTAGGCCTTGAATGAAGCTGCCATCACAGCCACCGATATCAAACTGTTGATCAAGCGTACTGCGGGCACTATTGGTGCTCGTGCCTGGTTTGCGAGGTGCCTGCTGCAATGCTCCCGCCGTGGTAGTCAAGGCAGCAGCCTGGCCATGGTCGGATTCGCGTCCTCGACGCAAAGCCTCAGACGATGGTCCCTGCCCATCGCCATCGCCGCCAGCTGAGCCTCCGGCCTCGGCCGCCTCATGTCGCGTGCGAGCACGTTGCAGCACCGACTGCTTTTCGCGGAGGTTGCTGATGAGTTGGCGGTCCAAGCACCGCCGCACCCAGCTTACTCTGACATGACGCATGTGTGCCACAACAGAAAACGCACGTTGTCGAAGATGACGATCGGGGTCGCGGGCCACACGGCACGCTCTCAAAAAGGCCTCGAGCCGATGATTGACCTTGGTGCCAGCTCCTTCAGATGCCTGCTGAGCATCAGCCAAGCAAGGCAGGAGATCCAGAGCGCTGCGCCGCACGGCAGCATGATGGTCCTCGATTGCCGCACCCACGGTATCCCAGCAATCGGGCCAAGACGCTTCCAGCATTTCAGGGCTGGCCTGGAGCGCTTGATGGAGGCGCTGGAGCGCAGTGGCTCGCACGCGTGCATCTGGGTCAGCTCTAGCCAAAACACACAAGAGCTGGGGTTGAAGCTGCTCCACAGGCTGAGACAAAAGACTTTGGCGACGCAATCGCGGGTCACGGGAACGCATACAAGCTGCTGGTGCGAGTCGCGTACTGTCGAGCCAAGGATGGTTCTGCAGCAGGTGTGAGCGCAGCCGTGCCCGGCGCTGAGTGTTTTCTGAGGTATGGTGTGCCTTGGCACCAGCTGATTCAGCAGCCACAGCAGTGCTGTGTGTTGGTGCCGGTAGGCCAGCGGCTTGGGCGCTGGGAGGCACTGAATCCGAGCTGAGCCGAGCAGTACCAGGTCTGCTAATGCTGGAACGTGTTCCATCCTGCGCCAATGGTTCATGTTTGACCCGTTTCAAGGGCGGGCCCGCGGCGGCAGCCATGGGCCTGGGTCTATAAAATCAACAACAACAACAACAACAACAACCAACAACAACAACCCAACAAAAAACAAGGTAGAAGGACTTTCGCTTCTATTACCCTAGCCCGGCAAACCGGCGACAACACAGCAACCGTCACTCGATGGCTCTCAACAAAGTCCGAGTGCAGCCATCCAAACATCGAGCCAAATGAGAGCGCAAAAGAGAAAGGCGCTCGGGCTGCTACCAAATGGTATTACATTCAAGACAAAGAAACTGATGATTTTACTCGTTCGTGTGGTTGTGTGTGTGTGCGCGAAGCAGATCAACTCAATCGTTCGCGATGGACGGCCGCTCGGTGGAGGAGCCCCTGGACCTTGTACGCCTCTCCCTCGAGGAGAAGGTGCTGGTTAAGATGCGTGGTGATCGTCAGCTTGAGGGCACGCTTCATGTAAGCTCGCATCTCCGTCCTTTGGCCTATGCCTGCGCGCGGTGGGCGAACCAGTTGATCTAATGTTGCGCAGAGCAGAGCTGGTCTTGCCCATCTTGGATGTTTGTGCCCCTTTGTCCAGCGATGCTTGCGCCTGACCATTTCTGCTGCTGCCTTACTGCCTAGGCGTATGATCAGCACATGAACATGGTCTTGAGCAACGTCGTCGAAACGCTGGCCACCGTCGATGTGGATGATGAGACAGGCGAGGAGCTGGTCAAGGTGAGCCCCAGATGAAAGATACGGGCGCGCCCACGTCGTTCGGCTCATCGTGCTCACATGAGCTCTTTGTTCTCATGTTTCATCACAGACTGCCAAAAGGGTGCTGCCCATGCTGTATGTGCGTGGTGATGGTGTTATCTTGGTGGCACCACCCCATCGTGCTTGAGTCATCGGCCGCCAAGCGGTCTCTATTCTCCCTCTCAACCGCGCCACCCTTTTCGAGTCAAAAGAGGTCATGGGCCCGTGAACAACTTCTGCTTGAGATTCAAGCAATGTCAATGACCAGAGCTTCGTAGACCCGAACTTGCTACCTTGACGTTGTTTGCTTGGCTTGGGCCCTTCATTTACTGTCAACTCTGTTCTGATGTGCACGCTGCTCGCTCGTTTGTGGCTTGACTCGAATTCGCCGGTTTACCACGTGAACAATGTTCATGATGGAGTTGTTGCACAAAATGTCTTGCTGAAGGCAAGGGGGCGTGGCATTGAGTATGACTTTCATATGAGATGCCGTCAACCCTCCTCACGTCTACGATCTAGCCACCTAGCTTGCACGGTGTCACTGTGGATCTAGCCTATTGCGTTGATGTGCCTGCCTCGACCTGGATTCCTACGTCCCCATCAAATTCACATGCCAAAGTTCATCTTCTTCTCTCGTCTCACATACATGGCATGGTGTGTATTCTGTGGTCAGATTCATCTTTGAATTAACATCAGATATCCACATACAACAAAAACGTATATCCGCACGGATGGACACAAGTTTGCTCATTTACCACGTCGTACATCGTAGAGTGCACACCAACACGCATGCGACGCACGTCACGCACACTTACACACACACACATGTAAAAGGGATAAACAACCCGTTGAAAAACAATGCAATCAATCCCCGGCAGGCGACCCAGGTAAGCATCAATACACGGGATAGTCTCTCATGCCTGCGTGACAACTACACGCGTCTAGTAGTCCAAGGCACAAATGAGTGCAACGGCGCGTTTGATCCAGTGGGCTTGAGGTAGCTTGGAAGGCACCTCGATAGGTAACACAAAATTCGTGCTATGCCCCGTTGTCGACAAAGTACCCGCTCGCTGCAGCGTCTTGTAGCACGGGCAGACATACACGCCTTCCTGCGGCACGGGACGATCGCTCACGGGCCGCAACCAAAGCGGTGGCATGCTCGTGTAGAGCTCCTTGGGTCGAGATTCAGCCAAGGCTGCTTGCTCCGGGTCATAGCGCGCGCCCTCCAAAAACAGGCCGTAGATATAGCAGCCGTCCTCAGGCCTATAAGATTTTTAAAGGAAACAAACAAAAAAGGCAGGGTCGTGAGAGGTTACCATGACTCGCGCATAACAAGAAACACACGCGAAAAGGGCAAGCATGACTTGATCAACGTACCGAGCCTTAATGTCATCATGAGTGCGCTTCAAGACCTGAAAGTCAAAGCTGAGCGTATCAATGGAGACGACGTGCTTGCGGGCAAAGTTTTGTAGCGTGCCTGTTAAGAAGGCTTGTGGGAAATAAAAGCCCGAGATCCAGAACGTGGCCGGCATGCCCTCTTCAATCCACGTTTGAATAAACTCCACGCGCGCCAACAGGTCCACCACCCAGGCTGCCAAAGGCTTGAGCGACGGATAAGCCTTGGCCGACCACATGTCCGGCACCTTATTGACAAAGAGGCTATTTGCCATTCGCTCCAGCTCTTCACTCATGACCACCAAACCCTTGAGAGCCTTGAGCACGTCTCCCAGTGAGCCGTGCATGGCTTCAAGCAGCTTGTTGAAGCGGATGGCCTCCTGAATTAGGACTGTGTTCATGGATTCCTCATAGCGCACTGGATGCAATTCCTGGACTCGCTCGAGATCGAATGGCTTTGGGCAACGCTGCAGGATATCCGACGCGACCTCTTCAATGACTTTGTCACGGTTCGAAGTACCGCCTGAAGCCCCACCGCCACCACCGCCGGTAGCCAACAGGGCTCCAAGAAGACTGCTGGTTTCCTGATTGGCAAAGGCAATGTTGGCATTCTCATGCAGGCCAAAAATCTCAGGGGTGTCGTTGATGGGCAGTTGTCGAATGTGTGCCAAGTAACCCTCGTAGTCAGTGGGGGCTGCTTGTTGGTACACACCGGATGGCGAGAACGCATGATCATCCTTCAGCACGTTCGGGTTGTAAAAGTCTTCAAGAATGGTCATCTGGCAACGACGATCCCAGTCATCCGTCACGCGACCACCGTAATTGATTTGGCCGGCCGTATATGTCAGCACTTTGTAGGGCGGCGCATCATAGTCGTCCAGGAACATGCACAACTGCGTCATGCAAATGGCCAAGTCACTCTTCGTGTATGGGTAGCGAATGTTGAAGCCGAGCGAGCCAAACTTGCGACGCTCCAGAATCACACCGTGGAACAGGCAGAGCGAGAAGAGTAGCATTTTGAACTCGCGCTCCTTGCTGCAACGCTGCAGGTAATCATCATTGAAGCCATCAAAGGCCTCCAGGAGGTTGGCCTTGATGCCGCGTGGTGGCTCAACGGTCATCTTGCTACTGTTTTGCAACACAGCGACCGGAAATTTGGGGCTAGGAATCGAGGTCAGCCACAGGCGAAAGTCCTTGTGCACCTTGTCGCGATCGATATTCTCGATCAACCGCTCAAGGGTCGGCATCCACGAGGGTGCCAAGTGGCAATTCTGGAAGAACACCCAGGTACCGCGCTCGCAGGCAGCATGGAACATGGCCTCGGCACGAGGGCCTTGGCCTTGACCCAAGGAGATTGACGCCAGCTTCTTGTTGAATTTCATTTCCTCAGCAAATTTGTACAAGTCGGCCGCTGGGTCCGTCCCGGGGGATAGCACAAAGACCAGAGGCGTGTTATTGGACGAGTCTGGGAACACCATCGACAAGTTGGTCGTTTGCGGTTCGATGAAGCGCTGACCCAAGTGATTGGCAACATAGTCCTGCATCATGGGCGCAAGCTTATCAAAGCGCAGGCAGCGCATGACCAAGATCTTTTGGAAGGCGTCCAGACGCGTTGCCCAAGGCTCGGGAAAGTCCTCCTTGTGTGGCTCGGCGCTATCGAAGATGACGCGAAAGGCCGCAGCGTGTTCCCCAAAGGACTCTGCAAAGCCCTCAAAGGCTGGCAGAGTCGAAAGAAGCCGCAGCTCCTGCCAGGCCCGATCGTTCAGCCAGGTTGCGGCTGGGTTGGGGGCTTCGTCGGGGATGGCTGAGCTGCCGGCCACCAGGAAGCGCCACTCATCGCCATCAATCTTGCCCTGCTCGATGAGGATGCGCGCGCACAGCAAGAAAGAGAAGAGAAGCTTGTGCCGCTCAAAGAGGGAGCGGCAGACGCTGGTGTACAAACTGAACGTGAAGAACTCGTTGATATTGTGGATGCGTTCCTCAAGGCTATCAGCGGGCGAGGACTTGCGAATGCCGGCCAGAAAGAGCTCACGGAACCAGCCCAGCGAGTACTGGTACATGGGGTCGATATGCGCCAGGTCCGTGGTGCAGAAGAAGAGGAGTTGCGTGCGACGGGCCACTGGCACGTATTTGCTTCGTGTCTCGTCAATGTCTTTCTCCGTCTCCTCGGCCACTTTGACCTTGGCCGAAATCTCTTGAGACTTGGCTTTGGAGGCATCCAGCGTGTTGATCAGCTCCTCGTCATCGACTGGCGAGCCCGTAGACTCGCTGAGCATCGTTAGGATGCGACCCTCAATGTCAGCCAGCTCCTGCTTCATCTTGGCGTTCTGAAAGATGAGAGCCGTTTTGGCCTCCTCCAAGTCAGGACGCTCCTCAGCAACGACGAGCCCCAACATTTGATCCTCCAGGCCCGATGGCGAGAGCGTGAAATTCACCAGCGTCACCTTGGTGGACACCTCGGGCGTATAGGTCGGATTAGGAAGCTTTGTGGTGATGTAAAACTTGAATTCATCGTGATAAGGGACGACAGAATCACCCAGCTTGATGACCAGTCCGCCGGCTTGTTTGTACGTTTGCCGAAGCAGGATGGGCTCAAGGGCAGGGTCAAGCTCCTCCCCCACGTTCTCAAGCAGGCATGGACTTCCAAAGCGGACCGCATTTTCGAGACTGCGAAGCAGGTCACGGTCTGTCAGCTTCATCACCACCAACTTGTCGGCCTCCATCTCGCGAATCCACTTGTTCGCTTGGCCCTGCGGATCAATGAAGAGTGGCCAGCGCTCGGCATACTTGACAACGCACGCGTTGGCAACGGACATGGAATCCTTGGGAAGGCCATACAGCTGCCAATCACGAATCTCAAGGGGATCGCTCAGCGTCGATACAAGTGAGGCCTGCGGCGTGCACGGCACGTTGGCTGCCGCAAGCATGCCGTGCCAGTCGGCGCACATACGCGCACGGAACTCCTCGGTAAAGGGACCCAGGTACGCGACGGTACCCGCCGAAATCACAATGTCACCAACAACATTGTGGATGAGCTGGTCAAAGCGCTCGACCGACTCCTTCCAGCGCACTTTCTCATCGCCCAGCAGGAAAATGAGCTTCTCAGCGCGCTGGAGCTTAAGGCCGCACTCTTCGGCCTTGTCCTCGAGCTGTTTCTTCTTGGCGACCATGGCTGCAAACTTTGCTTCCATGTCGGCAATGCGATCGTTGACCTCCTTGAGCCGTGCTTTGGCATCGTTGAGCTGCTGCATCGTAATCTCGAGGTCAGCCTTGGCCTCAGCGAGACGTTGACGCTTTGGCTCGACATTCTTGGCCACGTGGTGATACTTGTGCATGGCTCGCACCCACTTGCAAATGGAGGTACAGGCTTTGGAGACCTTTTCAATGGCCGCCGGCGTGAAATTCTCATTTTCAATGTAGGGCTCAATCTTTTGAATCACCTTTTCCGGGATGTTGTCCTTATCAAAGTTGAACAGGCTGTCCAAAAACTTTTGCGGGTCCTTGAGGAGGGGGCCAGACACGGACCAGTAGTCGTCCACTTTCTGCCCTGGCTTGTCCCCTGCCACCTTCTTGGGCTTGACGCCCTGCATGATGCATACGGTCTCCATGACCAGCCGAACGCCTGCCGGTGGGTTGGACATGGCTTTCACCTCGGTCACATCACCCTTGTTCAGTGACTTGAGACTGGTAACGGCAGCATCGAGTGCTGGCAGCGCCTCGTCCAAATCGCGCTGGGCATCGTCGGCAATTTCTTGGGTCGTTTGAGCCTTGACGTTGGCCTCAGCCTCCTCCTTGCCAACCTGTTCAGCAGTAACCTGGGCAACCTCCTTGTCTGCGGCAATTTGCACCATGGTCGCCTCGGTCTCCCGCTGCGCCTCCTTGAGCATGGGCTGCATCTCAGTGAGTTCGGCTTGGAGGTCAGCTACTTCTTGCGCGGCAGATAAAAGCTTTTCCAGACCGGTGGCCATACGCGCGCGTTGTTGATTCAAGTCAGACTTCTTCCGACCCAGCAGCTTGCGGAAAATGGTAAGCAGTGTGAGGTAGGAGGTGGGTGTGACGTAGTTCTTGCGGCCCAGGCGCGCCAGGAAATCGTCCGAAGCACCAATTACCGACTGCTGTAGTTGGACGCAGCAAGTCACCAGACCTCGAACAAGCTCGGCGTTGTCATTCAGTTCCGGGAGGTCATTCATGAATGTCAGGGCAACGGACTCGAGGGCCTCGTCCGGCCAGCTGCTAAACCAGTCAATGGTGCAACAGTTGACGAGGGCAGGAAACTGACGAAGCCGGGCACGGAAGATCTCGCCAATGGGCGACATGCAAATCACACAGTGGATGTTTTGGCGCACGCGGTTGCAGTAGGCTGAGAACAGATTGGACTTGGTTGGCGGCAGACCTGCGGCCTGCACGTCAGCCTTCATGGCCACCATGATCTCGTCGCGCTCAGCAGAATCATAAATGCCTGGAACGTCGCCGCTGTTGAGAATGTTGTTGATGTCTTCCAGGAACGACTCGGCCTTGATCTGAGTATCAGAGAAAAGGAAGACGACCTGCTGATTCTCTAGCCCGGCCTTCTTCAACACCGTCTTCAGATCCTCGCGCCACTCAGCCACTCCGTAGTTCTTTGAGAGTTCGATCTGGAAGCACTCAAACTCGGCCATTGAGGCAGCCAGACGCGTCATGCTCTGGCGGCCAGAGCCTCCCACGCCAAGACAAAGCGCATTCCCCAGAGGCTGGCGGATAATCCGCGCAATACGACAGGCGTGCCCAATGGCATCCTGAAACAGTACCAAGTTCATCTTGGCTGTTGCATTAATCGTGTTGTAGTCATCAAGGGCTTCCTCTAACACAGCCTTGATCTTCTGCGGATCCTCCAGCCGGCTATATTTCTTCGCCTCGCCACCGCTCGTGTCAAGAAAGTCACCAAAAAGCAGAGGCTCTGACGGAATGCAGTCTGCCAAATTGGTTTGGAAGCGCGCATCCACGCAGCGTGACAACAAGTCATTGAACCACGCACGATCCTCATCGTTGATGAGGCGGTCGCGGAAAACGCGGCGACACTCGTGGGTCCACAAGCGAATGACATCATCGCGCTCCCGCAAAGAGCCAATGTCGCACATGAGCATGCCTTGAAACACTTTGGAGAGGTCACGCAGGTTGAACGTGTAGTGGACCTTGGCTGGAGTAGGGAGCAACTCACGCGTGATCGTGTTGTAGACCTCGATTGTCGCTTGCACAAAGGTGGTGCTTAAGCTGGCCAAGTCTTCCTTTTGGCGCAAATACGCCCCAAGAATGGGCGAGAAGATGGTGGCTTTGCTGGTATCGCTGAGCTCGGTGAAGGCAACAAAGTTGAAGTGGCGAGTCAGGCGCTGGGTGATGGGGTTGCGACCACCACCCGGTGGGCCCATTGCACAAGCAAAGGTCACGTCGATGAGCTTCTTGAACGCGCCAACGTTCTTTCGGTCGTACCAACCTCCGTGATCCATCCACTGTCGCAGAAGTTCGATAGGAGGCTGGGCCCCATACTCCTCTTTGGCTGGCATGTTCAGATCATCGACCATGAAAACAAACTTCTTGCCCAACGGCGGTCCAAAAATACCCTTGCGGCGCTTGTCAAGCTTGGCATCAATCATATCTTGTGTCTGATTTGCCGAGGTCCGGGCAGAGAAGGAGATGCTGTGGGTGACAAACTGCTGGGGCATCTCCCGCAGCAGTTTATTGGCCATGGTCAGCGTCTTGGCCGTGCCGGTGGGTCCCACGCCAAGAACCGGCTTGCTGTTGCTGACGAGCTTTTCCACCACCCACGAGTAGCGAACCGTATCCAGGGTAGGCACAAAGATGGTGTTGAACTGGCTGCTCGGGTTCACAATAAAGTCACCCAGCGAGTCGACCCAACGCTTCCAACCAATAGGTACCGGTGATTCGGATTCCTCCTCTTCGCTGGCTTCGTCAAAGCTACCATCGTCAATCAGTTGATACTCAAAGACGGTGAGACCTTCGGGAAACGGCATTTTCACCTTGTGCTCCGCCATCTTTTGACGCAGCCAGCCATCAAACTTGGTACGGCCTTCATCGTCACAGGTTGCACCGACGGACCACACGAGTGCGATGAAAAACCAGCCCTCAATCATGTCTGGCAGCGCGGTCAAGCGGCGAGCTGGGATGCGGTAACCATCTCGCTCAACATACGGGGCGAATAGACAATCTAGCAGCTTCATGAGACCGGTAGCCAGCTGACTGTCGACCGTCTGCACAATCTCACGAGTGGAGCGCCGAACGAAATGAATGGCGTCCTCCATGTATGTGTCAAAGAGCATTTGCAGCGTGGTGGCATGGGGCTGGATGAGTTGCGGAAGGCTTGATTCAAGCCAAGAGGTCACAAACGGCTCGAGTCCCAGAATAGAGGGCTCCAAGTAGACCATGCCGCAGCGTGACACGGTGGCAGGCGAGGCCACCACCAGGTCCTCAACTTCGAAAATCATTCGCATTTCCGGGGTCAGAGCGATAATCTCACCCGACGCCAGGCAAAGCTTCTTGTTGTCATCGAGCACAGTGTTCATGTTCTCAATCCAGATGGCGTCCACAGGGCCATCAAAGAGGAACCATTTTTCATCCTCGGTGTTGGCTGCAACACCCCGACGAATGAGGGTGCTGAGGATGCCGTCAGTCCATTCGTGTGTCATTTCATCGAAGGCACCGTACAGCTGGCCCATGGTGATGGACTTGGGATTGAGCACAAAATTGTGCACGGGCTGATATACGGAGCCACTGCTTGTGGGCTGGCCCTGCAAGGCAGTCAGGGCGGTGGAAAGGACCTCATAGCAGCGCGTCTTGCCCGAGCCGGTGGGCCCGACAAGCATAAGCCCGTGGCGTACGACAGTCGTCTCGTACAGCTGAATGACCTTTGTCACAAAGTTGTCGACGGGTTGCAGGTGATGGGTGGCGCAGGCCTCACGGATCGCCACGTCCAGGGCACCGTAGTCCACCTCCGGAATTTGAGTGCGCGGGAACAGATCAGATACAATGCCGTTGAAAAGCACGAGGTCGTCAGCCAGAAATTTAGGGACGTTGACTTCTCGGATGGCTCGAAGCACAATGACGTCCTCCTGCATGGTCAGGAAGGCGCGCTTGAGGTTTCCAGCCGCCGAGATGACCGTTTTCACAGCTCGCATGCCAAAGTCATAGTGATCCTGGGATGAGAGTTGCTCCGAGCTTAGCTTGAACACGGTGGTAATCTTCTTTGACAGGGCCTTGGCATCATCAAAACCAAACGAGTAGAGCATGATCTCGGCAATCATAGCATAGTCTGGCACCATCATGGCAACGGGTCGGAACAAGGCTGCCAGATTATCAGGCAATTCAGTGCGACCAGCGTAACCTAAAGCAAAATGCCCAACAGGAATGATTCAGGTCACATTCGTCAAAGCCAAGGTGGACAAACGGATGCATAAGAAAGCCTGGGCAACTCAGTGCCATGTGCCTGCAGGCATAAGCCTGCTGCCATACCCTCCCCACACCACCTCTTTCATGCGTCAAGGCAAAGGGCGACTGTGCGACAGCGCAATTTTACAAACCAGGGTTCATGGTGATAAACGGCGCACAAGTCCACTTGAGGGAGAGATCCACGCCTTCAAACATGAAACGAGTTTCGCGATTTCGCACCGCCTGCTGAATGGTTGCCACCTGTTGTGCCACGACGGACAACACCTCAATGTCGATGCGGTTGAACTCATCGAAACAGGCCCAGGCACCTGGGTTGACAGAGAGTCAACAAAGCAAAGACCACATGAGACGGAACCAGTGCTAAGTAGAATGACATGGTCTGCTTGCCTACCCTCACCCCCCCCCCCCTTCCCCTTCCCAAAGCCGTACGCTCGCTTTGCAGAGGCGGCGATGAGTACACCAAGCGGCAGCGCAACATACCTGCTGAAGCCAAGCCCTTGAAAAATTTGCCCATGGCCATGTAGTCAAGCTGATCAGAGCAGTTGAATACTACACACTGAATAGCCATTGCCTTGGCCAAATCTTTCGTGGTCTCTGTCTTGCCAGTACCCGCCGGACCCGCAGGCGCACCACCGTAGATTAGGGCCAGTGCACCTGTGAGCGTCAAATAGCAACGATCCGTCAAGGGCGTAATGACGAGGCGTCCCGAGTTGCCCAAGTACTCGTAACCGTAGTTGAAGACTGCATTGACCGCCTTGATGTGCAGATCCTCGCCGTGCGGCCGATCGTCCTGTTCCCAGTAGTAGCGAAGCTGGCTGATCCATTCAAAGTCGCTGACACGGGACACACCCTGTGTGCACATGTTGGCCACCACGTCCTTGGCATGGACCTCAATCACGATCAACGCCGAGAGCACCTTGCGTTGAATTTTGGTCAACTTGCCACGCACCAGGGCAACCAGATCAGAAAGCTGCGCGCGCATCTGTTCGGAGTAGTCCTGCAGACCCTGTGCGCCGGCTTGGATCGCCTTTTCCACCTCAGACGTCCAGGTGGTCTGGCAGCCCGCAATCACAATCTGACCCGGCCAAGCAATCACAAAGTCGGTACGCGGCCCGGCATAGTACTGGCCCAATGCCTCTTGCAAGATTTGTCGCAAACTCACAGCCATGACGCGCTCCACTTCCAAAAGCCACTCCTCAACGTTGCCCTTGGGATAAAGATCCTCACGAAAGACCACAGATTCGCCGTCAGCTGATACAAACTCACTCATCTGCAAGTCGTCCTCAAACTTGAGGCGTGCAATGTTATCAAAGCACTTGCGCATGTGCGGCTGAACGGCCGTCGGATCCTTGGTCTGAGACAGGATCTCCAACAACTCATCATCGGACAAAAAGTAGAAGCGAGGAAAGACGCCTCGCTTTGTTTCCAAGTAGGCGCTTAGGCCCTTTTGAACCTGATCCAAGAGCTTGTTGCACTCACGGAATGTCTCAAGCAGCTTTGCGTCAGCGCAAAAGCGCACAATGCCTGGCGTGCGGCGTGCGGCATCCATGGTACGGCGCCACATGGCATCCATTTTCTGATAGCGCTTTGACTCGGTCGGCAGCTGGCGCTGAATATCCTCCGAGGAGAAAATGGGCTCAAGATAGAGCCAGCTTCGTTGGCAGGTGGCCCACTCATCCAACACGTCCTGCGTCACCCGAAGTTTGTTGTCCCAACTGGTGATGCGCTGCTCGAAGGGTTGCTTGAAGGGGGAGAACGACATGGCTTGCGTCATAACAATGTGATCATCAAGAAGCTGGGCGGCCTCCTCCGCACTCTTCATGATGCACGTGCCCGTCTCCTTGTAGTCGATAATTTCCAGGACCAAAGGTTGCCATTCAGCCTCCATTTTATCCAGCGCCTGCTCGATGCCGTATTCCTTGCCGGCAATCTCACCAACACGCGTGATGGTGTCCATGTGTTGTTCGAGCTGAAGTTCCAAAACGCGCTGGAAAGTAAAGCTAGAATCAGGCTTGACATCAAAGCCCACCGCTTCAGACAGCTGCTCCCAGTGTCGCTCGCGCATACCGGGGTTGCGCAATGCTTGGATGAGCGGAACATACGGCTTGAACTCCTCAATCCAGCCCGAGACCGTTTGCGCAATTGCCAGGCAGCCCGGGAGCTCCTTGAACGACTTGCTGCACTTGAGAATGGTCTTGGAAGCGTTGGTGATCTGCACCTCCAGGGCTTCGGGGTCCAGATCAGCAAAGCTATCATTCATCCAGATCTTGTGCGATTTGAGCCACTCGTCGGTTGTGAGCCACAAGTTCTTGAAGGGCTCAAACTCTTTGGCACAGCGATTGAGGTGGTCGTAGTTGGTGACTTGCAGGTTGGAGAGGCGCTCGCGGTTGTTGTACACCTGCGCTTGGGCTTGAGCATCCTTCAGAGCCTTGTGAATTTTGCGGGCCTCGACAGCCACGTGCTCGCATCGGCCAATATCTGTGTGTTGCCCAAAGCTTGCCACCAACATTTGCAGCGAATTGATGTTGTCGGCAAAGTCTTTTGTGTCCGTGTGCAGGTTCTCAATAAAGCGCTCCTCGTCAGCCTTCAAAGAGTCGTAGGTTGACTCGAGCAACTCATGCATCTTCCTGGGCCACGCATAAAGCTGCCAGCGCAACTGTGGAAGGAACCAGTCCAGCCATGTAACAGCCCGCCCACCACAAAGCCAGCAGTCGCATCAAACAGCGAGAATGAGACGAGGAGCCAGCGCAGAAAAAGGCGCAGCAAGCACATGGACAGGCCCCAAGTTGGAGGGGGAGAAAAATCACGTACCGCGAAATCGCCGTCGCTCAAATTTAGCTGAAACTCATCCATGAGCTCCCAATCAGCCAAAGCCTTTTTCACACCGCCTTCTAAGGATTTGACAGTGTCGGGAATGGATTTCATAAACTCGCGCTTGTCGGTCAGGTCTTCGATGCCGTTGACCGGAGTGTACAGCACATTGGCCATCTTCTGAAACTCTTTGTTGGCACTGCTCGCTTGGCCGAGCAACCGTTGCTGGAGCACATCAAGCAGCGAATGTGCCAACTGACGCCGCTTGCCCATCAACTGAGTGCGAATGCCATCACAGCGCACATGGAACATGCCAATGTCGACGCTCAAGGGAATGGAGTCTGCTAGCTTGCGCGCCTCGATTGTGTGCTTTTGACATTCCTTCTTGATGTCGGCTGGGTCCTTTTCATCGGCATTGAAGTTGGCCACGTAGGCTTTGACGTCCAAGTCGATGAGATCGCGAAATCGCTCATACTGGGCGGCGTAATCTACCAAAGGCTTCATACACTCTTGCACGCAGTTTTCCAGAGTCTTGCGCGCCATGAGGATCCAAGGCTCGTTCTTGTGAACCGTATCCAGCTGGGGCGTGCCCACCCAAAACAGGTGGTTCATGATCTGAGCTTCCATGTCAGGCACATTGGCAATGGCCTGCAATCCTTCGAGAAATAGGTTATCGAGATCAGCAGCAAAACGCGCTGGGCTCTCTCGGAACGTCACCACGCCGCCATCACCAACAATCAACTCCATGGCAAAGATAGGACTGCCATCTGGGGCCAAATGCTTGCTGTCGAGGGGATGATCACCCCATGCAGAGGAATCGTGTGCGATGACGCGCGTGCTGGCGCTCTCAACTAGACGAAGCAGCTCCTGGAGTGAGTCAGTGGCAACGGAACGAAGGGCATCTTGCATCATAAGACGGATACCGCAGAAGAACTTGCGGAGCTTGCCATTGTCATAGGCTTGTTGATCACGCTCCTGCAGGTTATACCAGCCTTTGCCCAGGTCTTGAATAGAACGCAAGACCTCATGCCGCGAGCTGGGTGCCCAAGCATTCTTGATGTAGTTGCGCAATTGCTCAAAGGTTTGTCGTTGGATGGTGGAAAACTCATCCATGGTCACGCACTTGTGCAAGTGTGTATTGAAGAGCGGTCGCAACATGAGCTTGTCGCACTCGGCATGCACGCGAATCAATGCCTGGACCACCCGCGGCTCTTGGATAAAGGTGAGCTTCATAATCTGCTCGCGCGCCACTCGAAAATCAAGTCGGTCGCCGAGTTCTTGCAAAGCACGAGTCGTTGACGGCAGCGCGGGCACGTGGCCATTGGGAATCATATTGGCCGATGGCGTCTTGACGCCTTGCAGCAAAAGGTCGTGGCGCTCCTGACGCAGCAAATTGTGCATGAGCATGTTGTTGTTGCACCGATTGTACGCCAGTTGCAAGTCTTGCAAAAGTTCGTGAGTTTGAGCTGGCCGCTTCCTACGGAAAGTAGCGGACGGGAGACAATGAGGAGGAGAATAAAACAACGAAGACAGCCAACACGTTTGCAACGACGCACTTGGCAAGGGGGCCAATCATTCGCAAGACGTTGTCCACAATGGCTGCATCGAGGTCCGTCACGCTGATGCCGGCATCCACCGGCATACAATCCACGGTCAAGTTGTATTGTAGCATGGCCTGCGTCAGCGAAGCGGTGTGACGGGACACGTGCAACGGGATGAGACCACATGGGAACCGCACCGGGCAAGGCATGAGCAGAGCCTTCTGAATAGCCAAAGCTGGTCGGCACACCTCGGTTGCACGGCGCAAGGTGATGGCGGCTGTGATGCGGTTGCAAAAGACTTCGGGATCCTCGGCATGAAACTGCAGGAGGATACGCGGCCGCTTCCATGTGGTAGCGCCTGAATCATGGGCATCGCGGACGTGGAAGACCTGCTTGCTTGCGTCGTAGCTTATCACTCGGCCTTCCATCCATGTCACCTGCGAGCGCCCCGAAAGCAGCAAGCGCTGGTCAGTTGGCGAGCATGATAAGGCACAACCGCATGTCAAGAAAGCTATTGAACCAACCTCGCCCTCGTCGTTGCGCATCAGCGAATACACAGGAACTCCAAGCATTTGCCCTTGCTCGTCGACGCCAAGGCTCACCCATTCCTGAGCAAAGATTAGGCATCAGAACAACGGGACACGCCGGGCGGGAGGATATCAACTCGAGTTTGTCAAAAATGGAGGATAGCCCTGGCCTTCCTACCTCAGGCAAGCGATCATCAAAGTCGTCATCGTCAAAGAATTCGAGAGGAAGAAAGGCATTGTAAGTATCAAGATGTTGTGCCTCCACGCGAAAGGGGCCGGCAGGCAGCAGCTCGTGGTTGGCAATGTCAGCTTCGCTCAAAAGTTCCGCGATCGTTTTGGCAGCAAACTGTCGCTTGCGACGCTCAACCTCAATACGGCGGGGCACAGCCCCCTCGCGCATAGCATACTCTTTCTGCACCTTGGGCTCACGAGAGCGCCGTGTGGTCTGTGCTCAAAGCGATAGCGAACGGGCACAGCATGGCCAGATGCATTAGGCATACACGCAAAGCTCAGGAGGTATGGGCTTGAATCATTGCTAAACAGTTTGCAATGCAGAGGCGAAAATGCATCAGGCACGTACCGAGCTGGGCCGGACAGGCACCTTTCGGGGCTGAAGTTCAGTATCATCTGTAGAAGCTGCTTCATCTGCAAACTGTTTCACTGAGCAACGCGAGAGCGACCACAAAGGCCAATCATGCCATGAGTTGTGTTTTCAGCGCCAGCCCGGACATCAAGCCACACGATGAGTTTGCGCCCTGTAGCCATTGAAGCCATCGCACACGTACCAGAGTTGTGGTACACTTTGTGGCGACCTTGACGAAGCAGCGTGGCTCCCTTGGCCGGCTCGACAGCGCCAGTTTCGGTGTCGACACCGGAATAGAGGCCATACTGTGGCCTTGGTGCAGCCGGTGTGAATGGCCGGTGGCTCGCCATCTCGGGCGGAATCGCGAAAGGCGCTTCGCCCAGCTGGCTTTGGGGTGAGAAGCCAGGCGCGCCTTCAAAAAAAAGCGACCCGACGGGGCCGGGCGTGCTTTGGCGCGACCCGTTGTTGGGCCGAGTTTCAATTGATATCTACCAGATCCATCGAACGCAAGCATCCATATTCATGATGAGCCGACCAGCAAGATCCACTACCCTGGCCCCTCGTCCACAAAATCATGCGAAGCGGCCTGCATCGGGCCCTCCGTCAAGAGCATGCTGCCTCACCGCGCGACGACAAGGGCAACAAGAAAAAAAAAAATAGAGGAAACGAATGGAGCCAAAATCCGTCGTCAAGCGAGTTTGCTAACAACTGTAAAACACAACACGTGTTTTCTTGTGCTTTTTCCGATGTCATCCTGTTTTTGTTGTTGTTGATGTTGTTGTTTTGTTACATCCGATGTATTTTGTGGGCGAACAAGCAGTCAAGCACCAAGACAGTTTGAGATCTTGGAGCTCGGATCATCACGCGGAGGTGCTGTTTCCTTGCGATCAAGGTCTGTGCGACGGTCGGTCACCATGCGGGCTTTGTCCTTTGTGGCGCTGCTGTTGCTGGCAGCAGCAGCCATGGGTGGTACCATACTGGCGCCTGTGCCTCCCAAAGGATGGAACAGCTGGAACGTGTTTGAATGGAACGGCGGCAACTTCTCCGAGGCCGAGTTTCGCGAAACAGCCCAGGCCATGGCCAAGGTGCTGCTCCCGTTTGGCTACGACACCATCACTGTGGACGAGTTCTGGGAATCAGCCAACGCAGCCGCAGGTTTGAGTGGCTCCATCGATGAATATGGTCGTGCCCTTCCTGATCAGCGCCTGTGGCCATCGGCTGCGCAAGGCCAAGGCTTCAAGCCCATGGCGGATTTGGCCCATAGCCTAGGCCTGCAGTTTGGCATTCACGTGAGTGCGAGCTGGAGACTCTTGACATGTCTGAAAGCAGTGGTCTGGAGGTTATTTTGTCACTCTCTGGGGTGCTCAGCTCAACCATCGCCATCCTGAACTTGTGGCGCAGGTTCTGCACACGATCCCCACCGATGCCATCAACGCCAAATCGCCCATTCTGAACGGCTTTGGCTACACTGTTGATCAGATCGCTGTACCTCACCCCTGCCCGTGGAACACCGGTTGTACGTTTGCAAACTTTTCTGTTTTGATTGATTTGCATTGAGTCAAGTCCACGAGTGTCGTGGTCGGATCAGCATGCTTTCCAAACGAAAGGCAATTCTATTCTAAGCTGGCATGTACCTCGGCACAGGGTTTGGCGTGAACATGAGTCACCCGGCTGGACAGGCGTACATCAATAGCCTTTATGAGCTTTACGCTTCCTGGGACATTGATTTCATCAAGAACGATTGCACATTCGGATCCAACCTCGATGTGTCCAACATCCGGGCTGTGCGCATTGCAATGGACCGCACTGGCCATGATTTTGTCTACTCCCTCTCGCCCGGTGACACGGCAACTTTCGACAAGGCACTGCTCGTCAGTAGTTTGGCAAACCTATATCGTGTCACCGGTGACTGGCACGGCGGAGACTATACAGTACGTTTGCGTCGTCTTCCGCACGTCCTGAATAAGATCGCCTGCCTGACTGGCTGGATCGTATTTAGGAGCACTTTCAGATTGCCGCCGAAGTTCACACACTTATTCAAGCACCTGGCAGCCAGGGGTATTCGTGGCCAGACTTGGACATGCTCTCCAATACTCTGGCCAATGATGCCGACCAGCGCTTTCAGATGACGCTTTGGTGCATGGCGCGTTCCCCCCTTATTATTGGCACCGATATCCGCAACGCCACTGCCCAAGACCTGTGGTACTACACAAACCGAGATCTACTGGCCATCAATACCCATTCCAAAAACAACCAGCCCCTCAATGCTACAGCTAGTGACGGCTCCAGCAATGCCTATGCCTGGTCCGCTGTAAGCACGACGCAAAGCGATAGCTATTATCTTGCCCTCTTTAACAACGGTGGTGTCAACATGACCGTTACGGCAGATGCTCGGGCTGTCATCGGCGAACGGGCCTGCCGTGCCCGTGACCTGTGGTCCAACACCACAATAGCCAATTTTGGCCACGCAGGACAGTTCTCGGCTTCTTTGAACCCCCATGCGTCAGTTGTGTGGCAACTCGACCAGTGCCAGTAGTTTGCTGGTGCCCTGGGCTCTTTGTACTGCACGCGCACGGCGAATGGCTGTTGTGAACCCGGAGACAAGGGAAGAAATCTATTTGAAGTGCGATGGGACAGGTCTCGCCCGTTTGACATTGTCAGATAGATTGCGTTCTCAAAGTTGGGATGGACAACAAAACACAAAGCATGTCGCCGAAAGCTCAGCTTCCTCAATCTGATGCGAGTGACTTGGTCTGGATGTGGTAGACATCAAGGTCGGCCGCCGTCACCGTTGACGGGCTATCACTCTATGTACACGTTGAAACCCAAGAGCCATGGTTGTAAGCGAGGAAAACACTCGCCCAACTTGGGAAAAAGACCACACCACTAGCCCACCAGCCCTTACCATCAGCTCTTTGCCTGCGAAGGACTTTGGGAATGCCATGACGTCGCGCAAGCTGCGCGCCCCCGCCGCACGACTGAGCATCAGGACCAGACGATCAAATCCTATCGGGTCCACGACGGCGGATATTGAAACACCGGTAGAGGGAGTGTGTTAAATCAGAGGGCGCCCAAGCAAGGACGCCAACCGAGCTCCACAACGATTGGCTGGCAATTCATTGAAACTTACCAAGCGCAATGCCTGCATGAGGCGGAGCCCCATACGCCAGCGCTTGCAAGAGCTGTTCAAACACTTTGGGATCGTCCTAATGAAACGAAAAAAAAAAAAACATAAAAGAAACATGAAAATGCCTGCACAAAGGCTTGATTTTTCTGCTTTGCTTCTCATGGGCCAAAAGGTCTCACCTGCAGGACATGATCGATGATGTAGCGCTGCAGCTCGGCATCGTGGATTCGCACGGAGCCGCCGCCCAGTTCCACGCCATTCATCACGAGATCATAGTGCTGTGCGCGCACCTGTAGCCCACCACCATACCAAACACGTCATTGTCACAATACGATATGCGATGTTTTTGCTTGAATGACACCCGCTTCAGGGCCATGCACAACACACCTTCATAGGCTCCGTCTCCAAATAGGCAATATCGTCAGGATGGGGTGCCGTGAACGGGTGGTGGCAGGCTTGGATGCGTGCTGCCAGTCGTACCATGTCCACAATTGCTTGACGTCAGCACAAACGTCGTCGTCACAAAAGATACTTCTCGCCTGTTCTCGCGTGCTAAACTTACAGCTATTCAACTCGTGTTGCTCAAACATGGGGAAGTCATACACCCAGAAAATATCCAGCTGCTCATCATCCAACTTGAGCAGATCATGTTCCGCAAGGATTTGAGCAATATACAAGCGCAGCTTCCCCAGTTGCTCTTGCTAAACAGGGATGGGGGACAAAGGGCACGGCAAAGAGTGAATGAAGGCGTCACCATATAGCGCCACGGCATGCTGAGCCGATGGACATTCAGTCAAAGGCCCGAAAGTTTGATTTTGTTCAAAGAAATGGTCGTGCGCATACGCTACAACGGCAGGCTGTGCCACACGGCATCTTACCGCAACACGCCGTGGCCCCGAAACCAGAATCAACACATCGTGTGCTTCGGCATGCATACGCTCCAACAGACGTGCCTGTCGCTCTCATTCACCGAGTGATTGATGATGCAGAAGCTTGGGGTGTGCAGGTACACTGCCGCGCCTACCGTGTGATTTGCGTCAAGATGCTTCCGCAGTGGACCAGCAATTGTACCTTCAGCAGTCACGGGACAGATCAGGACGCCCTATGTTTGACAAAGAGCAATATCATCCGGCGCAGAGTTGCCACGTTTTGAGCAGACTTGAGAAGCCAAGACCAATGGCCCCAGAGCTTCACATCAGGTCACAATAGACTGTTGCATGCCGAGCCCCACACCAACCTCCATGCCCATGCCCCGCGCGTGCTGTTGCAAGGCATCAATGCGCTTGCGTGTAAATGCCGGCTAAGTAATGTGGGAGGCGTATCAGGAAGACTCCGCGCGAATGAGGCCAGAGGCAGGCTGCGTCAGCCAAGCTCTCAGACAACGGGCCGAAATTTCACAGTGGCGAGAGCATGACTTGGACGCGCATTTCACCTGTGCTTGATCTGCACGCAGGGCAATCACAGCAAAATCCTTCTGATCTCCCGCGCAAGCCACCTATCCGCGGAAGATGTGGTTGGTAAAACCATCAAGCTGCGCATGTTTGGCTCTCAAAGCGGGACGACCCTGTGACAAGAGGCACGAGCGCATGGCAGAGTAACAAAAAAACAAAACAAAAGCCGTCGCAATCCAACCCACATGGCCACAATTGAGAAGCTCTGGCGTTACATCTTGAAGCAGCATGTCGAATCGTCGGTCTGGTTTATCCGACCCATACTGGCGCAACATACAGGGAGCGACTGAGTTGACAAGGATTGAATCGATGACTGATGATGGAGGCGTTGAGAACGGATGGAATGCACTTCAGAATCACCTGACTCATAGCTTCGTGGAAGGTGAGCCTCTCAAAGGGCCGGGCCGTGTCTATCCAGTCCTGTAGCACATGCTTGACCACCTTTTCCACTACGATCAAGCCGAGGGTAGACATGCCCCGCATCGTGAGTTGCTGCTTCATCTGGCACGCTGTCAGCAGACACTCGCGGGGCGAGTGCAGAGTGGCGACTAACTGAGCTCCATAACCTCGGCCTGGCCGGCAAAGGCCATCTCCAAATCCAGCTGTGTAAACTCCGGCTGGCGATCCATACGCCCGCCTTCATCACGGTAGCACCGGGCGAATTGATAATACCTATCATGCGCCCCAGAGCATCAAAGTCAGAAACTGGCACGATGGTCAAGCGAGGCGCGCTCTCCCGCCATGGGCAACGTGCTTGGGGCTGGCCCAAATGGTCATACCGATCAATGCCGCCCACCATGAGCATTTGCTTATACTGTTGCGGTGACTGAACAAGAGCATAAAATTTGCCGGGCATTTGCGTGGGCACGAGAAATTCGTTGGCACCTCCCGGTGTGCGCTTGAACAGCGTCGGCGTCTCCACTTCCAAGAATCCTGTATGATTTGATACCAACGGGAGCAACGTGTCAAGATTGAGAAAGTCCCGGACGACTGCTATGAAATTGCCGCTTACAGATCCTCCTGAGCTGGCGCTGGGAGAGAGCTCATTCGAGCGGTTGACAACTGAAGCAAATTTTGAGTACTTGCCGTTGTCGTTGAGAGCTGCACGGAAGCGGGTGCTTAGCTTGTGGCGCAGGCGCAGGGCGTCCTGAAGCACTGCTCTTCGCAGGTCCAATGGGCGGTGTCGAAGGCGAGTGTCCTCAAGTGGCTAGCGGCGAGAAATCCCGGCGCAGCACAGGTCATCTGGGCCCGATTTGAGGCGCTGCTCAATTGGACAAAGCGGCGCAGGTTACCTGATCGTGAAGGGAGGCTGGGCGAAACGGAAGGGAAGCTGCTCGGCTCAGCTCTTCGGCCCTCTTTGAGCAGATTTCAAGGTCTGTCAACTCGAGGCTTGACTGAGCCCGTCCAACAATTCACGTGAGAAGAACCGAGTAAACTCCAGCTCTAGAGTAATACGCCGTTTGTAATCTTGGCCGGCGCACCTGCTGATCGTGATGGGTGCTTCGACGAGCACTGTCGGGCCGAACACACACTTCGCCTGCAGCACCCGCAGGAACCGGAGCCCAAAACGTCAACCAATTTGGAAAATTTTCCCACGATGAACGCAAGCTGGCCAAACCACTTCCAATCCAGGCAGCGGGCTGATTCTCAGCATTGCTGGCTGATCGTTTCAGTTTGTACCTTCAATAGCAAAGACGGACTCGATGCTGGTTTTGGCAAGCAGGTGCATGTCTACAGATCCGAAAAACAAAGCAATGGAGCTGCTTGAGTAAAGGCAATGCTCGATAGCAGCGCCAAGCCCAAGACCACGCAAGAACGCACCTGGTCCAGTAGCTTTGACCTGAACGCGGCCGGTGGCATCACGTAGCGTGACAAAGAGAAGATCATCGCCGGCTTTCCTGCATGACTCATTTTTTTCCAGACCAGTCGACAGTACCAAGATGTGAGTGAGAAGCGCCCATGGCGAGCATGCGACAAGGTCCGACCCACACCTAATGGCTTCGACCCAGCCTGCAACCCGCACTTGCTGCTTGACGTGCTTGGTCAGATCCCCACACATGTGGGTCCGATAAGTGCCAGTGCCCCGTTCCGTGGAGCCTGCCCTTACCCCAGTCCTGGCCGGCAGTCCGCGCCAACCAGTGGGGGCGGGGGTTAAGGCCGCTCGCAGGCGCCCAAGGCCAAGCAACCGAGCGAGCATTGTGTGCAAGAATTTCTTTTGCCAAAATTGCATGCTGACAATTCGTTCGTCGGTGTGCTGTAGTCCATGTGACCAGCGTTTTTGCATAACACCTTCCTGATTGTGTCCGAATGTCTGCTCTCATTCATGCATCGAATGTGTGTCGTGTGGCACAGGAAAAGACGAAGTAGAGCCCCTTGGTCAACTACAAACGACGGACACGCACAAGCCTAATCAAGGAGACAATCTACAAGGCGAACAAGACTTAGTTTGCACAGCAGGGCTTTAAAAGAAGGATGCGTACATATTATTATTGATAGTATTACCCGCGCTCAAGCTGCATGTACATAGCATGCAAAACAAAGTGTGCTTGTACATCGGCCTTGGTTGGTGCTCAGGCCTCGCTGAGATGTCGTACATACACTTCTGAATCGTAGAGGGTGTGAATGATGGAAGTTGCCGCGGAGAGGCTTTGCACAAAACTTAACGTCGATGGCCCAGAGAGTACCGAACCCACAACATCGCCATAGGCAGCATAGTGAGGGAAGGTGCCCTTTTGCAGGCGCTGGAGTGTGGACAGGCTTTGCCGACTCCAGGCAGAGGGGCCCACCCGTTCGACACCTGCGTCGGTCAAGCGCAACGAGTTGCCCTCAACAAAGGCAAGTGACAAGACGTAGGCTATCAGTCTGGCACACAATCGCAGTCGGTGCGGCAATCGAGAGTCAGACGCAAGCGCGCGCGCAAACAAGTTGCCCAATGTTGGGTCCACGGCTACGTTGGCCCAATGGTCCCTAAGTTGCACGCCTGCCTGCTCACACGCGCTATAGTTTTGTGGGTCGCGAAAAAGGCGACCGAGTACAGCCAGGAGTTCAAGCCAGTAGACCACCACCACCTCTGTCTCTGGCTGTTGCCGGTAAACCACGGCCGAGAGCCCAGTGATGTGTTCATGCAAGACCGATCGCGTATCAAACATCTGCTGTTGGCGGCACAATGCAGCCCAAAGGACCAAAGTACAATCGTAGTGACGGGCCGCATTCAAGTAAACCTCTGCGCCAACCTCGGGCAGCGTGAAGTTAGCCGTCAGCGCGGCCAGGCTAGCTGCCGGCCCACCCCGTATCAAGCAAGCATTGATGGCCGCCTGGCCAAGTTGCGTGTAGAACTGAATATGGGTCATGTTGGCCGAAAGAACGGTCAGCCATGTTTCCGGTTGCAAACTCGTGCCAATGGCAGTTGACAGTACCGCCAGCCAAGGCGACACAAGCTGTGAGTTGTCACGCACGGCCAAATCCACGAGCTGCACGACGTTGGTCAGCAGAGCCGCAAGGTGTGGATCAGGGCCCTCGCAGTCCTCCACGAAGCGAGAAAAGCAGTATTCCAAATCCTGGGGTCCACGAGTATCCGCCACGCTGGCCAACAGGTGGCTGGTGAGCGTGTGTAGCTGCAGCTGCATCGCCAACCTATTGGGGTCTGCCCTGGCTGAATCAGACATGCCAAGCCCGCAGACGTTACGAAGCACTCGCAAACAAGCCCGAGTCTGGACGAATTGCCGTCAACAAAGACACAACAATCACCATAAACACATGACACGGGTATGTGTGTGTGTGAGCAAGAACTTGAGCCAGCAAACTACGACCCCCACCCCAGGCCCCTTTATCACACATCGCTCTATACAATATCATATTGGTCAAGATATAACAAGCGGTTGCTGTCGGTCCACTTACGCTCGAATAGTCATGAATGATTTGTTGGGCCGAGCAGTTGGCGCGCACCCAACCCACCAAATTCTCAAACTCATTTGGCGTCAAAGGATAGTGAAGTAAGGGTCGTGAGAGGCACCTGGCCACGGCATTTGTATGCCGTTCCAAGAAGTGCGCGTGGCCCATTGCCATCAAAATGCTCATGAGATAGCAGAACACTTGGTTGGGCGCATCCGGCTCCCTCGGTGGCGTGCAGAGACAACAGATCAAACTCAGCATCTCAGCAGCTGGGTGTGTACCATGGTCTAAAGCTCTTCGCAGCGCTGTTACCATGCTCCATGGCAGTTCGTACTGTGACCACGGAAGCGGTTGCAAAACTTGTGCATAAACGCTGAGCACGTTGCCATCAGCAATATGGTCGACATTATGAAGATACCAGCGGAGGACAGCACTGAGCTGCGTTGACAGGCGGTGCTCTGCTTCTCCATCGCCTAGCAGTTGCACAAATTGGGTCAAAACCTAGCGTCCCACCAAGCACCCCAATTCACATATGAGTCGACAGTCAAAAAATTTTGCATGGGGCATCAAAGGCAGCACTAGCAACCTTATGAGCAGTCTGGTTCATGGCGGCCTGCCGCCAGGGAATTTGCCGACCGTTATCCGGCCCGCTTGGCAAAGGATGAGGCATTGTTCCAAAGACTAGGTTGACCAAGACAGGCAAGCGCTCGGACTTGGCCTCACTCGCTAAGAACCGCACCACCTTGAAAATGACTGAAAAAACGGACACGACAATGTCACCCCAGACATCTGGAATGCTAGCCCCTTGCCGGCGCATGCTGGAAAAGGTTTCCTCAAACATGGTGAGAGCTTGGTCGGCTTCGGCAGCCCCGAGGGGGTTCCTGTCAAGATGTGCTGCGACCTCTTGCCAGGCGCCTGAGAACCCGTGTCCAAGCCGACCCAATTGCAAGAGCTCACTCAGCGACTGGGAGAACGCCCGCGGCAAGCCAAAAGCCAGGCAGGTCAAATAAGCTAGTTGGTGCTTCTCCACCAGGCTGGGTGCGGGGCATGCCTGTGCCGCTTGTAGCGCTTCGGAGAGCGCTTGCTGCAGCGCCACACACTCCTCTGCAACACCGTGGGTTGCCAGAAAAGCGCTCACATCAAAAAGTGTCAGCAGATGATCAAGAACGGCTTGGTTGGCTGGAGTCAGACACTTGGACAGAGCGGCATATGTGGCCACAAATGCCGAGGGCTCGGGTGGACGCAGCAGAGGCAGCAGGGTGGGACTTGCGCTCGGATGCGTCAAACAGAACTGGGCGATTGAGAGTTGGAGTTCACTCGGACGTTCAATGATGCTACTCAGCTGGGCTGTCACGAGCTGCTGCATCCGAGCAAAGGGGGCGTATTGACCCACAACACCCTGGCCATGCAACAACATAAGCTGAACCAGTTGCCACGCCTGAGGAGCTCGTTCGGGCGCGGATTGAAGCTCGGCTACCACTTGCTGCAGCACATGTGCTGCCTGGCATAAGCTATTGGTGACGCTAGAGTCTAAGGGCCCCCCGTGCCACGCCAAATTGATTCGTGAATGTGATCACGCGGCCATAGATCGTGCACAGGCGAATGAAACAGACATTGGGCCTTAGAGCGCGGGATGGGTGGTTTCAATTGCCCAAAAGTGACCGGACGTACCTTTGAGCATCGCGCTGGCCTCTTCTCGATTGCAACTCAAGCTGGTTTGAGTGTGCTCATCGAGCTCGGCTGCTCGAAACGAGGCGCGCAGCTTAGCTGGGTGCAAGCATTTAGCGCCCCGTATGCAAGTCTTCTTTCCCTCAAAAATCTTTTCCTTCAAGCGATAGAGCTGTGAAAGGAGGGCCAAATACTCGTCATCAATGTGCTGTGCTTTCTCCACATTAAAAAAATGTTGTTGTGCCTGCGCCTGGAACGTCTGCAAGCTGGCTGCTACTGGATGATCAGGTGACGCGAGCAGTGCGTCCTCGTCGTTAAGGATGGCTTTCAGAGGCTCCCATTGCTGTAGTTTGGCCTCTCGACACTCTGACTCGCTTTGCAGAGAAGCTTGCAGCCGAACAATGTGCAAATCCACATGGGCGTCAGAAGCTGTGGCGTCGTGCCGACTTGTAAATACAAGTCCAAGCCGCTTGAGTGTGTCAATGCCGGCAGGTACAGGACCCAACTCGACCTCTTGAAAGAGCTCCCCAAACGAAGAAGTTGTCAAACCACGAAGGTCGAGCGTCAGTAGGCGTGCCAAAGCCTCACGATCCGTGTTTGTTCGCAAGGCGTCCTTGGACACGACGCGCTCCTGCACTGCTGGATCTGCTAGGACGCTAGCAACGCCACGGACTTGCTTCGCCAGCAATGAACGTTGCTCGACTGCTAGCTGCTCAGCCAGCACGCGTGCTGCCTCAACCAACTTGGGTACTTGAGCGGCACGCTCAGCCAGGAAACGATAGCCAAAACAAAGGTGCTTGTGGCCCAGATGGGGGCCCTCCGCCCCATCTCCTGCCGTGCCCAGCAGAAAAAGATGGCCAAGCACGCACCAGGAGATCGCCAGTAGGTCTGTGGGAAGGCGCTGATGAAGAACGACCTGTGCCCAGTGGTTGATCAAGGGGTCGGACAAACGAAGACCGTTCTGGTTGCAAATTTTGGCCGCCGATTTGCGAGGTTCAGCCAAGGCCTGGGCGCCCATTTTGCGCAAAAGAGGCAATCCATGGATTGTATCCAAGAACAAGCCCATAAAGAGAAGATGCGGGCAATCATCTGCGTAGCGTCAAGAAAAAAACAAGTTTGAGCGATATGAAGAACAGCCCCTAGCCAACGCGGAGTCCGAGGCGAGTTCGAGATGGCGTGACCCACCGTAAGAAGGTTGTCGAAGCGTGCCGCTCACATAAGCCAAACTTGGCAGCGGTGGTCCGCTCAAGGATTCCGTCATCCAGCTCAGAACGCCACGTTCACGATTATCATGAGAATGCCAGGCTTGGCCGAGATACTCCTGCAGTGGGGCCTTTTTCAAGATGGATAAGGAGGGAGTGAAAAGAAAATCATGAGGCATATGTGGCCAAAACCATAGACACGGACGTAAATGGCCCAGCAGACAAGGAATCGGCTGTAAGAACGTACAAGTACATCCCACGTGTGGGTGGTATGCCGCCAACTCAGGCCTAAAAGTAGGTTGACCACCTAGGAACGAGACGATAGTCAACGCTCAGTGAGGTGACAGCGACAAAAGGATCTACACTGAAGAAACTGCTTTTGCATGAGCGAAAGGAGGAGGCCCTATACCTGGCGCCAAGAGGTTTGTTGTTCCCATTGCGGAACGCGAACGATAATTGCAAGCCAAAAGCGAGCCAGCTTGACCATGGCGGGGCGGTGGGACTCGGCCCCCGATGCGCGCGGCACGAGAGCCACAGGCATGAGTTGCGCAAAGGTTGGCGCGTGTGTCAGTTGGTATTGAACCACCCCACACAACAACTCAGCAGCCTTTAAATCCACATTAGATTTGCCTGCCGTACCACTCGAGCGCAGTGAAAACCCCCAAGCAACCGGGCTAGAAGCATTTCCGTTTGAGTCTTGAAAGAGAGCTCCAACGAGTGGCGCCAAAACCTTGAAGACGCCGTCGTTGGTTCGGTCGGCCAACGCAAGCGTTGGCACGAGGTGTAGCAACAATTTGAGTGTTGCACCCGGGGGTGCCTGAGCCTGCAGAGGCTTCAAAACCCCTTGTAGCGTCGCTTCAACGTTTTGCGCCAATACAAACGAAGGAGACATGGTTGACGCCACAAAACAGGCCATAGCATCGCCTGCACTCAGAAGCTTGGCAAGAGAAGCCTGCGTTGTTAAATCGTGTGTAGGGTTGCCCCACAAATGCAGGCGCAACAAGACAGACCAGAGTGCTTGCGCCACCTTCTCATGCTCTTTGGTTGAGGCTTGCAAATGAATGCCCCATGCCCGCAGGATTGCGATGGCTAGCTCGCGCTGATGCTCGCGAGATATGTAGAGTCTCGCACTGTCAAGAACGAGCAACAAGAAAACACGAAGGTTTGTGGTTCATGCAAGAACGTGTGGCAAGAAGAACAAAGGAGAGACAAAGCTTAGAAGGCGAATCGGCAGTGCGCATGCCATGTCAAGCAATGGACCTACCCCTGGATTGGCGAGTCACGGCGCTCGCGATCACGAGCAAGCTGTCCTTCAGGCGCGCCCCAGGACTCCTCCGCCGTGCAGCTGGCGCGTAGATCCAGTTGAGAGAAGTCAAGATCGGACAAGACGTGGATGGCCAGGTTGAAGGCCACTGAAGTGCTGGGCATGGCCAAAAACTCTTGAAGAATGGTCAAGTCGGAGCGAGTCGGAACCCAAGAATTCCAGGGCAAGTGCTTGAAAATGTAGAGGGGTCTCTGACCACCAACCTCCCTCAAGGCCGCAACACGTGACAAAACGTTGGACAGCATCGGGCTGTATCGCACGCAAATGTTGCGGAGTGCATCGCGGCCATCACGCAGAGCAGACGTGCGCGTACTCTCACAGACAATTGCGAGATGAATAATCTCGCCAACCACTGCATCAGCCAAGACCAGGTTGTGGAGGGGGTCGCTCTGGTTCCGTCGAGATGCAGGCAGGTGTGGTCATTGTTTGATTTGTTTTGGTTTGGAAGGAACAAGGAGAAACACACGCGTGAGAGAGACGGACAGAGCTCAGCCCTGACCTACAATTCGTTCGTGCTGCTCTACTGCTTCATGTTGCGTTGCACTCACCCCAGGGCGAAAAAGCAATTGACCCAGAAAGCTGAACAGATATTGCAAGTGGTCTGGGCTTGTTCCGTGTGGACCGACAATCCATCTATAACGTCAGCATACAGGCATGAGAGTCATCTGACCATAATGGGCTCGCACGCGTAGACAAATGCTGTCGAAGACCTACTGGCGCGCAGAGCCGTTGTTGATGGCGTCAACCCACGCCAATGCCAAGTTGCCTTCCAGCTCGACGGCACCATCCTTCGAGCAAGCAAAAGCAAAGTGATGATATTTGCACCCAGGCGAATCGGCAGTCAGTCAAACGAGGTGTTCGCTTTGCAAAAAGAAACTGGTCAGTCCAGTCCATCCTGTTCACAGTGTCACCCACCGAGTATACCCAGGCAAAGGCACGCCAATGAAGAGCCTTAGACCCTGCATGCCAGGGAAGGCCAACGCTGAAGGAGCTACCAACACGATAACGTGCTGCAGGGACAAAAAAAAAAAAAAAAACACACACAATTTGAAAGCGAGTGAGTGTGATGCGAGACAAAGTTGCTCATTCTTCTCAAGGACCACACCTTGATGCAAAACCTTCAGCGCGTTCCACAATGCATCATCCACTTCGGCCTAGAAGATAGGCCATGAATGATGGACAACCCAAAAATCAGCAATTGGGCTTTTGGTGCACGATGCTGGGCTAGTGCGGAAGTGCTGCACCCCATCGTAGAACCAAAACCAAAAAAAAAAAAAAAAAAAAAAAGAGAGAGAAAACGAGAAAAGCACAGCACAGGCAGCGATTGTTTTGATCTGCCCAAAAGCAAAAAGGGTCCAGGTGTTGAGCATTAAATCAGAGAAATGATTTGTCTCACTTGAAGGCTTGGCAAATCTGTTGGCGAAATCCGAATTGCATCAGAATTGCCTTGAGCTTTTGTAATGAACTCATAAAACTCGCCCATGAGTTTAAGACTCTGCATGAGTGAAGGGTGAGCACATAGCAAAAGGAAACGAAAAGGAAGGGGGGCAGGGTGTGAAAGCAGGGCACAAAGCCAATCCAGACCTATAAAGAAGTCATACAGGCACAATTGCAGCCACGCACCTCGGTGATGAGTTGGGCAATCAACTTTGCGAAATATCGATGACGGCTGCGATACGGATCTTGAAAAGCGCTGCCAAGGATCTGAATCAATGTGGACACCAAAACAGAAATGCGCTGAAACTCTTCCAGGCTCAGGGTACCTACAGGCCAGCACGCAACGGCATCAGGTTGAATGGCAGAGCCCGGAAAGCCAAACAGAAACCAACCGGAAACGGTAAAGATGCGGTTGAGGATGTTTTTGATGGGCAGCTGCGTCAAAATCGCCAGGCAATCTTCCTCGTCCTGGACAAGTAGAGCTACGTTGGCATCCATCAACGAATGACCGTCGCTGTCGAGTAGCAGAGCGTCAGATCCGCTGCTACTCAGGCGTTGGCTTGACTCAACTTCTTCGCCGTCAAACTGGACAACGGGTTGAAGAAACAGCCAGATCATCGCCAAGGCATGATCGAACGCGGTGTGATTTTGTAGGAAGTCGGGGGGCAGCTGTATCAAGTCTGCAAAGGCCTCTGCGTGGCCGGCATGAAAGCTGTTGAAGTGCAAACAGGCGGGTGTGTAAACTTGAGCACTTGCAAACTCGCCCAAAGCTCTGGTACTTGCACAGCCCCCCCTGCCTCTTTGATCGCAGATGGCTTACTGAAGGATGTGATTGAGGAGGAATCTGTGATCTGCCATCGTGCCAATCAGCAACAGGGCTGACATGGTATATCGTAGCCAGGCCTGAAGCTCATCCGCGATGGTGATGCTGTCGTCCGGATGCCGCGCAAAGTAGGCCAAAACATCCAATGTCTGTGGTACGAGGATGATCGGCCCGTATGCATGCAAAAAAACAGCCCTTGTCAGCAAATAGTCATCACCCATCACCTTCTCGAGCAACACTCTTCATTGAAACAAGATGGCCAGCTCATGCTGACTGCTCACCTCGCGCAGCTGTTGGCAATCACGGCTGTGCTGCTCGCTTACGGGTACGGCCAAGAAAGAGATTGCTTCGTCCAGGGATATTTGCGTGCGCCAGCTCACGTTTTGTGCCAGCATCTGTTGTCATAGCCCAAAAAAAAAAAAATTGATAGAATAAGGCCATGCATTGATGACAGCAAGACACTCGAGTTGTAGCCTGTAACATGTTGGAACATACGTTGCGCAAGTAAAGCTGGACCGCATATCGAGCCACGCTGGCTTGAAAGCTAAATCAACCCCGATATCAAAAAGCACAGACACAATGAGATGAGAGGGGACACACTTTTGAGAGCACGAAAGGATTGGCTGCACCAGGTTGATGGCCAAGAACACCCAATTTTCAAAAACGCACGTAGCGCGCATCGCCTCGTCAAAGATAATGTTGCGACACAAACGTAGATCGTCACGAAGACTAGCGTGAACGGCTTGATCATAGGTGGTTGTCTCGTAGGTCACTGTCTCGGACAGACGAACTTTGTCACCACAACGATCTGAGGCTACGACGGAGTCTTGTCCTTTGATCCACAATTGTTCGCTATGCGTCTGAATCAAGCGAGCCGAATTGGTCACACTCTGTTGCGCACGCTTGACCTGAGCTTTGGCTGCGATATAGGAGCAGATTAACTCGTAGAGAGGATGAGTTTGACGGAGACCGTTTTCGAGAAAGTGGTCCACCTCATCCTGCACGTGGCGTAGCTGTGGAAGAGGTACCAACATCTCACGCTCGTCAATAGACAATGGATGTGGTAGGTCTTCCCAGACCAGGACATTTGCTGCTGCGAGGCCTGGTCGTGCCTCAAGAATCACCGAGGCTTCGGGTGGAACGAGCGAGCGCTGTGCCAGTGGGCCTACAGCCACCTGAGTGCCTTCGGGTGCGGCAATGGAAGCTTCGGGTGTCTGTTCACGAGCTTGAGTTGCAACTCGAGCCGAAGGTTCTGCGGTTTGAGCGTCTGCTACAGCCTCTTCTGCTAAGGGTGGTGCGGTGGCCATAGCATGACTGGCAAGTGCAGCCGTGCTTCCAGGCAAGACTGTCGCGGGCGCCCCCGTTGTCGATGCCGGGTCAAGTGGGCGGATCAAAGGAGGCGCTGGGCGCGTGGCAGCAGCCCCCACCAGAGACAGTGAAGGTGACCCCACCTCGGCTGGAGCAGCTGGTCTCGACGAGGTCGGTGACAATGAGGTTTCGTCCGCAGTCGCGGCCGGGGCACTGGCTGTCGGTGAGACTGGGGATGAGATTGCTACCTCGTTCGGTGACAAGTTGGTGCTTGCGACCGATGGTGTATCCACCGGCCGACGTTGCTCGTGGGGCTGTGTTGAAAGCTCCGGCCGAGACGCTTTGGCCTGGCCTTGAGCCTGAACCAATGACTGGGATTCAGATTGGGACGTTTTGGCCTGAGGCTTGGCCTGAGGCTTGGCCTGAGGCTTGGTCTGAGGCTTGGCCTGAGGCTTGGCCTGGACAAATACAGTCAAAAAACACCCAGGCAGTTGTCAGGACAATCCGCACCGCTCTTTCTCTCTCTCTTTCCCTCTTTCTCTCTCTCTCTGCCTCCTTTCTCCTTTCCTTGGTCGCTTCAAAAGAATAAAATGAAAAGGTAAAAAGCATGGACCACAGGTGAAGCTAATGTACCTTTGGCTTGAGCTTGGGCTTCGTTGCTTCCATGGCGAAGGTTTGATCCCAGATCAAATTGCCAAGCTCGTCAACGAGAGACAGACAAGGTGCTATGGCACCCGCTGCTACTTCGAAAGTCTTGCAAGGGCTGATTGCAGAGAAACTCAGGCGCGATGATAAGGTGCCATCATGGCTCGTCTGAGGTCAGCCGAAGCCTGTTGTGGTCCTGACCTCACCACGCTCACTTGCACTTGCACACACTCGTACATCCAACTCTGAATTGACAGAAGAACCGCCTCCTTCAGTGCCCGTCTTTGAGCAGCAAACGCAGCCCACACCTAAATCCGTCGCCGTGGGATGCACTGTGCCCGCCGCAACACCAGCGCTGGCGATCAGAAAAATTCGGAAAAGCTCGCGCAGTGTGTGTGCGTGTGTGTGTGTGACCTCCAAACCAGAAATGATGACAATGACTGGGTGCACATGTAAGGCAACAGCAGCAAGTGTCATGACGCGACAGAGCGATATGTCAGACAAATTAAAGCAGTTAAGAGCCGCGTGCGCGGTTGCTTCGCCGAATTTTTCTTGATTGACCCGAGAGGCGAAGGGGCTGTACATGCAGTATATTGGTTGTGATTGATTCGCTTTTGCTGCTGGCTCGCCTCGAGCTGGCGACCGATACAAAGAGAGTATCGTTATGAGGGGGTGTCAATGCTGTTCTGCTTGATTGATTCGACGGAGAGAAGGGCTCAATTGGGTCCGCAAGAAGGCTTGCCGCCAACGAGTGACGGCTGACCCTCCGATTTGCGCAACATCAGCACCATGTCCTGGGCGCGTAGCTTCAACACAGCCACCGTCGTCGGTTCAGTCCGACGACAGGCTCCCATAACTTTAGCGACCCGTCGCTCCCTGGTTCACACCACCGCCACGGCTATTCCTAAGGACCTTCGCTATGATGTGGTGGTAATCGGCGGAGGGCATGCTGGCTGTGAAGCCGCTGCCGCAGCGGCCCGTACAGGCGCCCGCACTGCGCTTGTCACTCAGAAACTTGAAACCATCGGTATGACTGCAGTTGCCTTGTCCCTCGTACCTGGTTTACCTGCTTCACCAAAGACCCATGCTGTCTTGGAGGCTCGTGTCTTACGGGTGTGCTGGTCGGTTGCGTCATACTGCGCCATGCTTCGTTTGCGAACAGGTGAAATGTCCTGCAACCCGAGCTTTGGCGGGGTGGGCAAAGGCATCTTGCTTCGGGAAGTTGACGCTCTTGGGGGCGTAGCTCCCACCATTTGCGACCGCGCTGGCATCCACTTTCGCGTGCTCAACCGCAGCAAGGGTCCAGCCGTTTGGGTAGGCTCCCCGTCAGCATCCCCCGTGCATGGATTGTCAAGCCCGCACACTCATGCTCGCCTTGTCACTGGTCTGGCGACGACTGTTACCAGGGCCCTCGTGCGCAAATTGACCGCAGCATCTACCGCAGCGAAATGCAGCAACACATGGCATCCCAGCCAAGTCAGGTTTTGACACCCATTTTGATTGCCGGCCTGGCACACCCGGGTTGTCACTGACCCATATCTGCTGGCTTTGCATGCAGATTTGGACTTGATTGCAGCTGCTGTGGAAGACATCACCGTCAACGGCGACCACCAAGTGACGGGTGTCGCCTTGGGTATGTCTGATGAACCCTCTCAACCGCCTCGAGTTGCGCATGCCTCAAGTGTTTATCATGATTCCTGCATGTGTCTTATCCCCAGGCAATGGACAAATCATTGGCACACGAGCTGTCGTGGTGACCACGGGCACGTTCCTACGCGGTGTCATCAACATAGGTGCATACTTGTCTTTGTATCCTGCTTGCTCCCGGTTGTTGTGATTGTGCGTTTGAAAGACAAAAGCTGGCTTGTTCACCCTTTTCTGCCCCAGGTTCGCAAAGCACCCCGGCAGGCCGCAAAGGAGAAGGCCCCTCTGTGGGCTTGGCGCAAACGTTGGAAACCTTTGGTTTCAAGCTTGGCCGTCTGCGCACCGGTATGTTTTCTCTTTTCGGGTCAGAGAAGCATGCACACAGAACCATGCTTGCATATCGAGAGCAAGCCGCTTGGTTCATGGATGCTCTTGTTGCACAACCCCCATGCTTAACCAGGCACGCCCCCTCGCATCAAAAAATCAACCGTCTGCTTTGATGGCCTGCTGGAGCAGCCTTCCGATTACCCGGCCACTCCTTTTTCCTACCTCAATGAGCGAGTATGTCTTCTGGCCCGCTTTTCTATTTCTGCAGCCAAGAAAAAAAAAAACTTGCCTTTGACCATCAGGACAAAACACCATTGTTGTTTGGATACCCTGCCCCAGGTTGCTCTCGAGGATTCCTTCATACAGTGTCATCTCACTCACACAAACAGTGCTGCCCACCAACTCGTCCACGGTTTGTTCCAACGCTCACGTTGCCCAAGTCAAGTCCAGCTTGTTTCTATCCGTCTGCTTGACTTGATCTGGATTTGCTGATTTGTGAACGCTTAGACACGCTGCATGAGAATAATCATGTTCGCCAAGATGCCTTGGGGCCTCGTTACTGTCCCTCTATCGAGTCCAAGGCAAGTGGATGGTGATCAAATTACATTTGCTGCCTGGGACATTGCGTTGCGTTTCATACCTGGTCTCGTTATCTGATTGCTGTCATTTGTTTTGGACGATCCTTGTTTTTCGCGCACACAGGTGTTGCGGTTCACAAACCGAGACCGTCATCAGGTCTGGCTCGAGCCAGAAGGCTTGGATTCGGATGTCATTTACCCCAACGGCATCAGCATGACTATGCCAGAAGAAGCTCAGCTGCGGTTTGTACGTTCCATCGCCGGCTTGGAGAATGCCCAGATCACGCAGCTTGGTATGTTCAAGCTCAGAAAACATCTCTTCGGCTTGCGGACAAGTGCTGAGCCGAACAAAGTTGATGATTTATTTCGTGCTGCTCCGCGACGGCAGGGTACGGTGTGTCCTACGATTTTGTGGATCCGCGGCAACTTCATCGCACGCTGGAGACGAAGATGATTCATTCCTTATTCCTGGCTGGTCAGATCAATGGCACAACTGGTTATGAAGAAGCAGCTTCCCAGGTGGGCGGTCAGCATGGCGCCGTAGAGCTAGCCTTGTTCCATTCTTTGTGTGCTCTCGTCTAACGTGCCAAATTCTTCCTGGCCAGGGCATCATTGCTGGCATCAATGCTGCTCTCAAAGTACGAGGCGAACCTTCCTTCACCGTTGATCGTACGCAAGCCTACATTGGCGTGTTGATTGACGATCTCGTCACCAAGGGCGTCCTTGAGCCGTACCGCATGTTTACATCCCGAGCCGAGTAGGTGCACCTGCTGCCATCATCCTTGACCGCGAAAACACATGAATTTTGCTTTCCCTTCCCCTTCCTCCCTCTTCCCTTCCTCCTTCTCTCCTTCTCTATTCTTCTCATGTGTGTACACGCGCTTACCTTGCAGATATCGTTTATCGCTGCGAAGCGACAATGCCGATACTCGCTTGACGGCATTGGGCCATGCCTGTGGTGCCGTGGATGAGCCTCGTTTCCAGCACTTTTGTCAACAGCAGAAAGAGGTAGGCATTTCTAGACTTGTATTGTGGTGGTCAGGTGCAATCATACACGACCGCGAGCAGGAAAAGCCCCCTTGAAGACTCAACTTGACGCGTGTTTGGCATTGCACAGTTGGCCGAGCTGACCCAGCTGTTGGAATCTGTCGAGCTCACTCCCCATGAGTGGAACAGTGGAGGTCGATTGCTGAAAAAGCTTGGTCTCGACGGCAAGCGACGCAGGTTGGCGCCTCATGATCAAGGATGAATCCTCTTTGACCGCTCTTTGTATTGGACATTGGCTGGCTCGCTTCCCTACCGCTTGCGAGGCTGGTACAACTCACTCCGGTGTGGTTTGCTCAAACCCTGTAGCGTGGCCAGCATGATGGCATTCGGCTTTGTTTCCGACTCGACCGCAGCCGACTTGGTCCCAGCTCTGCGCTCCTTTAATCCACGCTTGGTCGAACGCGTCAAGATTGAGGCAATGTATGCGCACATGATGAACCGGCAGCGAGCCAGTGCTGAGTCGTACCGTCGCCAAGCCAGTTTGGAGATCCCGCCCGGCTTTGCCTTTGAGAAGGTTCATTCGTTGCCCCTTGAGGCGCTTGAGCGATTGCGTGAGCACGCGCCTCGCACAATTGGAGATGCCGCACAAATTCAGGGCATTACCCCCGACGCCCTCGCTCGGCTAGTGCGTGCTCTGCAATCCTAGATAATCCCATTCTGCTCGACTCACACGTGTGTCGCATAGTGTCTTGTGGCCATTCTGAAAATCGATTTTGACTCTTGCATGAAAAAAAACTGTCAGTCTCCAGCACGACATACGCTAACAAAATCACGACGCTGAGTCATGACTTGGAGTCACTGAATAACCAACTTTAGCCAATTTGGTTTCGGGAAGTGACACGACCAAATTTTAGTTTTGCTTGAATGTTTGTGCAAGCTCAAATCAGAAACAAGAGAAAAAGCCCCCTGGTGATGCCAGCAATGTGAGCTGCAGATTGGCCACTCGCGTGAAAAAACGAGACCTTGTTGGCCACGAGACACATGACGTTTGAGAACAGGAAAGAAAATAACAAAAAAATTCCAATACATGTAAATCATCGAAAAAAAAAAAAAAAAAAATCATGTCCGGACCTTGGATCTGCAATCTCAAGTCAAATTCGATCCCAGATAGTCGTGGCGGTATGTTAACCAAAGACGCACTTGGCAATGCTTTGGCGTATTATACAATGTCATGTTAGACCCGATCGATTGTTAAACAGTCAAAATTTCCCACTACTGTCAAAGGCAAGGCTCGCGCCGTGTCACTGGCCAGCAATGGCACGAGGTGAGCCATCCCTTGACGGGATGGACACCAAACAAAAGTCCGCAAGCGACCACGGTGCGCGCGTGGGACAAGCGAAGAATTCAATAGGAGTGCAAGTCAAGTACCGCTCACAACATCAGGCGCAGTCTGCTGACAACTGCAACTAGCATTGTCATGCTAGTCAAACGGATGTGATTTACTCAGGTTGGCTCGTTGTTGAGCTAGAACCAGATCTAGAGGCACTGCCCCGGAGGGCTGGTGGGTGCTCACGCTATGTGCCTTGGAGCGCGGATTTCGTTGACCAGTTGATGCCTCGTAGCCACCTTCACCCAATCCTATGTCAGAGGGCGACGATTGAGCATCAATCTAACACAAAGACATCATACGGCGCCTTTCCACGCCCCTTCAAGTCGTGATCGCTTTTGTGCGTACGTGCATGCACACGCGAAGGGAAGAAGGGGCGAGAGGAAGGGAGAGAGGGGTGGCGCAAAGATTGCAAGTGCCGAATTGAGTTGAGCTGTTGTTGGTTCAAAAGCATCGAGCCTACCTTCCTGTGGCGCTCCGGGCGGCAGGAGCTTGGCTTGGTACTCTTGAGTCAAGGGAGATGGGTGGACACGAGGGTTGTTGGCACCGATGGGAGTCACCTCATACATCAGCCCGTTGCTTCCATGTTGTCCAATCTGATGGGCGAAATGCAAGGATAAGCACTTCTGATGAATGCGCCAGGAAATCAATACAGAAGCGGCGGTGGCGGACCAACAAACCAGCTGTTCAGAAGAGGGCGGTAGTTCGTCTGCGTGGGCGGTCAGTGCGATGGCCTCGCTGCAAGGTGGACAGAGCGAATGCACGAGTGACCAATGCATTGCTTCTAGACGCAGCTTGGATTGAGGCACCACGGGCGCAGCAACACCAGGTCCAGACGCACCTGAGCAAGCGCATTAGATCTTCACTTTGACGAAAATCGAGATCAAACACTGAACACCAATTGTCCACGAGGTAGGCGTAGCGCCGCCGCTCTTCAATGAGAATGTCACGCAATGTTGCTTGGTGAAAGGCTTCCAGGGTTCGTGCGCGATGGGTGTGAATTTCAGTGGCCTGATCAAGACCCGATTGCTCCTTGTCTGTGCCACGCTTGCGCACACTCTTTTGAGCCTTAATCGTGGACTGTCCAGCTCTCTTGAGGTCAGAGCGCAGCTGTTTGGCACCGTTTTTAAAATCCTCTTCCATTTTGGGCAGTTTCTTAGCCTCCGATTTGAGTCGCTTTTGCAGGGGCAAGATCAATTGGGAATTGAGCTTGCCCGCTTGCGCTTCACGACTGGCGACAATCTACCACAGGCCCAGAGAAGTGAGTGCTGATCTGAGCTATGAACTCATTCTTACAGAGACGAAGTGAGAGACACGCCACGACAACCTTACAGAGTGGTGTTGTGTAACAAGTTTCTGCATGACTTGTCCAAGCTCTTGTGTGGCGCCCCGCGCTCGCGAGGCCGACACGGCAACCTGCACCCAACATTGGTCAAGGTGAATGGCAGTCTAGCATAGCACAGCAAGTTGGGCCAACATGAACGGAGAGGAGATGGCCAAAAGCGCATCGCACCTTGCTCAGTGAGTCGATAAAGGTGAGGGCAGCCATGTTAGCTTGAACCATGGCAGCCTGATACTTTGTTGCCGCCTGCAAAGTCAACGTGGCAAAAACGTGTGGGGTGAGCTGAGGTGAGGCAAGCCCAAAAGATCTCAGATCAAGGAAAAACATAGCCACCCCAGGCCTGGCTCACTCGCATGAGTCGGTGCAGCTGCCTGCTGCTGGTGACAACTGGCCTTACCTTTTGTAGATCATCGAGCACAGGTGTGCCCACCTTGAGGTTGGCAAAAGTCTATGCAGACCGAGCAACAGGTTCCACCGGTAGGAGAAGGGTAGCGGGCGGGGACGGTGTTCAGAAAGAAGAGCAGGCATGCATGCAACCGAGGCGATCGCAAAGATGTGAGCTATCGGTATCGTCTACTCCAATAAGGTGGTGCAACATGCCAACCTGTTCAATCAAAGCTTGGAGGCTGTCAGAAGCCACAACATGGGCGTGCGCTGGATCTGCCATGGCGCCAAGAGTATGCTGCGGTCTGGAGGTGGATCAAGGGGGGCGGACGTGAATGGAATGTGAGTGGAAGGCTTCGCCTCTGCGCGCGGGAAGATGAAAGATGAGCATCCACACCAACATGCTGTCGTCTCTCAATAGTCCCACGCCTCATGGACTCTGCCCTGAGTCCCCGTTCATCGGCTTTGCTGCACTGAAGCCCCTTGCAACCCAGGCCATCATCGCCGCGCTCACCAGTAATCTTATCCGCTCGCCGTGCAAACAACAACAACTGCCACCGCTTGTGGCGCAATGCCTCCGATAAAAGAATCTCACTGAGTTCGTCCCCACGATTTCCACCAGATACGCTCACTGCATTCGTCGTTGACATTTGCTTCGTGCACTCCAAAAGTTTTTTTTTTTTTTTTCGGGCCAGCAACTTGAGCCACTGTCCGATCCAGCAGCATCGGGAAAGGCGCAGCCGCTGACGCTTCTCTCCATCCGACCACCGAGGTTTCAGCCTCGAAGGCAAGGCTAATTCTTCCTTCATCCCGCGCGTAGCGGAAGCAAAACCGTTGCGTTTCTCGCATACGGCAAGACCATGTTTGACGACGCCCCTTCAGGTTCGCTATATCGGAGGACGTGCTCACAGGAGGAAGAGACATTGACGGGATGTATCAAGGGGGCTCATTGTTGCTTCAATGTTCTGGGCGCGCTGTATCAGGCTTTCTTCAGGGCTTGACCCTTTCTCGACATTTGTCCCAGGAAGTCTTGGCTCTCCTCGTGAGTGGATCGTCCGCCCCCGCCCGCGTCCGCGCCCGCGTCCTGGTAACTTTGCCTGTCGTTTGTAGGCCGGTGCTGTGCTCGCAAAACAGAGCGATCCCACGCAATCGATCGACTTTCCTGGTCTCTTGCGGGTACGTGAATTGGGTGATCGAGGACACCTCCGTTTCACCTCCGTTTCACCACGACCTTTGCCTCGTCCCCACTGCTTCCCTGCCTTGTGTTGTTTGGGAGAGGAGGACAATGGGGCGTTGAGTGCATTGGATTCGTGTTTTAATGATGGTGCCAATCAACAGAAACAATGCGAACCTGACACAACTTTGGCCAATCTACAATCAACGGCCAATGCTCTGGACTACGTCTTTCGGTGTGTCGTCCGGTCCCTTCTTGTGCGCACACCACGCCGATGAGTCTCATGTCGTAGGCTCTCATCATTTGTTGGTGTCTTGGGAATACAGCTGTGCCGAGCGAGCCCACTGCAGCACAGATGAGCTGGCTGCAGCCCTCAAACAGCTTGGTGCATCTGTGTGTGACTCGTCGACCATCAAAGTCATCAAGCACATCTGGAATACCCGCGACGCAAGCCCATCGAGCTTGGCGACTGCTCAAACAGACATTGGGGTAGCGCAGGTGAGGCCCACATGCGCGCGCTGTATGGCATTGAGATGTAGTTGTGCGGGCTTGCTCATGGACCGGACGCTGGTGGGTCACACAGCTGGTCGACTGGGATTTTCATGTTGGCATGACCGTGCAATCACGATATGTGAGCAACCAAGCTCGGCCTTTTGTCACAGCGCACCTGCGCACCAGCCAGAATCAGCCCGTGAGCGTGGAATTGTCGGTAGCACAGTTCAAAGAGCTCCTTGCATCGGTGCGCGATGTGCGCCAGGCCATGCGCATGTCATAGCGGCCCCCACTAGAAATTTTCCCCAGCTGTCTGAAAAATCCTCGTGCCCTTTGATGTCTTTTGTGTGAGTTGTTCCTGGCTCAAAGCCCCAACATCGTTGGCCATTGCCACTTGAATTGAGCTTGATGCGAGGCAGGTGATATTGTGCGAGGATAGGCGTGGTGGGCACAGGGCGAGGGGACAGGAAAGCAAGCCAAGGGCAGCTAGCGACAACCCAAGTGGCCTGCAGCTTTTGCTGCTCTACTTTTGGGCCCAAAAGTACCACGCAGCCACGGACAGGGCAGCGCCCGTCAAGGCGACGACGGCCGGGTAGGACAATGTGGGCAGTAGCGTTTTGGGATCACTCGCCAAGCTCCCGATGACAGGAATATGGCCCGTAGGCTTGTTCAAAGTCTTGAGACATTCGCGTGCGGCGCGCCACCCTGACTCGACCGCACCGTTCATAAAGCCGGGCCAGGTCGTAGCGACCTCAGTTCCAGCGAAGAAGAAGCTGCTCTCATATTCTGGCGCACGTAGCTGCTCCCAGCTATGAAGGTTCATGTCTCCTACAGAAAGACACGAGAAGGGGCCGGAAGGCGAGCAGAAGATGAGCTGATGAGGGAACAAGCTGTCTCACGGCGATGCGTGCCGCTTCTTTCGAGTCAAATCCAAAGGGGCAGAGTGCACCTGGATGCATAATGTTGACGGGGCAGCCACCCGTGAATGGTTCCTGTGACCAGTCCTTCTCCTTGTAGTCGATATAATCGCCGGCCTTGGGACCGAATACCTACAGCAACACACCAACGGGCACGGTCAAGAAGGTTCAAAGCAGGTTCTGAATAATCAAGTTTTTGATGGCCGCTCACCGCTTGTAATTGGTCGATGACAGCCGTACGGCGCTTGGCAGGAGATGTCTGGCTCCAGTGGTACGCGTCATCCCCACCTAGCAGGATACAACCACCGTTAACTTGATTTACAACACAGGTTGTGGAGGCCAGCCCAACACCCTCTCAGTTCTGGCAAGGCTTACCAATAAACATGACCAGGGCGGGGTTCTGGCCGTCCTCGCTCGTGGCATCCATAGCTATGCAGATGGGCCCAGCACAGCTGCAGAGCTAGGGGGGGAAAGGAATGCAGCAGTTGGGTTTGAGAAAGAAGAAAAGAAAAAGGCGCAAGCATGAGTTGTTGTGGGCCGGCGCAAGTGGCATGGAGAGATGAAATGGCCATCAAATCGAACCTGTCCACTCAAGCCGTCAGCTCGCCAGAAGGCAGTGGTGTAGGACACAAGGATCTTTGTCAGATGAGCTATCCAATAGCAGAGGCAAGGTGCAGGGGCGTAGGTCCAAGTGAATTGTGTCACTTGCACACGCCTTGAATGGGCGATTCAGTTGACACTGACCCATAGTCAGATGCTCGTATGCGCGGCGGCGCCACAGGGGCAGTGCGGGCTCCAAAACAATGTGGCGCAGTTGAGACGGAGGTACGGCCATGATGATACGCCTATTGCGCGCCACGAGTCCCACCACATCAAACTTGGCTAGGCGATCTATAGTGTGTGTGTGTGTGTGTGTGTGTGTGTGTGTGTGTGTGTGTGTGTGTGTGTGTGTGTGTCACGCTGAAGTTGGGGTTTTGTTTGTTCAAACATACTTGGCCACGGTCATTTGATCCTGTCCGTGAACCACACGGTAGGTATCATTGACACGCTCGACCTTCCAGACAGGCTCTTGCAGGGCAATGCAATCTTCAGGCAGTGTGGCTGCCAATGCATTGTACAGAGACTGGGCACCACCTGTAGGACAAAAAATCAAAACAACACCACAAATCAGAGAATAGGTGAGGTGGGTACACAGGCAGCATCATGGTGCATAATTTCAAGGCAAAAAGAGCTGGGCAAACAAGGATGGACTTGTTCTCGGTCAAGCCTTCGGTCCAAGCTACGAACCAGTCATGCGGTACTCTTGACCACCGCCGTCCACATTGAGCAGATTCTCAAAGCATCCCGCCGCCCGGGAGTAGTGAAGTACGTAGAGGAAAGACACCTCGTGCGGATCGGCTCCAAAACAGCACTGCCGACACATTAAAGTCAAGGGGTGATGTTGATGAAGACACGCGAGGTCGGGAAGGCGTGCAGGGAGCGGTAGCCATACCCGGCAGATGGCAGTCATGATCTCGCGCACAAATCGGTTTGAAGTTTTGTTGGACAGCGCGTCCCATAGGCTTTGGTGATCCAGATCAGCTGCATGGGGGTGCTGCGGGATCAACGGTTTGAGGCCGAACAACAACAATTAGTCACGTTGCTTGAAGCAGAAGTCTCCACGCGTTGTGTACGCTTGTTGTCGAGCAATTTGGTCGCGGTACGTACTGAAGCTGGGTGAGAGGGGCTCACGGTCATGACCAGGCGCTCCATCCAACTGAGCAGAAAGCCCAGGTTGAGGGCGGTGGCAAGGCCGACGGACAGGGGAACGGTCCCCGTGTAAGCGTAGCGCTTGGGCTCGCTTGATTGTATGATGTGTTGGCCTTGGTTGTACTGGGGGTAGATGGTAACGCCCAGCTCCTTGAGCAGGTGTGTGACGTGTGGCTGAACGTGAGGAGATACCCATTGGCCGCCCATGTCGACGTAGTAAGGGCCGGTGGCCATCTGCATGCTCTCGGTCAGGGTGCGTCCGCCAATGCGATCCTTCGCCTCGAGCACCTTGACGCGCACGCCGGCTTCGTGGAGGGCTCGTGCTGCCGTTAGACCAGAAATGCCGGCACCCACGACGAGCACGTCCGTTTCCGTGATGCCCTGCGTCAGTGCGGCAAGCAGCGTGAGTGTTCAGGGCGATATTATGGTGCGTCAGGTGCGATCTTACAGCGGCCATGGCGTTGGAATCTTCCAAGGGAGGGGTGGCAGCGCCTCCGTGACTACCAGTGCTGCTATGGTCACTCTGATTGTTGTTGCTCAGGGTGCGCTGCGCTGTTGCGATCTCGTGTAGGGGATTGCGTCGATGCACCACCTCCCCACTCCCAGGCAACACAACACTGGATCCATCAGCTCGAAACACCGCGCTCATGATGACACACCACAAAATGATGACAACGGCTGGAAGCTGACTTGTCAGACAAACTCTGCGCGGCTTTTTTTTTTTTTTTGGGGGGGGGGATGCAAAATGGCGGCGCTGGTGTGGGGTTTGCTGGGGGTGGTTTTGTTGGGGTCTGGGGCATTGGCTCAGGGTCACTCGCTGCTGACGGATCCAATGTTGGTGTCTCCGGCGCTCTATCTCACGCCAAATACAACGCAGGCACCGGTGAGTGCTGTTCTTTGGCTTCAGTCTCGTCGCGGGTTTGGTCTTGGACTCCTACTCTGTCTCGGGTTCTGTTTTGTGTGGCGTGTGCTACGTCCACTTCTAGCTCAGGTTTCGGGGCATCTGATTGTGCATGATAGATCTTCCATCATCAGTTGTACGGTCCCTTGGGTCGCGAGCTCAATGCCACCAGCGTTTGGCACATTACTCAGTGGTCCACCTGGGCTGGTGCGTCACGATGTCCCTCTACCCCGTGCGCCTTGGCATGCATCGGGCCATCATCAGCTCATACAACACCCTCATTGATGTTGTGGCATGGCGCACCATACCTGCCCGTCATAGATTTGCCCGAACAGGCCGTCTATGACCAAGGGGGTCCGTGTCGGCAAGCCACGGGCGCGAATGGGGCCAGCGTTCAGTACTATGCCCAGGCACCGAGTGGTCATGTGTGTGTGTATGCGAACCACACGACAGGGCGACACACGGTGGAGCTGCGGCAGAATGGCAACCACACGACCTGTGGGGCAGAGTTTGACACCTTTTTGGGACCCTCTACGCAAGTTTATAGCGCTTACCCGCAAGGCCTGGTCAATTCGGCCCCGCTCTCAACCCTGGACCACGTCACAGCACGGCTGACCTTGAGCTTGCCCTACGTGCCCAAGGTGTACGCGCGCTGTGGCAGCTTTCCTCAATGCCGCGGCGCTGGTCAGATTGACTACGGGTAAGGCTTGCTGTTTTTTTTTTCCATCAGAAGGCGCGTGGGTCTGTCCAAGTTGTTAAGCCTTTTCATTTTTGGTTCGGCTAATTTTTGGAAGCATCAGATCCATCTATTTGGTTGAGCAAAGTAGTCTGGCTCGGGGCCGGTCCCCAATGGCGCCCTGCTTTGCTTATCGCGCTCTCTCATGGTCCATGTGTGGGTGGGACACAGCTACAGCGTTTTGGGCGTGACAATCAGCAGCAACACGTATGGACAGACGCTCTTTTATCAAGTCAACCTAGGCGACACACGAGACAACACGGGGTGCCCCACGCACGGTAGCTCCTGCTCACCTCAGGCCCAGAGTTGGTACGCCACGAGCAACCCATTTGGTGTATCAGATTCGCCCGCCAACTTTGGGGCGCCTTGTCTTCGAATGAGTCAGGCATCGCCTGGCGCAGTGCGGGTCAAGTATGAGCTCGACGTGCTGCCCAAGCTGCTCGCGGCCTTGGAACGGCCACCGGCTCACAGCAACCTGGGCACCGATCCTGCGCATTGGTTTGTTTCAAGCATGTACATTGGCATCGGCTCCCAGGGCTCGGTCGATCAGACCATGGTCATCGAGGAGGTGGATCTTGTCACAGCCAGTCGGGCGTGAGTGAGCGACGACAATTCATGGTTCATCTCCCGTTCCGCTTCACACACCACAGCACAGTCGCCCAAACATTTTGTATGACAATTATGGATTGTCAGCATCAGCGAAAGACCGAGATGAGAGAGAGAGAGAGCAAGCAAACCGTGAAGCAAGCCACGTGAGACAATAGAGGGGCCCGCGCAATTCCATCCACATCCATCGACCTCCTTCCCGACCAGACTGACTCGCTCTCAGATACGAGCCAACCCGGGGGACGCTTGCAGTTGATCAGCTTGCCGAGTGGGCTACATTTCAACCCGTCTTTACTTCTACACAGCACTTGACCGCTACGATGGATCCGGATTCCAAGGTCATGGAAGAAATTGGCACCGTTCTGCGTGTGGACAGCATCTCCTGTCCCTCCTGCGAGGTTAGAGCAATCGTCCGTGGGCTTTGAGCAGAGAGGAATCTCAGGTCCCAAGGGGGGTTTTTTTTGACACCACAGGCCCAAGGTTGCATTGTGCCCATGATTTCCTTGGACAGCCCTCATCCTCAAACAATTTCGGCTTGGGTGCCGCAGGATAATGGCGCCGTCTCTCGCATCATTCAGGTGACAGGCATTCAGAACTTGGATGACCAGAGCCTTTTGAAACAGGTGGGCATGGGTTTTGAAGCGAGGATAATGACTTGGCCCTTTGAAGGGTGGTGAGTGCGACGACATGACTGCATCTTTTATGTCCCGTAGTTGACGTGCGAGGCGTGCAACTTTACGCGCCTCGATAAGGTGACGCGCGAAGAGGGCTTGCCTGATGCGGCCACCCGCTTTACCCTGAAGTTGTGCCCCGAGTCCAACTGGCAGTCACGCCGTCTTATCAAGGTCTGTTCTCTGTCGTTTTGTCTTTCACTCCACATCGCTTCTCGCTTTGTTGTTCTCCTGCGCCACACGCAACAGTCTAGACAAACTCGCGTGCTGACCTCGTCATCTGCCGTTTGTCTTTCGCATGTGTCACTCCAAAACCAAAAAAAATGGGCACGTTGCATCACTCCTCATGGCTTGACATACATTAGTCTCTGGGGGCCAGCTTTTCCATCCCGGAAATTGGATTGGAATCTGCCAAGACGGAGCAAGGTGGTGCTGCCATCACGGTGCTGGAGCTACTGCAAGCGACCAAGGCCGAGGTTGGTGCGCCCTCCCCTTGCTTCGAGGGAGATGGCAGCAAGAGCACGAGTTGTTGGATTCATTTCTTCTTCTTTTTTTTTTCTTTTCTTTTCGGTCATCTGGTGGTTGACGAATGGCGTTGTCGTGGTTGCAGGTGACCAACAGCCCGGCTTTTCAGCAGTTGGATCAGGCCGAGGGCATGGTGAAGTTGATGGAGTTTGTGCAGCAGTTGGATGAGGTGCGTTCATCCTGCACCTGGTTCTGTTGAAACGCATCTAGATGGCCTAGTGTAGCAACTTGGGCTTTTGCTTATCAGCGGTTCCTTCCGTGCCATCTAGGTCATTGAAGGTACGATGGACGCAACCCTGGTTTTGGAGGACACTCAGGACAAGATGGCGTTCATCGAGGTGCGTGATTATGGCTTTAACGAGGGGTTAAGGTATTTTTTTTTTTTTTGTCTGGTGAGACGCGAGCTGTGTGGGTCAACTCATCCTTTTGCAAAATCGTCCGTTTGTGTTGCTTGTGGCACAGCATGTTGGCCAGGAGCGCGAAAGTGATCAGCATCTTGTCGTTGAGGCCTAAGGCCAGACATGCATCGTGTCTTTTTACCGTTGATATCTGTACACAGCTGCTGGACTCTAGGGGTACGGGCTGTGCTGTTGTTTATTGTGGGGGCATACAGAAGTCGGCCCAAGTGTATTTTGTGGTGAGCCCACGAGGGTTTTGAGGGATGCTTTTCGTTGCGCATGATGATCTTCATTTTTGGGATCAATTTACATGCTAAACGTTCAACGTTTGGTGATATCGAGCCGAAATATGCGGGTTTGTGGATCACACTGATGCTTGTCCAGGCCAGTTGGGGCCAGTTGGGTCCTGGGGTGGCCAAGAGCAACATCAACAGCAACTCAAACTGAAGGGAATGAGTACAGATTGAGTTGGAGACAAACATGCTGGGCCACGAGGCGCGGCGGTGAAGCCGACTGAAGGAGCAGTGCATCCAAGCAAAACTGAGACAAGGAGGATAGATCAAAGAAAAGACAAAAAAAAAACCAATAGTTCAAAGACACCCAAGCACGTGTGGGCCGGGTTAGTGTACTCCCCATGCCTCCTCAAAGCCATCTGTGAGCTTGCCACAAACGCCAGCCGCGGACATGGCATAGCCGGACACGGCAATCTCTTCGGTGATCCAGGGCACGTCGAGCTGCCCGTGGGCAATAGCACCAATGACCACACAGACGGGCTTATCCATGGCATTCTTGGTGGCGAAATCGCGCGCGCGCACTAGCTTTTTGGCCTGGTACGTGGTGCCTAAGCGAAGCGGCAAGAGAAGGCGGTGAGAAGCAGGCTCGGGGTGGGAAGAAGAGTCAGGGCGAGGCAAGGATGGGTGTCTCCACAGGTAGCCGTGGTGACGTTGAGCTTACCAATCTTGAGACAACCGGTGGGGAGGTGATCGGTGATGGGGTTCTTGATGACCTTGAGGAGCTTTTGGGATGAGCCCTTGGCGGCAATGCTAAGATCGTGGAGCAGTTGTACTGCGCGCATGGAGTAGGGGCATTGGCATTGCATGAGCTCTGCTCAATCATCACTTGTTGTTTTTTGGGCAGGCCAAGAGGGCCTTTGCATGTGTGGGAGCGACTTGGGGCCTGGGCTCACCCATGAGACCGCTAAAGCGGCTGTAGATACGGGGAACACGGCACTGGGGGTGAACTTCAATGAGCACGTTCTTGGCCGTATGGATGTAGACTTGCAGCAGTCCAGCCTTGTTCAAGGGGCTATCCAGCAGCATCAAAAGGCACTGCAGGGGCAGTTTATGGCAGGGTCAGCGTTGCTGCACAAATTGGGCTGTCGAGGCCGATAGCAAAGGTCGGTTCAAGACGTGTCTCTTGACGGACCTGATGGGTAATGTCAGGCCGGATGTTGAGCGAGTCACGGCCGTGCTTTTTCAGGATGTGCGCGTGGTCGGTGGAGTTGAGCAGCTGAAAGCCATTGCCAACCTGCCAATACATGTCCCGCCCAGAGAATGGTGCGGATGCACAAGTGAGCCAAACTCGAGGCATTTGTGGCAAAGCCTTGCCCCCCTCAGCCTTTCTTCCCTTTTTATCTTTTTCGTCCTTTCTTCTCTCAAGCCTCGCAAATCGGTCTTGCTGGGGTCGTTTCCCCGGGCAGCGGCGGCAGCTGATCGAGGGAACGAACCTTGACGGTTTCGAGGGCGGCCTTTTCGAGCACGACAATGAGACGCTTCTGACTGTCCTTTTCCTTGAGGGTTTTGGGCAGCTTGGGTGGCTTGTAGCTGGCCTCTTCATCTTGAGTCGGGCGACGTGCCATGGTGTCTTTCCGACTGTTTGTTCGTCGAGCGGAGTTTGACCAACCAGTTCTGGCTCTGATCCAAACACGAGACGGCCCTGGGTCTGGCTGCGGCGGGATATGTGTCACCCATGTGGCGCGCGACCGACCCTCTGTTGTCAGACAAAACCGGCGAGCGAATTTGTCAGACGATATTTTCTGACATTGTCAGACGTTTCATGACGTCGAGATGGCTTGAAGTGGGGGTGGAGAAAATTCCATCAAAATAATTCAAAAATTACAGGCAGGTCGTTCGTTCAAGTGGATGGTGTGTGAGGCTGTGCAAGCGACAAGGTGTTTGCAGGCCACGTGACCACAAGCGCAGGTGTTGTGTGTGCGTGCATGCCAAGCACCTAGCCAGTGCCAAGTGTGTTGCAAGCCACACAACAGAGAGACTGTCGCAGCATAGCCCCAAGTGTCAACGTCGACATGTGGAGCAGTTGGGACGCACATGGTCTGCAATGCGTTCTTCAACGTTTGTCACTCTTTGGGCTGCATCTTCTTTGCTGATGCATTCCACTGCTACTGCTGCTTCATCGCCATCTCTCGTCATCTTCTGCCACTTCATCTTCACCTTCCTCTTCTTCGGCGCCCTTTGCTCTCAACAACTTCTTCATCTTCATCTTCTCCTTCATCTTCTTGAAACAATCGCGTGTTTTCTTCTTCAACCGCACGCTTTGGCTTCCCTCGCCTTTCTTCTTCTTCTCTGTTGCGCGACTGGTGGTCGTCGGCGATCGTGGTTAAAATCGTGGCAACGTGGTCAGTGGCTCAGGCATTTTCCAGCTTTGTGCTCGGTACACCGTCTTGTGCTCCTTTCTCTTTCCCTCCCGCCCCCAAAACCTTCGCCATGGCCAAGCCCGCCTACAAAGTCGGTCAGTACCAACATTGTGCATGCACTGCCATATCGCAGGGGAGTTATCACATGCCTGACACTCAAATCATGGATATTCGATAGCCAACATTGAGCTCGCCGAGCTCGGCCGTAAGGACATCATGCTCTCGGAGAACGAGATGCCCGGTCTGATGCACCTGCGCGCCAAGTATGGCCCCTCTCAGCCTCTGAAGGGTGCCCGCATCGCTGGTTGCCTGCACATGACCACCCAGACCGCCGTCTTGATCGAGACCCTGACTGCTCTCGGCGCTCAGGTGCGTTTTTTTTTGAATTGCATCTTTGCCGCATCAAGAACCACTGGCCACGTACTTGGCCAGTGCAAGAGTGTGCCGCTGTTTGTTTTTGGGGACTGATTCGCATTTTCGTTTTCCATCTTTATAGGTCCAGTGGTCCTCTTGCAACATCTTCTCCACCCAGGACGAGGCTGCCGCCGCCATTGCTGCGACCGGTGTCCCCGTCTACGCCTGGAAGGGTGAGACCGATGAGGAGTACATGTGGTGCATTGAGCAGACCCTCGTCTTCGCTGATGGCCAGCCCCTGAACATGATCCTCGATGACGGAGGTGATCTCACTAACCTGGTCCACGAGAAGTACCCCCAGTACCTCGAGAACATCAAGGGTGTGTCCGAGGAGACCACCACTGGTGTGCACAACCTCTACAAGATGCTCGAGAAGGGTATCCTCAAGGTTCCTTCCATCAACGTCAACGACTCGGTCACCAAGTCCAAGTTCGACAACCTGTACGGTTGCCGTGAGTCGCTGCTCGACGGTATCAAGCGTGCCACCGATGTCATGATCGCCGGCAAGCCCGCTGTTGTCGCTGGTTACGGTGATGTCGGCAAGGGCTGCGCCCAGGCCCTCAAGGCCTTTGGTGCCCGTGTCATGGTCACCGAGATTGACCCCATCAACGCGCTCCAGGCTGCCATGGAGGGTTACGAGGTGACCACCATGGACGAGGCTTGCAAGGAGGCCATGATCTTTGTCACTGCCACTGGCTGCAAGGACATCCTGACCGCCAAGCACTTTGAGCAGATGAAGGATGATGCCATTGTCTGCAACATTGGCCACTTCGACTGCGAGATCAACGTTGCCTGGCTCAAGGCTAACGCCAAGTCGGTGATGAACATTAAGCCCCAGGTCGACCGCTACGAGCTTGCCTCGGGCCGTCACATCATCCTTTTGGCTGAGGGCCGTCTCGTCAACCTTGGCTGCGCCACTGGCCACCCCAGCTTTGTCATGTCCAACTCCTTCTCCAACCAGGTCTTGGCTCAGATCGAGCTCTGGACCAAGGCTGAGCAGTACCCCGTCGGTGTCCACTTCCTTCCCAAGGCTCTTGATGAGGAGGTCGCCAACGCCCACTTGGCCAAGATTGGTGTCAAGCTCACCAAGCTCAGCGACGATCAGTCCACCTACCTTGGCATCCCCTCGGCTGGTCCCTTCAAGCCCAACCACTACCGCTATTAAGCAGTTTTCTGAGAAGAACACCGATGAGGCATGGACCGGCCTGCCGCACCATCATGGGATCGAGCCTACGCCATGTGGCCTGACTCGGACTCATGAGGCAGGGCGACTGTGGTTGTCACGTCGTGTTTGATTACTACTTCTCTCTCTCTCTCCTTTTTATGTAAACCTTGTCAATTTTGTCCTGTCGTCAAAAGAGGGCACCGAGTGCCTTGGACACGCCTCCCGATGGTCCCGGTTGAGGCGACCCGAGTCTTTGCTTCTTTTCTCCGTGAGGAAGGGGAAGGTTTGGAGAAGACGTTCATGTCAATCACATGCACTTCTTCCTTCTTGCTTCCTCGACTTTTTCGTTCTTGTTCTGTCCCCTTTGGCGACAAATCATTCTCTCTACGAGGAGATTAACCGCTCCGCTGCGCTTATGTGTTCCGTCTTCCTCCGTGTGCACGCGTTGAGCCTTGTGTTGGTTTCCTCTTCCTTCTACTTTTCCTCGGCAATTTAGCTTTGATGAACAAACTTCCCTTTGATGTGGAACATGTCGAACCTGTCATTTTGTCTGACAAACTCAGTAGAGATAAGAGAGAGAGAGAGCCCTTCACCTCAATCAACAACAACCAACCGCCACGCACACATTTTTGATCTTGTTGTTGGTGCACCCCCGTGCGGTATCCTTCATCTTAGACAAGAGTTGGCTCATGACACGGGCCGTCTCTGGTGGCTGCGTGTGTGTTGGCCAGTGATTTGGAGTGGTAGGATCCTGCCCTTGTCTTTGAATTCGCCTTGTGCGCCTGTGGCGGTGGCAGCTTGTCAACGTGTGATTGCGTGTTCACGGCCCGATCGCTCTCGCCTTGACAGATTGATCGAGTCGGGAGTGAGCTGCTGATTTATTTTTGCTTCTCCTCTTTGTGCCGCCTCGGGCTTGGGTTTGCATGTCAAGCAAGCGTGGACAGCACATCTCGTAGCCTGCTCAGGCCTCCAATCCCAACGGCACCCGAGATCATGAACCACTTCTAGCAAGCAAGTGTGTTCCATATCCTCCCCTATTTTGAGCTCGCGACGAGTCGGCGAGTTGAGAGCCGACCTGAACAAAGCGCCCCGCCTCAAAACATAGCCAAATAACACGCCACACACTGCACACCGCCAGCTCCGAGCTGCAAGCTTTAGTTTTTTTGCCCTTTTGGCTGTGGACCGTGTGGTGGAACAAGCTGGTGTTCACGCAGTGGTGTTCACGCAGTTCAACAGGACGGCCAGCCCTTTCGCTCTTTTCGTGCCCACGCACCGCCTTTTCCACATCTTACTTGGCCGAGGCTGTACAAACCTTTGCAATGGCGGGTTCGTTAATACGCTTAATGAGCGGGGTCTTTGAGACCATCGACGTGGGCCCGGCTGCCATTCTGTGGCTCTCCGCCTGGTACCTTTGCAGCCTTGTGACACTCTTCATGAACAAAATCATCCTCTCCCACGAAGAGGGGGACAAGTATATCCTGGGCATCACGCAGATGATCATGACGGCAACGCTCGGGGCCATCAAGGTCTACGGTCCTGGTCTGTGGCGCCGCGCCGTGGGCGGCCGGACGCGACCCTACGAGCCCCTCGGCTCGGACAAGCAATATACCAGCTTTTGGCGCGACATGATTCTGGTTGGCATCATGCGTGGTGCCACCGTCATTTGCGGGCTCGTGTCGCTGTCCCACGTCGCCGTCTCCTTCACCGAGACGATCAAGAGCTCCGCGCCCTTCTTCACCGTCATCTTTGCCAAGGTCATTCTTGGCCAACACACGTCATGGCAGGTCAATCTCTCGTTGCTCCCCGTTATGATCGGGCTAGCCCTTTGCAGTTTTTCCGAGCTCTCGTTTGATACCATTGGGTTCTTGGCCGCCATCTTGAACAACATCATCGACTGCGTGCAAAACGTCTTTAGCAAAAAGCTTTTACAGCACCTCTCTCCCGTTGACCTGCAGTTTTACACGTCTGCAGCAGCAGCATTGATTCAGCTCCCGGGCTTCTTTTACGTGCTTTGGCCGCAGTTGAACGGCTCGGTGACCATTTCCTCCAAGCTTTGGATGATGATCCTGATCGATGCCGTGTTTTACCATCTGCAAAGCGTTACGGCGTACTTTACCATGCACCACCTCATGCCCGTATCCCAAAGCGTTGCCAATACGGTCAAGCGGGCCATGCTCATCTGGCTTTCCATTCTCTATTTTGGCAATCCTATCACGGTGGCCAGCGCCATTGGCATGGCCACTGTCATTCTCGGCGTCTTTGCTTACAACCATTGCCGCTTGCGCTATCCGGCCACGCTCGGTGCCGTGGCCGTGCGACGATCCGTTCGCGTATGACCATCATGCTGTCACGCTCGATTGCCAGAGTTTTGAGTGGGTGGAGAACCGCAAAAAGGCTCTTTTGCGGTGCATGATTGACCGGGAACGATGCGCAAAGCCCACAATTTTTGAAGGAAAGACTGGCCACAAGGCATGCCACCATGGATGGATGCCCCTCTTTTAACTTTGTTTCGCCAATAGGAGCTGGAGGGGTGCTTTGGCTTTGAGTTGACTTGATTTTCATGGAGGTTTCTCGAATTGAACTTTGTTTTGTTTGGAATGCATTGTTGAGCTGGGAGCGCCGCGATTGCGCGTGTGGTGAGAAGCCCGTTTCTATCTTGATGGAAAAGAAAAAGTCGATATGCAACCCAATCACAAGCTAGGTTTCTGGCGATGCTTCAGCCCAAGCGTGAGCCAGAACACAAGGGGAAACTAGAAGCGAAGGAAAGAAAAAAATACTACACGGCAGTGAAGCTGCTGCACGGGTCAGTGAGGCATGGTGGTCATCCTGGCCATCAGTCACCCATCACATCTTACGCTGCGCATCTCAATTCATCGCTCATACCAAGCATCGACCACACCAACGGGCGAGCCACTCTGTGCCACTCACACCAACAAAGGCAAGCACAGATGTTTCCAATCATTGGACTTTTCAATTGTTGGGCTGCCTCTGTCTCATGAGAGGGTCATCCAGACGTAAGCGTCTTCCAGGCTCTTGAAAACGTTGAGCTCAGCAATGTTATCGTCTTTCTTGCTGTTTTCAAAGTTGACGTAGTAGGTGCCGTCCTTGCGCCGGATGATGCAGCTCGCCTTGGATGCGGGGATCAAAACACGGCTGCCCTCGGCGTCCACCCACCCAATCCAATTGGACTCTGCTGTCGCCACGGCCGCCATCGTCAGCTTGCCTGATGCCCTGCAAGGCCCGCAAAGCGTTCCATGAGCAAATTTCCCGGGGGAGTCAGACGCCATGCGCACACTGGTCTTGATGTATCTCCCATCTCCACTCCAAGCAGGGGGCCGCTGCGATGGCTGGCACAAACCTCACACACGAGTCAGGATCACGTCACCGCGAAAAGAGCTCCCAGAGATGTGACGGATCATGAACCTGCCAGTGAAAATAAAACCGCATCCAGCACAAAGTACAACAATTCCAGCAGAAACTAGCACGACAGGCCCTAACAAAACTACATAAACCACAAATAAAACAACAACAACAACGTCCCCCTTTTTGAAAAGACGAACAGAAGACAAAAGAAGACAACCCCAATTTAAAGTAAAATCACTCCTCTTTTTTGATCGGCTTGCTTTGGCGGTGGACCTCTTGTTGCAGTCATTTGGGGGTGTGCGTCAGCAGCAGCAGCAGGAGCAGGAGCAGGAGCAGGTAGAGCGCACTGTGCGTCGATCAGTGGGGTGCATAGGTACGTCAGCAGGTTGGTTTGAAACGTGTGCTATGGGTTGAGGGCATGGCTCATGATAAGTGCTGCTCCGCCCACTTTTGTGGTCCGCTTCAGGCGATCGGTGCCCTCATTTGCGCTTTGATTCTGTGTTGATAGCGGGCAACAGAGCAGCCGTGGGTCGCGCTGGGCAAGCAAGTGGCACGACACGCGAATTCGCTAGTTAATTGCGTCAACACGCATCTCTCATCATGGGGAACGACGGGTCCAAGCCTTGGCTTGACTTTGACGGTGAGCAGCTTTGCTTGTCTTGTGCTTGTGCGCATGGCGTGCGCGTGCGCGTGCGAGTGCCGATATCCCCTTTTTCACCTGTCGCTGGCACCATTGTCTCGTGCAGACCACGTTGAGTACAGCGTCGTTGATCTCGAGACCAAGTCAAATGCTATCATTGCCATTGCCTTTCCCAAATTCTACTTTTATAAGAGCAAGAGCGATGGTTTCAGCTGCTCCCTTGGCGACATTCGCGGCTACGCGCAGGTGCTCGAATTCACAAAACCCGTTTTGGTTTTTCTTCTCCTTTCAGAGAATCATCTCTGGGGTGGGGTCTGCCTTTGATCTGGTGTTGGCATTGTATACCTTCATTCACGCCTCATATTGAGTTTGCTGGCTTCTTTCGCACCTGCAGCGCAATCGGGTGTTCTCATTCGAAACAGGACGTAATTGCCCCGGTGGCCCGGCAAAGTATACCGTCCGTGTCAAAGGCCGTGCCAATATTCACCAAACCATGAACGATATTATCAAGGACAACATGGTAAAGATGGCATGCCTTCCGTCGCAACTTCATGAGGCGGCAAGAGCCAAACAGGGACACGCCTTTTCAAATCCCGTCCCAGCTCACGCTCCTTTCGCCCTTTCCCTCTCTTTCTCCCTCTCCCTCTGTCTTTCTCTCTATTTCTCTCGCTTTCCTCTTGCCAGGTTGAGGGCCCGCAACAGCGCTTCGACCCAGCAGAGGAAACGGAGCAGCGTCAACAGAACCTCCGGCGCTCCATGCGTCGACCGCCATCTTCGGAAAACACCTATGATACTTTGAATACTGCAGTACCAATGGCCGGCGCTGCCGGCTCCGCGCCCCGAAGCGGCAGCGGAGAAGTTTACAACACCCTGCAAGGATCGCGTAGTAACTCAGGGGCTGCGGCCACAGCCACTGCCCCCCTGGGAGGCAACATTTACAATCACATCGAGTCCATGCATCCACGTTCGCCGGTTCAGGACTATGATCATCTTCAACAGCCGCCAACCTCTGTCCAAGAGAACACCTACAATGTTCTCAACCACTCGCGCAGCCCCCATCCCTCAATCAGTGCTTCTCCCGAATACAATTCGCTCTCCTCCAGCCACAACTCCCCACCACCCGGCAACCTGTACAACACCTTGCAAGCAACCACCACCTCCACGGCCCACTTGCCTGACGATTACGAACAACTGGAGCATTACGGCTTTGATGCTCGGTGAAAAGCCCGACGCGATTTTGATTGCACCACAATCTGCCTCTCGCGAGTTCTGGTACCGTTGTCCTGTCTTACCAAACTGCAAAGCGTTGCACTGCGTGCAAATGTCTGCTTGCCCTACCTTCCCGTGCCGTGCAATTGACAATCATATGTATCTTGTGTATTTCCCATCCTTTTGCGCCTCACGCTGGTCGCTTGAGTCTGCTTGTCACCCGACTCAAACCCTCTAAAAAGAGACAATTGTGGACATGGGCTGTTTTTTGTTTCTCTGACGGGTACCAAGCCTCAGCCAGTCAAGCAATGTACGTCGTGGTCAAGCAAGGATGGACTTTTTCCTATTGACATATTTTTGAATACTGAATTGGCCAGTAACACTCAACTGAGCTACAACGTTTGTCTCCTAACATATATTCAGGGTGAACTAAATGTGTGTGCTGTGCCTTGGCAACGGCAGAGCATTCAAGGCTCCACAGCACCGCCTGTGGCTTCGAGAAGTGTGCGCTCAGTCCAGACAATCAAAGCATCGGGGCTTCGATATAGCTGTAGCAAGAGTGCAAATAGCTCCTCCTCCGTGCGCAAATCACCATACTCGCGTGCAGTGTAGATGGAAGAGCACAGATTTTGTAGCGTCGTCACCTGTTGAGATCACATACAGCCCGCCACGTCTACGTGAGCCTTTCGAGTGCACGGAAAGCACACAGCGCGCACGTCATGTGAGAAGCCTATGTACCTGTGGCATATCCTCGTAGATAATGCGGTGAGACACCTGATCGACCGTGAGGCGCAGGAATTTGCCGATCACCAAGACTACGGACACGTCTATCGAACATCATGGGGGCAGAACAACAAAGCGAGGCACCGTTGAGAGGTGGCTCCGCACACTGCGCATTGGGCGTTGGGTTTGAGCCGTTGAACCAATAGTTTGGAACAGGATATCCCCAAAAGCCAAAACGTACAAAGGCCTACAACGCCATAGCTGGTCACAAAGCTGAATCGGTCCGGAATGACGCGGTCGTTGACCGTGACAAACTCAAGCCAATCCCGGTACGCATATGATGATCCATCAGGAATGTCGGAATCGGTACTATCTGCCGCCTGCGAAACACATTTTGCGAGAAATGAGAGTGAAGCGGGTTCTCAAACGACACCTTTTTCAAAACTACAAATGCCGACCAGCAATTGGCAAAGATAACAACAGGCAAAAGTCCGAGCCAAATCTGATGATGGTAAGGAGCGAGAGCCAGAGACAGACACAGTGGCAAAGAGACAGAGACAAAGACAGTGACAGCATAGGTGTCGGCTTACAATATGAGGAGAGGTCTGCGTCAATGTAAACCATTCGGCCGAACCCTCAGTGGAGCGGCGCAAGGTACAATTCATGTTGCGTTCCACTGGTGATCCCGCCGCTGTATCGAAATCAGCGGTGCCCTTGGATGTGAGGTGATAGAAAGAGGGGAGCAAACCCGGCAAGAATACTTCTGAAGTGCGGTTGAGCAGCAAATCGCGAAGTTGTCGTTGTAGCGCGTCTGCCATGCCGAGATTAATCACCGTCTCGCCTTGGACCGTGTCCACCACCCCAGTTTTCTCAGGCCGGGTAAACTCCCAGCGCATGTACAAGCTAATTTCCGTGCTCGAGTCATTGAGCACGGAGATGAGCCGTTCCCGTGAACTCGGCGAAATGGTCCACACAGCCTTAGATTGAGGTGATACTAATATGCGCTGCACATCCTCTGGGCTGAACGTGCGAACGTAGCCGGTCGTGTCCTCGTTCAGTAGGTGGCCGTACGATGTCGAGCTGATGGATTGCTGCAGCGTGGTTGCATCCATCACAAAGATGGGCTCATAGTCATTGATCTCAAGGCTAATGTCCACTGACGTGGGCAAGTTGGAGACAGCGCTTTGGTTGACCAGCGAGATCAGAAGCAACGGAAACCAAACAACGATGAGAAGAAGCACAAACAGCAGGCCCCCCGCCAAAAACTTTTTGGACCGAGGCTGCGGGGCACCCAAAGCGCGGCCTTGCCGACGCACGGTCTTGAGCTGATACTGATTCAGATATAGCTGCCCCGCAATGTCTTCCATCTTGTGCCAATGGTTCAAATCCAGTGTTGTGGGAATGCAGGACCAATCCAAGAGCATGCGCAGTTCGTACAGGAATGGAATGGCCTTGTAGATGACAAAGATGAGCCATCCAACAAAGGTGACATTCTGCAAAAGTGCATTGCGCTGCACTGTATCAGGATAGCCCGATTTGATTTGATTGGCACTGAGAAAGAAGTAAATGATTTTCAAAATGTAGAGTGTGATCAGGATGGCGTTGGACCCAAAGCTACGGTAGGTCGCTGAAGGAATCCAGAAAAACACCAGCGCATGTATCAGGATGGCCATGACCACGTGATAGTAGAGCTTGTAAGTCAACGAGCGCGTAATGTAGATGACGCGGTCCAGAACAATCAAAAGAAATTGGAATAGGAGGAAAAGCAGCTGCGATCCAGGTATGTGGTCAGCCTGCAAGGTCTGCGCGCTTGCAAACCCTTCGTCCTTGCGAAAACCGCTCCAGCCAAACATGATGACTGCAAAGGACAGAAACTCAATCAAAAAAGAGGGAATATAGTAGTCGCGAGGAATAACAATCGAGTCGTCTTGCAGGTGTTGCAGGAAGCGCCGAAAGCGATTGACTACCCCGCCGGCTTCCTTGTGCTTCTTTTTGGCTTGGCGTTGCTCGGCCTGTTCTGCCAGACGTTCATCGATTTCTTCCAGTGCGACGTCGTGTTTCTCGGCGCGCAAGAGCTCGCGGTCAGCTTCATTGAGCCGCAGCGTTGATGCCATCATGTGGTCAAGACCCAGGAGCTGGGCTGCAAAGTTGTGCACACCCAGCGCGACCAACTGCAAAGCGTGTATGAGAAGGGCATGAACAAATCCATGCTCGCGCAACCGCCACAGGCCTATAAATCGCAGAAATGTCAAGCAACCAGGTCGCAAATAGGCATCGTGACATGGATCCAACGCCTCGGGTGGTCCGTTGCTCTTGCCCCAGAACTCAAACTGAAAAACATAGCGTAGAGCAAACACCGCACAACTGTAGTACGTAAACACGAGCCAGAAACGTCCCGAGGGCATGGGTCGTGACGGAAGGGCCCAGAGCAGCACCAAGAGGGCTGATATAGTGCTGAGCAGCGAGGCGGTCCACATGGCATCGAAAAAGACGAAAAAGTACACGAGGTATTCCGTGTGCGTCAAAAAGTAACGAAAGGCCTCGCGAGCCAGCGACAAGCGCACCGGTGAACGCGGGCCAGACAGCTCTGTTTGGTCGGCACCCGCTGATGCTTCTTTGGATCGCTGCTTGTCACTTGGTGTCTGATGACCAATGTGCTCAACATCAGTGGCCGGGGCAAGCAAAGCGGCTTCCAAACCCGCCTCCTCGTCTGCCTCCGGGCTGGTATCGTCACTGCAGAGTGAGCCGCTGTCTCCAGCGTCACTGGTCGCGGCAGGTGAGTCAGAGCTCTTTGGATGGCCGGTTAGGTGGGCGCTAGTGGGCTTTGTCGGCACAAAAAGGCGGTCGGTCTGCTTGTTAACTTTGTACAAAGTTGTGGCTATAGCTTGTTGAACAGCAAGTCCGATTCGCGTCACCAATCCTGGTTGTTCCTGATCCGCCGCCCCTTCGTCATCAGTCACTGGATTCGCCGTTGGGGTTGATGAAAGAGACTCTGGGGGCGTGGCAGTGGGTAGAGACTCAGGGGGCAGGTCGGGGGATCCGATATCATCGCCATGTGCTGGGGATAAGCGCCGAGGCCGACGTTGACGCAGGCCCTCAGTTGAAGCCTCTACCTCGTTGCCTGAGTTCGCTTCGGGTGTAGCGTTCTCGAGCAAATCAAGCTCTGGGGAGTCATCAACCACGGATTCCTCGCCAGCGCTCGAGCCTGTAGAAATGCCATCCGCTCTTGAACGGGTTTGGGACAAAGCCAGCTGGAGACGCGATTGAGAGAACCACTGAGGGATTGAATTGTCCTGCAAAGAAACGCCTAGTGACTTGCGCCGACGCATCACCTGAAAATCAAGCAACATGTGAGAAGGGTTGCAAAAGAGCGGTGTGTGTGTGTGTGTGCGAGGAGAGAGAGGGAGGGGGCGAGAGAGGGAGAGTGAGGCCAACCATGCGCAAAAGGTTTTGAGCATGCTCGGCTCGTGAGATTGTTCGGCTCCGGACATGAACAATATGCAGCATAAGCTGAGAACCAGCCGCCTGACATTGTTATCCAGGTGCAGTCAACCACAGTGAGTAAGCGACAATGGTAAAAATGCAATCCAGAAAAGAATTCAGGTGACACAAACCTGTGCGCGTGTCGCCGCAGCTTTGATGTGAGCGTCAAAGGCCTCAAACCAGGCAGGCCCAAGCGCCGTGACCAATCGCAACGTCAGCCAAAGCCAACAGAGCAGCAAAAATTCGTAGGCAAAGCCATTGGAAGCGCGAAACATGGGAATACGTGGGTCCCAGTCCAGTAGGCGAATGTCATGCCCGTAACGCAGGCCAAACAATTGCAGCGTGTCCATCAAAGCACTGTTGGCGTGGCGCCAGCTGACAAGCACACCGAGCAAAGGCCACACGACGTGCAAAAAAATGATGCCAAGGGTCGTGGCCAAAAAGCGCCGCACGTATTGCCGCGCTGTTGTGTATTTGCGCAGCACCACCTTGGGCTGCACCAGAAACTTCAAGATGAACCAGAGATAGACCAGGCAAATCAAGTCGCGCCGGGAGATGACGGCCAGGAGACTGAACAACGTGACGAGCCCCAGTGTGGCAAAGAGCAGCGTGCCTTTGAAGCGGTGCTGCGCCGCGAGGGCTGGTTCTGCTTGGGGTGCAGGTTGGCGCAACACTCGCAAATAAGTGCTGAGAGTCAACATGATGAAAAAGTCGATGAAAAGAACCTGTGATCCGTCAAGACGCGTGAGCATGTACAAACAAAAGGCGCTGGCTCATGGTCCCATGTTCCAACCGCAACAGCAAAACGGAGCGACCTACCTCAGCCGAAAACCACTCGGGTGGAGCTCGCTCCAAGCCCACGCGCATGTCGCGAGCGGGGATTTTCAACCACGCCATGAGGACGTGCACTGCATAAGAACGCTCAGTGCCACGCTGCCAGGGGTAGGCCCATGTTGGCGGGAACCCAAGCTGGCTGCCATACTGGTATACAAAGGCCACAGCCTGGAGAGTGAGAAGAGTGCGAAGTACTGCCTTGGGGCGCTCCGACAAGGCGAGGACGGTCAATCCAGCCATGTTGAGAACGGCTACGACGTTCAACTTGAGCAAGGCTGCCAAAAGCAGTAGCATGAGACAGACGTCACGGCCGAACAGGCGGACGGCATGATTGAGGGTAAACTTGAAGGCTAGCCAACTGCGCCCTTCTTTTGGTTTAGTATCCAACAGTAGGCAATCACTCCCGCGATGCCATAGGACATGTCTATATCGCTGCAAAATCTCATGTAGAGCAATAGCGAAGATGGCAAAGGACTCCCATCGAACGAGCACAAAAGCAGCTAGTTTGTGTGCTTTGATCGGGCTCAAGCCAGCCCACAATAGGTTGGCTTCCGGCACGGTTGAGAGATCAGCAAGAGCAGGAAGCTGATAGATGAGCTTGATGAGCATAACCATCTGTGCATGTCAGCAGGCAGGCGATGAAGACATTGATGAGAGGGCATGGTCCCCGGCCAGAGCGGCGCGACTGGGTGGCTTGGTGCAGGCTAAGCGCGACACCCACTTCAATCCAAAACAAATTGAGCGAGGCCATGAGACGATTCTGTGCGGAGAGGGCCATCGAGATGGCCAAGAGCAAAAGCGTCATCAAATCTAGGCCTTGGGGCTTTGGTTGAATTGTGCTTGCGTAGAGTAGCAACAAGACAACCTTGTGCATTTGCAACGTCAACGTGCGAAGCACGAGAAGGCAAGCCTACGCAGACCAACGGTCGAGACTCAGAGGCGGTGGCAAGCATGCATGGCGACGGGAGCGACAAGGGGCGGGTGAGATCCTGAGTGCCGAGTCTTGAGGATGAGCGAACCTTGGCGATCCAAGTGGGCTGGTGCAGAAAATGTGAGAGTCGGAGCGTGCTAGCCAGGCTGGCGCGTGACGGCGAGCGCAGCTGGAAAACGGTCACGATGAACACAAGACAACTGGGGACCAAAAAGGCAAAAAGGGCGCTTTGTGATTGATGGACTTCGAGACCAAGGTCGCTAATGACGCTATCAGAGCACCAGCGTTGCAAGAGCTTTTGAGACTCATGAAACTGATATGCATATTTTGCCAAAAAGACACAGCTCGAGTAGAGAAGCAACAGCGTCCAAACACCAGACATGAGACGCTCTGAGCGCGAATGTGCAACCAGACGCTGTACGCCAAAAAGAAACACAAAGCCAACACGAATGGCGGTGACGCGCCCAACAATTCCAACCCAGAAAAGGGTCAAGACTGAGACCAAGGGCCAAGAAGACCAGATGGCCGCTTCCAACCAAGCAACAAACGTGCGCGCGCGATGCGCAGGCAAAGTTGGGGAGGTTGAAGAGCTGGCTGGCCCCGGCGCAGTCCTTTTGGTGACGCCGATCCCTTGGCTGGCTTGGCTGGCGGCAAGTGCGTCGTCCACGCCCGAGTGTGCGATGCTCGGCGCTTCTGGATCAACTTCGCTAATTTCCTCGTCCAAAGCGCTATCCTCGCCGGGCAGAAGCTCGGAGCCACGAGATGGGGCGCGAAAGAGAACATCTTCAGATCCACGAGCTCCAAAGGGGAGGAGAGGCGTGGAGAGATCAGATGTGTCCGTCTCCAGAGAAGTGGTGCTATGCCGTCTGGTGGCTGTAGACTGGGCAATGCTGGCTGCACGATACGTCAGCAACTGAAGGACTGAGACGAAGAGAATGGCCAGGTGAAAGCGCAGGCTGAGCCAGGTGTGAGTGAAGATGTCCGCCTCTAGACCAAGCAGGTCCGCCATTTCCTGCCTTGTGTGCCGGTGCACGGAGGCAAAACCAAAAATGTAGCTGACAAATATGACCACGACTGAGTAGGCCGGAAGCATGACCCAGTACTGTTCGCGAATGACTGGGAAGCCCATGAAGCAGACCAGAATGACCAAATAGAGAAAATTCAGCAAGTTGACGTCTTCCAGAGCCGCGAAGAAGATGACGAGAATGGTCACCACGAACAAGTAGCGAATTGCTAAGCGCAGCCCTGCACCCACGTGCTGCAACAGCAGCTTGGACCACGTGGCGAGACGCACAGACATGGACGGCGAATTGACCTGCTGCTCAACCTCGGGTACGGGGCTGGGGTCCGTTGGCGTCTCTTCCGAATGAGCGTTTTGAATGGCAGCGGCATAGCGCTGTTCTGGGCGATTGCCATGACGGTAGCGGCGGCAGTGCTGGGAGTGGGCGTCGGCAAAAGGGCCCACCAGTCGAGAATTGCAGGCCAAAGCTGCTGCTATGAGCGCGCTCACGCCGAGTTGCATCGCGTCGCGGTCAAGATTGAGTGTCTGCAGACCCGTTTCTTTCGCCACCTGTGGGTGTGCATGCGCGAATCCAGCAGACTTGTGAGCAACGAGAGAAGATTCGCCAAGATTGACAAACAACCGGGGATAGCCACGTGAACGAACCGAAACGGTGACGAGGGCAGCAGTAATTTGAACAATGCTGCGCGCTGCCGTGAAAGCAAACGCGTAGAGTGTCACGAAAGGTAGTGCCGGATGCCAAAAGTCTTCCGACCGTGGGGAGACGATGGTCACAAAGGCCACCACGATGAAGACAGCTGTAAACCAGGAGGGGTAGAGACAGGCCCAAAATAGGAGCAAGGCCGAAGAGAATATCCAATCGTATAAGGAAAAAAACTTGAATCGAGGGATAGAGCAGGCGTCAGGCAGGCAAGCAAGTGAGATCATGGGACACAAAATCGGAGCCAATCTTGAGTCGGTGGTTCTGGGTTTCTTACTTTGCTGGCCGCAATTCGAAACGCATCGATTTGCGTCTTGAGCCAAGCTGAGATGGTTCTGGCTGAGGTTGGTGTTGGACCAAAGGACAAAAGCTCGTCATCCAGCGCCGCGGCAGACGCGGCGGCGGCGGCTTCCAGCAGGTGCGCCCGTGTATTACGAGCCCCTGCGCGCACCGGGATCGGTGCAACGTAGAGAATCCCAACATGAACGGCAGGCAAGAGCCACTGCGTCCAAGCGTGGGCCACCACGGTTACTTGGATATTGTCGTGGGCATGGGAAAGGGTAAAGTACCGGAACAGGCCAAGGGCTTGTCGGACTTCTTGGCTCAAGTCAAGACCCGGGAATTGCAAAACACAGAGGGCCAAAAAATAGACGGCCGACACGCCAAAGGACAGAGATCGCAATGTGTCCAGCAAAGGCGCGGAGAGATGCCGAGCAAAGCACATGTGAAGACACCACACGGCCAACACGATCAGCTGCACAAGGCCAGGAGCGGTGGGAGGCGTGAAAAGAGACACGACAAGCATCGTGATGTAAGGGATGGGGCCGACCCATTGCTGGCGCAAAGCATTATAAATGCCTTTTTCCTGAGTTGGGGTTGCTGTAAGCTGACGCGTCTCTGCCGGGGACCAGAGCCAGAAGCAGAGCCAGCCGACGATCGCCAGGGCAAGGTCGGGAAGACCGAAACGGATGATCGAAGCTGCGTCAACATTGAATCTGATCAGGCCGGCATCACGGAGTTGCTCCTCGAGAGCAGTGTCTTTGAAATGCGCGGCAAAGGGCTTGTGCGCAGCCAACACAATCTGCAGGATGCCATGTGCCAGGCAGAGCAGGGATGCGTAGATGGCCACAAGACGGTATGTGGCACGAGTCCAGGGTGAGGCGGGCGAGCTGATGGCCAGGACCACGGCAGCTACGGCATACACCAATGAGGTACCGCTGCTTTTGAAAAAGGCAGCAGTCGCCAACGTGCTGAAGATGAGCACAAAGAACACGTGATTGAGAGCCGGGGTGCCGTGCATCTTGGTGTTCGTGGTGGAGTGGCCTGCTGCTCAAGGGATGCGGCTTGAGCTCAAAGCTTGGTGCTTTGGGGACCGAGGGTTACTCCACTCGTCGCTTGCAGCAAAGCCTTGCTTGCTAAAGCTCACTGCCACACACACACACACACACACACACACACACACACACACACACACACACACACACACACACACACACACACACACACACACACACACACACACACACACACACACACACACACAGACATTTCACGTTTTGGAAGATGGACGAGGCGACCTTGGTGCTGGTCGGTCTGGCCACGGGGGCTATTGTGCAGGGGGCATATACGGCCGTGGCACGCGATCGGGCAAAAGGTCAGGTGAAGTTGGCTTGTTGCTGTTTCATTCTTGTGTCTGCCTGCCCGTGCACATGCGTGGGGGTCTGCAACGGGTTTGACTGGGCGTTGGCGTTGGCGTTTGCATGTCGGTCGGAATGATAGAACATGACGGATCAGACGATGAGGAGGATGAAGAGACGCTGGACCTCACATCGCAACACGCGCTCACGTTCCCCATCTTTGCCTCTGTCTCATTGCTTGCCCTCTATGCCTTCTTTGCCTACATCGAGCTCCTTTACATGTGCGCCAACATGGTACTTGCTACCACAGCCTTGGCGACCCTGCTGCACCCCATGGCGCACATAACGTTGCACCGCGTCTTGCGCTGTGGGCGCGTACGAAGCGTAAGAACCTGTCATGGCCAGCATTTCTTCCTGGACTATGAAGTGGAGCAAGGCACTTCAAGCCTCATGCCTGATTGGTTGCTCACGGGCCTCATTACTGCCTTGCATTCGTCTTTGCATACAGGACCGCATCACGACTTGGCTTGCTGGAGCTGCGGCACTAAGCATCACCGGCGTATGGGTGCTGAGCAATGATTGGCGTCTCTTGGACCTCATCGGCTATGCCTTGTGCGGCTTGATGCTCAGCACCTTGCGCTTCCAAGATCTACGCACCGCCACCCTGCTGGGTGCTCTCTTGCTGGTGTATGACGTTTTTTGGGTCTATGTATCACCTTGGCTCTTTGAGCGTAATGTAATGGTCTCGGTGGCCAAGCAGCAGGCTCAGAATCCAGTCGAGGTAGCTGCCCATCGGTTGGCTCCGCGCTGGCAAGTACAGCTTCCAACCCTGGACCCACCAGTCAAACTCGTGTGTCCCGGGTGGACGGAGCCAGAGCACCTCTCCATGCTGGGTCTCGGCGACATTGTCTTCCCTGGTCTTTGCATCGGTAAGTCCCTGGAAGTCCAGTACCGCGCACGTGTAGGCTTCTTGCTCTTGACTTGCGTATTCAAACCTCCAAACTCATGGTTCATGCCCGACTGCTCGACCGTTGGACGCTCAGTATTGGCAGCACGTATGGACCGCTGCCTGCCAGCTCCAAAGCGGCGACCCAGCTATTTTGCTGTGACAATCGGGGCTTATACAGCAGGGTTGTTCTTGGCCATGTTTGTAGCCAAGCACTTTTCTTATGCTCAACCCGCTCTGTTGTACTTGGTACCGCTGGTACATGGTGCATTCTTGGCTGTGGCCTGGTCACGAGGCGAGTTGCAGGCTGTTTGGACCGGTTCAGGGCTACTGTCCCCCGTGTTGCCCAGCCACAAGTGAAGCAGCAGTAGAATTCAAGAAGCGCTGAGCGCGAACTCGGAAGTGATGGCGAGTGTGCCTTGACTAGATTTGCTATGATTCAATAACTGAAGCTCAATATGATATGAGCAGTCCTGCATTCCAACTAGACGTGAGCGTTGGGCATGAAAGGTGTGCGCTAGCGAGCTGTGCGCGTCCATTTGCGCTGGTGGTCGGGAGTGCTGCATTGGAATTGAAAATGATACAGCACACCAATGCTCCATAGTGGCTTGAAGGAACGGTCACCCAAACAATCAGACAAGCAAGAAAGAAGATCATTTCCATGTCTCGACGGGGACACAAAGGGCGGTGTTTGAAAACAAAAACAAAAACAAAAAAAAAACAAAAGCGAGGGGTATTTCAAAGATCTCGGCTGTTGCATGTCTAAAACCCCGTGCGTGTACCACGCAGCGTGCGTTTGGTGCTGCGCAACTCCAACTAAAAAGTCGCGGGCGCCGGCAGACGCCACGATGAGCATACCAAGTTGAAGCACCAGCATCAAGCAAGTCACTGGAAATCAAGTGGTCAAGAACTATGCACCCACCTGAGCCAGCTCGACCTTGCGCTCGAGCGTGCGCACGTTGGCGCGCAGACGCGGCAGTGCAGCTTGCTCTTGCACGTAGTCCATCACTGATGGCACTTTAAAATCCTCACGCTAAAGGCCCAGGCGAAGGAGGATCAAGGAGGGGATGGCAAAGCAAGTGCGTGAGGGATGGTGTCATAAACCAACAACAACCAAAGCGCGCATGACAGGGTGCTCGTCAGAGCACCGCTGGCGGATCGCTCGCGTTGACGAGCGCGCAGATAGACCCAAAACATGACCCAAAGGCACGGGTGCTACAAACCTCTTGCTTTAGTTCGTCATTGGCTTTTTTAAGCGTTGCGTTGCGGGCAGTCACCTGCTCAAACTCAGCCTCTATCTTCTGGCGCAAGGTTTCACGTCGCTTGAGTTCTGCCTGAACTTGGGCGAGTTCGCGCTCGGTCTGAGAGAGATGATCTTTTTGCTTGGTGAGAGCTTGGTTGGTCTTGGAAAGGGTCACCTTGAGGTTGAGCAGCTCCTTGCTGCGCGTGTCCAGAGTGGTATTCTGCTGGCTGTTTTCAATACGCAGTTGCTCAAAGTCAACCTGATGTAGGACGCCGCCGTATTCCTCTTTGTGCCGTAGATGCTCCGCCACACGGCGCTGCTGCTGTCGCAAGCTATTGGCCTTGAGTTGCAACTTATCCACGGTTGTTTCGAGGGCCTGGGGACCACCCCGACCGTGGGGCGCAAGTGTCCGGCAAAATGAGCGACTACCAAGCCTGGCTGGGAAACAGCGAAACATGATACGCAAGCCGCGGCATCGGCCACAAACCTGACTCTGAACTTCGTAAAAGCGTTGCAAAGTTTCCGTTTCCACCTTGCCTGAGCGCTGCACGCAAGCAAACAAGAATCAGGGTAGGTCAACCCAATCATCGAGGAGTACTTGCAGGCAAGCGTCCCAGAATGTGGCAACCGATGATGCATCTCGCACGGAAGCGATGGCGCTTGCACGGCAAACAAATTTCAAAAAAAAAAAGAAAAAAAAAAAAAAGCGTGGTGGGCTTACAGTCGTGGCAGCAGTAGCAGCGACGTCGTGCTGGAAGAGGTCAATCTGACCAGGAATTTCACGAACTTGTTCTTGCAAGTCGAAAAGCTCGGCCTGCAGGTCGGCCAGAGCCTTGTCCATGCGGGCATGATCTTCGTCGTACTCACTCTGAAGCTGGTCAACCTCGCGACGGGCCAACTCAGCAAGCTGTGCATCGGTCAGGGAGACGGGAATCTGCGGCTCGGCCGTCTCGGTGGTGGATGAGGCAGGACGCATGCGGGAGCGCCGTTTGGGATTACGGGTGGCGGTCGGCTTGGCCGAAGGAGCTTTGGGAGCGGCGCTCTTTTCGCGCATATCGGCCTCAGCCTTGACCCAGGCGCGATCGAGAATATAATTTTCTCGATCTACTTCATGCAGCTGCAACCTGTAGAAAGAAACGTCAAAACACGCACGCAAAGAGATGAGCTTGCGGCTGGGCCCAAAGGCGATTGGCAGCAGGAATTTGGGGCATGCTCATGAGACCTGAGTTCTTCGAGTCGTGTGGCAAATTCATCGTTAGAAAGGCTGGGAAAGGGGTCAAATGAAAGGTCGTCATCGTCATCTTGTTCGCCGTCCTCGTCCATATTTGCTTCTTCATCAACCATGATTGATACGCCTAAGAACGATGCCCGTGTGTCGGACAAGAGCGCGGGGTCAGGGAAAAGAGATGCACCATATAGCAAGGATATGCGCGTAACGGGACCAAAGGCCATTTCAAAGAGAACCCCCCGGTGGAACGGCTCGTCCGCTACGCCTGGGAAGCGCGACATTGAGGCAAGGTCCGCGTACCTGCGTTGGCTGCGTCTTCGGCCATGGCATCAGCAGCGTCATCAGCACCGGCAGCGTCATCAGCATCGGCATCGGCAGCGTCATTGACATCGACATCCTCATCGACATCCCCATCCATATTCGCATCAACGTCCACGTCGGCATCATCATTTACACCGGCATTGACGTTGGGGTGGTCGCCCGCTTCGTCGCTGTCATTCATGCCTGCATCTGCGGCTGCATCTGTATCGGTGTCAACGTTGAGAGCGCTTATTTCTCCGCTATCTGGCACGTCAGCACCGACTGCATGGCCGCCGTTGGCATCGCCAGTGCCTTCCTCTATCGGCTCATTAGCATCCGTGACTGCCACCTCCGGCAGCGGTTCAGACGGCTCACCCTGCAACGGCGAAGCCGAATCCTCCGGTCCAGGTTCGCTGACGTCCGCCATGGCAATTCTTGCCTCACCCAAGAGGCCAAGGCTTCAGCTCACTCCAAGAAGGTCCCTCGATGCAACAAGCAAGCAAAGCAAAGTGGCCCTCGCTGCTTTCAAATCACAACTGGCCCAAGCCTGCGCCTCCCATACGCGCTGCCAAAACGGTTCTCGATCCCAACACCAAGGCGGTCAAAGGAGGAAAAACACAAATGCTGGCTTCAGTTGTTGTCAAGCCATTTCGCTCACAACAAGTGTTGTAAACATTGTCATATTTTATTCTCTCCCTTCCCTTCTTCTTCAAACCAGCGAGCTACGCGTTTTGCATTTCCTTGCAGGTTGGCTGGGCTGGCTGCTTTGGTCGGTCGTGGGGTCTGGCTCTTTTGCTGGTTTTGCTTGCCTGGCTGGACAGGCTACCGGTGGCTTCTTGCTCGGGTGGCAGGCCTGTTTGATTCGTGGCTCTTGGCTGTGCTTATATCATATTCTTGGATGGTGGCATGGTCCTTTGACCTTTTTCTCAGACTCTTGTAAACTCGGCCCAATGTTGCGAGTTCAACTCTTGTGGGCATGCGCCCTTCTCGCGCTGCTGGCTGGAGCCGTAGCAGATCGGCATCGACCTGTTTTTCACATGGTCACGGATGACTGGATGAACGATCCCAACGGTCAGGGCTTCCGAACAGTGCAAACCTGACTTCACGTTGCAGTTGCAGTGCTGCAGTAGTGGCTTGTGCGGCGCATGCCACTGATAATCATGTCTGCCGCAGGTCCCTTTTACGACCCAATCCACAACAAGTATCATCTCTTTTTTCAGTACAAGACACCACGCACTTGGGGCCGTTCGTCACTTTGTTTTCCTTGGCTTGGGGTGTCCTTTGCTTCTCTGTTCTTTCCCATGCAACATTGAGCCATGTCTTTGCGCGCCCCATCGGTCAGAGCATCACAATTGTTATATCGCGCATCGCCGCCCCCTGCCCCCCACTACGTGTGCAGATGCTGTTTCGGATGACCTGGTCTACTGGAAGATGCTGCCCATGGCCCTTGACACGGATGAATGGTATGATCAAGGGGGTGTCTTTTCTGGCTCAGCCACCATTATGGACGATCCCGCGCGCACCCCTGTTCTGGCCTACTCTGTGTCCACCAATGACATGCAATGTCTGGCCTTCCCTGCCAATCGTTCTGATCCTGAACTCATCAAGTGGACCAAGTACTCGGTGCGTATAGTACCAAAGGCAATGCGAATGCTTTTGCTTTCCCTGTCTCAACATCAACAGCTGTGGTCTGATCGATGGGTCCTCTCTGGATGCTCATGTGCGCGCCTGACTCTCCGAGACCACAGGGCAACCCCGTCATTGACAGTCGCAACTCGACCGCACCCGATGGTCGCGATGACACGACGGCCTGGCGCAGGTCAGCGCACAACAAGAGCTGCGATAGTCCTGCTAACTTGACTTGCCATGCCACTCATTCCGGGGTGTCGGTCAATCTCACTTGTAGTGCTGACGGCAAGTTCTGGCGCATGGTATATGGCACTACGAGCGGTGCCATCATCTTTAGCAGCACAGACTTTATCAACTGGGAGCAAAACCACTACATGAACAGCGATGACAACAGCGAGCAATGGGAGGTGAGGGACATGGGTCAAATTCTTCACGTTCCTACCCACGTCCAAGGGGGGGCCGGGGGACGGTCTTGGGCTCCCCAGTGTAGCTCCTTGCTCTCTGTTGCTGACACAGGCTCACGCGACTACCCGACTCCCGTGGTATATCATGAATCTGTCGATGGGTGCCTACATGTCATAGTGTCCAGACTTTTTTGCGGTGCCGAACAAAGGCTCGGATGTGTACTGCCTCAAGGCCTCAACCAAGGGGCGAGACTATTGGGTTCTCGGCACCTACGATGACGCCAACAACATGACGTTTGTACGCCAAACGCCTGACATGGGCAATGACACCATGCTCTATGATTGTGCGTCGGCTATCTTGGTTTATGGCTCTACGTATGCATCCGTCCAATCTGATTTTATCGTTGTGTTTTCTGCAGACGGTCGCTTTTATGCCTCAAAGCGCTTCTATGACCCAGTTAACGAGCGTCAAATTCTCTTTGGCTGGGTGGCTGAGGAGCGAACCGTCGACGCGCACGGTGCCCCATATGGTCTGTTTCACAATTGTGGTCCACATGTCCGTAGGGATGAACTCATTTTTTCCCCCCGAGATGAGATGGCTCACACGTGTTCGGCTTATGGCCAACCCACAGGATGGGCCTCCATTCAGTCGGCACCACGAACCATTGGTTTGACGCAGGATCGCACACGACTCACTTACGAGCCCATTGAAGAGCTCAAGGTATGCATGAAACCGAATTTCTCCCATTACCTGCCTTTATTCCCATGTGTGTGCATTACCGCTTCCGCTGTGTGTGTGTGTGTGTGTGTGTGTGTGTGTGTGTGTGTGTGTGTACGGGCAATGTCTTACACACGCCGTCTCCACATTTTGGGTCTAGGCCCTCCGCACTTCGGATGCACCGTTGGTGCAAACGTCGGTGACTCTGCAAGCTGGACAAACAGTCACCCTTAACATCACTGGCACACAGCTGGATCTCTTCTTTCTCATCAACATTTCTGGTGTGGCCTTGCCGAACGGTGTTGTCGATGTGTCGTGCTTGGTACTCCCGGGTACTCAAGCACAGACTAATTCCGTCCGTGCCGATAGGCTCGACTGATTGCGGAGTTTCCGTGCTTGACAGCCTTGATGGACAAGAGCAGACGCTGGTTGGCGTCGGCTACGGTCATGAAAGCGTTGGACCTTATACTGAAAAAATGGATTTGCCTGGTGGTGACTACAAGTATGAGTAACGTTGCCATGTTTGTGGCCAAGCTCTCGAACCAGTTCTCATATTGGTCTACACTTTCGGCCGTTTGCAGCGTGACCAACGTCAACTATACCGATCCGCACGAGTGCGAACAAGTCTGTGATGCCGATGAGCAGTGCATGGCCTGGACCTACGTTGTCCGACCCCCTCTTCATGGTCGGTTGTCCCCGCTGCGTTCCGCCAGCTTACCTTTGTGAATGTGTGCACCGATGGGAGTGTGGGTATCAAACTAACTGGCTTTCATGTGATCAGCCTCTTGCTGCTTGAAAAGCACTGTTCCGGCCGCTGTGCCCAACGACGCCTGTACATCCGGCATTGAATCGCGTGCCCTGCGTTATCGCGCGCTTTATGTGGACACACACAATTCCAGCCTGAATGCGTACGTGTTTCAGATGTTTCAGACTGCGACTGTGCATGCATGTCGTACCTTGCCATGCTAACAACAATTGCTAAAAACCCAAATAACCTGGCCCTCCCCATGCCGTCCTGCCCTGCCCTGCCCTGCGCCGCCAACAGCACGGATGGGCATGTCAAGTCGCGCGAGGCCGGCGCATTGATGGATGGCGCCCCAGAAGATGTGGATTTGGTTGCTCTGGTAGGCTTTTTCCGTCCCCTCTTTGCCTCTCGGCCCTCTTTCAAAGACACCCACACATTTGAGGTGGTTGGCACGCAAAGTGGCGCGAATCAACTTATGTTGTAACTTTTTGCGCAACGTTGCAGCGTGTCATGGTGGACAACTCGGTGGTCGAAGCTTATGCCAACAACTTGGCCGTGTTGACGCGTCGAGTGTATCCCACATTGGATCAGTCTCACCACGTGCAGCTCTATGCCAATGATGGCCAATGCCAGTTTGTGGCCGCACAGGGCTGGCAAATGGGGAGCATGTTCATCGAGTGAATCCCGTCTGCAAGTACAAACGTACTGTTGAACAGTGGAGCTCTTCCAACCCAGTTAATTTCTTCCCCACTCTCCCACTCCCCCACTCGCATCCTCTTTGATGACGTTTGTTTCGCTTTGTTGCATATTCCAGCACTGAGAATGCCTGAAAAACTTGCTAACACTCAAATTGCTAAAATCAAATATTCTACAAACACTCCGCTCGTGGGAAGTGGTGGTATCTTGACCACCTCACATGATTAACGGTTGAGGAGGAGCCGTACAAAGTACGCCAAGAGGAAGAGATAGAGCGGCACCTCCCATCGAAGGTAGCGTGACCGACGCAAGACGAGAGCACGGCATGGCCACCCCACAATAAACATGAGCAGGAAGACCATGAGCCCGAGGGCGCTGCACAATCGAAATGTTCCCGAGAGCACGCGCATGTCCGTGAGACGAGGGCTGCATGCCTGGGACACACGTTTGCAGGCTGGGTCGAGGCCATGGCGCGGGTCACTGCTAGCACAAGTCTCTAAAGCTTGTCGAAGCTCTGTGCTCAAAATAGCTGCTGGCCGATACAGCTCGGCTACCTCATAGCGTCGGTGTATCAAGCGTGCGCCCTCAGCTCCCATGACATTAATGTGTAAGACGGGGGAGTGACACGTCTGATTGTGCTTGCCACGTGCCACCGAGGCGGGGTCATTACACTGCAATTCCAACAAGCCGATGTTGAGCTGCGTGATGGCAGGCCCCACGCGCTCTTGGGCATCGGCCATCCAGCGCAGCACGGCTTCACGAGGGCCGCCCCAACTGTGGGTCATTCCCGAGGAAGTGGCATCTACCAGCGTGCCCGAAGCAAATGCACAATGCGCATGGGACACCTCGGCAAGGTGCACATCTCCTGACAGGAAGACCACATTGGCGGTGTTGGTGGTTGCCAGAAGTGCCAATAATTTGGCGCGACTAGCCGGAAAGCGCCCCCATTGCTCGCCCGCCACCTTATCTTGTGCAACGAATTGTAGCCCCGAACCGATGATGGTGAGGTCTGCGCTCTGCGTACGCAGCTCCGACTCAAGCCAGCTCCACTGCTCGGGGCCCAGCATATCCTGAGCATGATGCTCCGAGACGTAGAATCGCGGCTGCCTCGACTTGTGCGACCTAAGACGCAGCCGAGCAGATGAGACTACATTTCCGTGCACGCGGCGATGAAACACGATAGCGCAGGCTCAAGTCGACATGACCGCTTTCACGGGCCTACCGATTGTCGAGCAAGATGATGCGCACACGAAGGCCATGCCATTGGTGGCGCCACACGGTGTACATGGCACTCTGTTGCCGCCGACTGGCAATTCCTAAACGCGGATCCTGAGAATGGTTGCCAGTGGCCCATGTGTGAGCATGTTCGTGGACAGAACGCAGATGGGCGTGCCCGACATTCACAAAGGGTCAAAAAAGCCGTCATAGTCGGGTGGCTGGTCGACCAGCCACCCTTTATTAAGCGACCTACTTGATCGAAGGTATCCTGAAGTAAACGTTGGGCCGTGGTGCGCAGCTCCCAGCTTTCGTCGCCGTCGTTTTTGCCATAGTCATGGTCATCAAAGACGGCCAGGAGTGGTGTGTCGGCGCGGAGTGCTTGAAAGTCGGGAAGAGAGAGTAGCTGCGCATAACTTTGCTCGAGGGCTTCGACCGTAGCTGGGGTGCGTAGCGGGGGCACAATGACACTGTCCGCGTACACGTTGTCACCGAGCAGCACCATGAGATCTGGGGCAGCTTCTCGCATTACTCGCCACATCGGATTGGGTTTGCGCTGGTTGGCGCAGGATCCAAACCCAATTCGAAGTACATCTGCATCCCGACTCTCAACCCCGGCCCCTGCTGCCAAACCGTGCAGCATTGCCAGCCAGGCCCCAAGGACCCCAACCAGCCTCATGACGATCCCTCCGCGGTCAGAGGCTGCCAGTTCGCACACAACGACGACGTGTTCTTGTCTTGTCGTGTGTGTGTGTTAGATGATTATCAGCGTGCCTTGTCAGACAAACTGTCACAAGCAGTATGAGCGCGGACGGAAACCGCATGATGGAGCTCTTTGACGAGGAGGCGTCAAGGCATTGGTGTCATTTTTTACTTTTTATTTTATTTTTTCTGCCTAGGTGGGGGTGCAACACCTGCCCTCTTTACCGTTGGACTGCGGCTGTGCATCGCTGGTTGGTGTGGCGTTGAGAAGACCTGCATCTCTTCGGCGCTGCAAGTCAGACACAAACGAGGCTGAAGGCTTGTCTGCACAGCATTCATAACAAGCATAATAACATGGCGACGGTGGCGCCTGAGGTCAAGGCGCGCATTGCTGCCAAACGGGCCGAGGTACGAAGCACATTTGACTTTTGCTGCATCAGTCAACCCAACAGTTGCGACCCGGGACCTCACAGCCTTCTTACTCTTTGCCAGGCCCTGGCACGACGGGCGACGCGCCAGCAGACACGGGAACATGGCGAACACAGCGGTCCTCAGCTGCCATCGGCCGTTCTTGTCGAACGTCATTCCATCTCGAGCGAGGCAGCCAATGCTTCCAAGACAGGTTGGAGATGACTGAGCGATGATTAGCCGCTGTGCCGTACCCGTAATGCCCGTTTACCAGACACTGCACCATCTCACACGTTCGGACGCAGCGTCCTCAACGCCAGTCGTGCGGCGATCCACGGGCTTCTTTCGTGACACCCAGGCTGGCTTTCTACTGGAAGAACCTCCCAACGAGCCCGTAGATGTCAACCCCAAGCGAGCCAAGAGGCATGAACACACCCCAGGTCGGTTGTGACCCATATTCGCGAGCTCATTTGTCTACCAAGACCCTCAGATGACTGGTGTGCTGGACAGGGGCCGAAACCATGCCAAGCTACCCACGTGGCCCAGCCTGCATTGATTGCGGCCAGGAGTTTACCGAATCGTTCCTGGTCAAGCACTTTGGAGTTGTGGCTTGCAACGCTTGCCGCGACGTGTACAAGGCGGGCAAGTACCGCCTTGTCACCAAGACCACGGCTTCAAAAGTATGTTTGTGCTTTTTTTTTCTGTTGTTGTTGTTGTTGTTGTTGTTGTTGTTGTTGTTGTTGTTGTTGTTGTGGGCTCTGCAAGCATTCGTGCTATCGGTGGCGGCTCACCTGTTGTGAATGCTGACGAGCTGCGTAGGAATACCTGCTGAGAGATAGTGAGTTATCAGGTGGGCAAAGCAGCCTACGCTTCATCGAGCGGGACAATCCTAATAATGATACTTACAACAAGATGAAACTCTTTCTTCTGAGTCAGGTTTGTTGCAACCTTTTTCAAGTTACCGAGTCTGGTCAGGCCTGAGATGTTTCTGTGACTTGTTGGACGCCGCCCATGCCCTCAGGTTCAAGAGCGCTCCTACGCTCGCTACGAGGATGAGTTTGGCCTGCAAGCAGAGCATGACCGACGGGCAGCGGTACAGCAAGGGCACCAAGACCGTCGACGTGAAGAGCGCTTGAAGAAGCTCCGCAAGGAAACTTTGACCAGCGAGTGGCTGGCACAGCGGGTAGTACACGAGCACACATTCAACCCTGAGGACGAGGTGCGGCCATGGTGTACCTGGTTGCCTTGTTCTCGGTGCTTTTTCCCCCCGCCCCTGCCCCTCTTAGGTCGGTGTGCTGTGCTGTAGGTCTATGATGAGGAAGAGGATCAGTGGACCAAAACGTGTGCTGATTGCGGGTTCAAAGTGACCTACGAGCGTATGTGAGAAGGTCCTTTGTTGTGTCAACCTTTTTATCTCTTCGTGGGTGCAAAGGTGCATTGTCCGGCTGGGCCGGGCGTACGTGTGGACACATTATTGATATCTGGGACGCTCTCCCACGTTTTTGAATTGAATTCAAGCATGCGCAAACGAACCATGTGAAGGACTTCTTGAGTAAGAAATCTAGAGGCCTTGTTGCTGTAGCCATGCATCGACGCGATTGCGCAGCTCCGTTTGAGTTCCGCTGTTCTCGAATACAACCTGTGCCCGCTTTATTTGCTCTGCGGGCACCATTTGAACGGCGATGGTGGCTTTGGCTTGCGTCTCCGTAACGCTGTCACGTCGCATAACGCGTTCAATGCGGGTGCGCTCGGGTGCTGTCACCAAAACCACGGTGTGGCACAACCGATCCAGGCCACTTTCCAGCAACAAGGGTGCGTCCAGCACCACGAAGGAGCGCCAGTACCATAGCCGTGCAAGAATGAGCTGACGTAGCAACTCGACAAACACGGGCAGATGCGTAGCTTGATTGACGACACGCCGCACAGCAGGAGTCGCAAAAATGGCTTCGCGCAAGGCTTGGCGATCCACGCGCCCATCTGCCTGACACACTTGCGGCCAGAGCGGTGTCGTGCCACGAGACAAACTGGCCCGCAGCCGCTTATAGCCCCAAGTTCCAGGTTCCAGTACACCACGCGCAATGTCGTCGGCGTCGATAATAACGGCTCCGTGTGCGCGAAATAGCTGGGATATGGTCGACTGGTTCGGCGCAAGGGCGCGCAAAGTTTTGATGTGCCGTGAGCAGGCGCAAGGGTGGCGTGAGTTGGGGCGGTACAAAGGCTTCCCACTACACACACTGCCGCATGAAATCACTCACTTTGCCTGCCGCGATGCCACCAGTGAGTCCAAAGGGACGACAGCGGTTACCGAGAATATAAGTCAACGAGGTCAGTAGCAGCCAGGGCCAAGCCACCACAGTATGCTGGGACATCCACTGCCAGACCCAAGGGCAAACAACCAGGCCAATTCGCAGCAGTCGAGGTGCGCGGTCTGAAGCAACGCCTACGGCGGCACTGCCCCCTGCAAGCACGAGGCCGTACAGCATGGTCCCGAGCCAGCCTTCAAGCATGCCCGGTGTTTCGCTCCGTAGTGCGATTGCGTCATCCGAGGAGCCGAGGAGAATGACTCGGCGCGCACGAGATGTGCTGGTGGCCCAGAGGTTGGACACAGACTCGGCAAGACCTGAACGACTGATCGAGTTGAGTACCACCTTTCCTATGGCCAGCGGTTGATGTTCACCTCCACGGCTAGGGTCCCCGGGCCGATCGTCAGGCGTCAATCCCATCCACGACAAAGCTTCGACGGAGCGTGACCAGACCGGCCACATCCTCAGGAGCGCCTACTGAGCCACCATCCACCTAGCCACAGCCAACCGCTGTGTGCGAGGCCAAAACACAGTCTAGCCAACTGCAGCACCGGTCATAAGCGTCACGTTCAGCCAGCCATGCAGACCCAGTCCGTGACGATGAGAAATGCGTGCTTTTGCTGTTTGTGCTTTTGTCGTTTCGAGCTTTTTTTTTTTCTTTTTTTTTTTTTTCTTTTTTTTTTTTTTTTTTTTTTTTTTTCTGACGTGATGATCATTCAATAATTCATTTCTCCGCATTTTGAGGACCGGTGAGCGACGACCTCTGACTCTCTCTATTTGACTTGGCGTCAGCCGACGGTCAAGGTAGGGCTTGTGGAGCATATTCCAGAACCCACTGGACAGTGGACAGGCGAACAACTGCAGACCAAGCCGGCTACAGGAAACCTTGCAAGTTTGACACACCGGCCGAGCGCTTGCGCACCGTGCCTGACCCTAACCTCACGCAATCAGCCCCGTGTCCTTTCAACTGGCCGCTACGGCGGCTAATCACGGCACTTTTATGGACAAGAGACGAGCAAACAGCAGCTGAACACCGCCAAATACTGACAAGTATGGCGTCAGCATCAGACGGTGAGGCCCATGTGCAGCTTGCCCACCCAACGCTCCGTGAAGGCTCCCTGCATCCCATCGAGTCTCGACTCACGCTCTCATATCCGTGGCTTTGAACAGATATCTGTCGTCTATGCCATGACCATGGCAGCCCTGGCAATCCACTCTTCTTTCCATGCAAATGCACGGGCTCCATCCGCTATGTTCATCAGGACTGTCTGCAGCAATGGTTGCAACACAGCGGCAATCCGTGCGTTTTGCCTTTGGCCCGCTTGGCCGTGATGTTCGCCATGGGATGTATCCATGCTCAAGCATTCTCGGTGCTCACTCAGGCTTGTTCGTTTGCACCCTCTCATACCGGCGCCCTTCTCACAGACGCTGCGAGTTGTGCGGGCAAGAGTATCGCTTTGAGAGCGTCTATGACCCCAATATGCCTGCACGCCTGCGCCTCCTTGATATTGTGCGCACCTTTGCCAAGCGCGGCGCAGGCAGCTTGGCCTTGGTCGTCCGCTTGGCTGTCGCCCTTGTAGCTTGGCTCTGTATGTCTTCTCTCTGCTATCGTTCAGGCGCCTGCCTGAAGCACCCGCTTTCAGCTTGCAAGCTCCGGGCTCACGCGTTGATGACTCGGTGGCTGCCGCTCGCTCGTGCTGCCGTGCAGTTTTGCCCCTGGCCACGCGCTTTGTGTGGTGTCTCTGCTTTGTTCATACTTGGACCTTTGCTGCTGACCAGCTGTCCGACCCCACGTACGAAAAGAGAGCGCAAACGATGCTGCCCTGTCTCTTCTCCGACTTGCACTGGGCCCTGCAATTAGCTCATTCTTAGATCTCACGGGGTTGCCCCTTCGCATGGCCGCGCAGCTTCTTCTTTTGGGAATGGCTCTATGGCGCGCTGGGCTGCGGTTCAATTTTTGGTCTCGCCATCACCATTGTATCATTGCGGGACTTTATTGTTATTCACAACTTACCCATTCCAGATGTACGTTTGGGTCGCCAATGGATGCTTTTTCTCTCTCTCCCCCTCCCTCCGTTTCGAATACCTTTCAAGTGGCCCATACTATTTAGCCATGTTGAGAATCGAGCGACAACTCATCCAGCCTGACCTCACTCGACCCACCGCTTTCTTCCGCCTCCTTGGTCGTCTCTGCTGGGGTAGCCTTTCAATCCCGCCGAGCTGCCTCCTAGTGACCCCCTAGCGGAAAGCGAGGATGAAGACGACGAAGTTCTGGCCGCCATTTTCGAAGGCATGTTCCTCTTGTGCACAGCTCTGACTTGATTTGGTCAGCTACCTTGTATGCTTGCGCATTCAGCTCATGCACAATTTTCCATCTGCTGGACCGTGCGTGTACCCTTTGCTCCAACATTTTTTCGACAGGTGAAGACGCAGAAGAGAACAACTGGGAATGGGAGCGTGCCGAAGAAGAGGAGGATGACGAGCCAGTGCGCCTTCGGCCAGAGGCTCTGCAAGTACCGGCTGCCAATGCAAACGATGGTGCTGGCGACAACGTCAATGCGGACCCCAATGATGCCATCGAGAACCCAGACGACGCGGTCCGTCAAGCACAGATTGAAGGGGACGAAGCGATGGCCCGTGCCTTGGGCGAGAACATGGAAGCGGCTCCGGAAGCAGGACTCGACGTCCTCCTCGGGCTTCATGGTCCATACAATCGCCTCCTCGAAGCCTGGATCTGGGCATTTGTGCTGGTGTGCGGCAATTGGGGCTTTTTCGTGCTTGCTCCAAGCATGATTGGCAGCATCATCTTCTCGCTCGTGGGCCTCGAGCTCCCATCGGCTTGGTCTAGCTCCTTACAACTCGCGACCGAAGTTGCGGCTGGTTATGTTCTGATGCTCAGTGTGGTTACTTTTTTCAGCCTCACTGCGGCGGAGCCGTACTTTCGCCGGGTACTGTCCTCATTCCTGAGCTTTGGAGGCACTTTTTTCAAGACAGTGCTTGCCATGCTTGCGGAAATCGTGCTCATGCCCTGCCTCACGGGGTGGTGGATTGATATCTGTGCCTTGAATTTGCAAGGCGTGACGCTTGAGAAACGCTTGGCTTTTGCCGAACACTCCTTTTGGACCAGCGCGCTGATGCATTGGCTGCCTGGAATCCTGTATCTTCACATGATCACCTCCTTAATTGGCCAGATGCGTCTCATTCTTCGCAAGGGCACCCTGTGGTTCTTTCGTGACCCGTATGATCCAGCCTTTCACCCCATCAAGTATATTGTCAAGACGCCTCTCGTGGCCTATCTGGTCCGCTTCCTGGTGGTCCTTGTTCTGATGAACACCATCGCCTACTTCATCTTCCATCTGGGCAGTCGCATGGCCAGCTGGCTGTTGCCCTCGACGCTGCCCTGGAACCTACTCATCCGACACCCGCTCGAGTTTGTACTGGCTAACATGACTATTCCCCTGGTCTGGGTGCGTACGCTGACCTCCGTTTTTTTGCTTGCATTCGTGCCTGGGTACCGATGGTGCGCTGACGTCTTTTTCCTCGCCCTTGCGTTGCATTTGCTGTGATTCCGACCACACCAGGAGCAACTTGATCTGACGCAGGGCGTGCAACGTTTGTTGCGGACCTGGTTCACTTTTTGCAGTCATTGGGTGGGCCTTTACGACTACATGCTACCACCCCCCACCGAGCCTGTCGGGCCTGATGCTGCTGTGGACAATGGGGTTGAGAATGACGAGCAGGAGGGGGCTGACGGTGATGAGAGGCGCTTCATCGCCGCTGGTGGTGCAGCAGCGGTCCCTCAGAACGACGTGCTTCCTGACGTGGAGGCCGAGGTGGATCATTCTCAAAACGGCGAGGCGGGCGAAGACCAGGACCGACCTCTGGCGCGTGACATTCCGCTTTTCTATCCGCGCTTGACCGTGCTGGTCTTCATGGGTCTTGTCACGCTGTCATTGCTGGCCGCTATCTTTTTCGTGCTTCCGGCCCTGGCCGGTCGCCCGCTGTTGAAGCTGTGCGGTGCCACCGTGGTGGGTAATTGGCATCTCTTCGCACCTCCTTATCTCGCCTGCACTTGACTCGACTGCCTTTTGCTGCGACGCGCCTTCTTCGCCACCCTCACCTGGAAACTGTTTGTCGTTGTTGATCGTGTTTTGGGTGGTTTGCGATTTTGCTTTGTGTTTGTGTCTCTGCTTCATTCCGACCATGGACTGAACTGTTTGAATGCGCGTTTGCAGGTGCACGAGTATTTTACCTTGGGAGTATCGTTGCTCGTACTATACGGCGCGGGATTTTTGGGCAAATTGTGTGTGACTCAAGCGCGACAAGAACGACTTCGAGTGATATTGACAAAGTTTGCGCGAGCAGTTTTGCTGGCTCTCAAGGTACGTGTGCACCTTGACCCATGTCCTGACTCAGATAGTCGTGCCTCAGCTCAGCATTTTCTGCCTGACCAATGCTATTTTGCAGTTGGCAATCTTTAGCACGTTGACCTTTGGTATCCTACCGATCATCATGGGTGTTTCACTGGAGCTGGCTATATTTGTTCCAATCTCTCTTGTCGATCATACCACACCAATGATTTCGCTGTGGCAGAGCTGGGCGCTCGGTGTCATGGCGCTCAACTGTATTTTGCGCCTTCTTACCGATGGTGGGTTGGTCGGGACATCCCTGTTGAGGAGAAGCTTGCGCTTGGCATGATAGCAGGGCATGGTCACTCACCAATCTCGTCGATGACTGTACACAGGTCCAGCCCTCCGCATCAAAATTGAGATCGATCGTCAATGGCAGGCTGGCCTTGCTGGTTTCAGTCTGACGGCTGCCTGTGCAGGTGCGGTGCTGCTGCTGTGGTTTTACGCACTATCTGAGCTACCTCGCTTTTAACATCACCTTTGCTGTCGCCCGTCATTGCTCGTGCCTTCACTGCATCATCGACTTTTGTCCGCGGATGTAGTGGTACTGCCTTTGATCGGCTCGCTGCTATTCTTTTTGTTGAGCCCAATTCCGATTGTGTTTGGCATCTTGCCCGCGCTGTTGCCTCTGAATGATCGTCAAGTACGACCGAACCAGCTGCCCGCCTTTCAGAACTCAACTCCATGGGAGAGGCGGATTATTTCATTACTTTTGTACCTTCTCTACTAACTGCACCTGCTTGATGTTTGTGTGTGCAGATCTGGTATGGGTTTTACTATCTTTACCCCACGATGGTGTGTGCAGCTGTTGCGGCCCTGGTGGCACAGGCTGTGCAAAGAAAGCTGGCTGGGGTAGGTGGTGCTTCTCCCATTCTTTTCCATCCCTCCGTCCTTCCCGGCCTCTCTCTGAGTCGCTGACTCGCCGACTCGCTGACTCTCTCACGGTGACATTGCTCGGACTTGCAGGTCAGTAAGATTGTCCGAGACGATCAGTACCTAATTGGTACACGTTTACTTAACGCTCCGACCGGATCGACAGACGGGGCCAACTGAAACTGGAGCGTGTGTTGCCTTGGTATCAACCTGTGTGATGTGCGTGGAATCTGGCTGAGCTCTCCAGCCGTGAACCATGACTGTGTTCCAGCTCAAGGAAGCTGATGTCAAAAATGGATGTCGGGAACGCAACTCTGTGCAATTCCTTCTCATCTCTTTCTCTTTTAAAGTGCGCAATGAGAGACGATATAGTGGACGAGTCGATTTTGCCTCGGCACAAGGGCATGCTACAAAGCAAAAGGGGTCAAGTGAACTTTTTCTATTACATCTCACACTCAAAAAAATCAAGGCACCAGTTGGGCCTCATTGCTTACACGCCCGCTATGCAAGCATGGCCACCAGCTGTGCCCGTGTGTCAGCTGCTGCAGCGCGAAAGGCGGCAAGTCGGGCCTCCCCGGCTTGCACGATTGCATGAAGCTAAACATGAGACACACATTTTGCGGAGGCATGAGGCCAGCTTCTCAGAAGAGCAAACGCTTGGTTGATAACAAGCGCGGGTGCAACTCTACCTTTTCGGCCTTTTTGGCGTCGAAGAATTCAGCCATGGTCATGTCTTGAACGTCGGGAGCGTCCAACTGCATCACGGAGAGCGGGGTGGCTTTAGCCTATTTGCAAGTCAGGCCCGCCGTATCAGTTCGTTGCGTTTTATTGTGCTTCGAAAAGGTTGAAGATTGGTATTCTGTGCACGGCGAATTCGGGTTGAAATACCTTTTTTGCTGTCGGCTGCGAACCGGCCCTGGCACTCTTGGTAGAATCCTGCACATCCTCTGATTGTACCGCAGGCTCGGATTGTGTGGAGGGTGTGTCCCGCTTGGCACGGGCGATGGTCTTGGCAGAACGTTGCACCGTATCGACTTCGTTTGCAGGTGACTTGGTGGGGGTAGCTCGGGTGTCTTCCTCTGCCTTTTGAGCAAGTTTATTGGAGCCTTCCTCCATGTCGTTCAGCTTGTTGGAAAACTCTGTGGCGTCGTCATCAGCCGAGGCCGAGGCCTCGGCCTCGGAAGGCTCGGGGGTGGTCTCACGAGCAGCCTCGGCATCGCGAGCTGCACGGACAGACTTGATAAAGGTGCATCGTGAAGAGTGGGAGAAATGCTCTTCACTATTGTACGTGCGTGGTTGGTCAAGGTTGGAGGGAAGTGAATGAGCAAAGGGCATGGGTGTACAGCAAGCCGATGTCTCGGGCTGGCGCTGAGAAGCCTTACATGGGATCGTCGGTTTTATCCCAGCCCCCGAGGGACTTTTGGCAGTGGAAGCAGGTCAGAGTGTCCAGGGCAGACTCGATGGGTGTATGGTAGAAACCGGCAGCAACAAACTGTGTTTAGGATGTTGTTTATTGTGCATGTTGTCCGGAGAACAGCATGAGTCAAGCGCGGAGCTGGCCTGGGTGCGACCTGGCAGCGACCTGCGAGTAAGCTGACCTGCTCGACTGTGGCATCGAGGATGCCTTCTTTCCAGCATTTGAAGGTGGCACGACGACTCTCAGCCAGGTCTAGGTTGAGGAAGGGGCAAGCAGGCGCGTGTTTGCGATGCTCTTTGCTGGGGTCGTCTTTGGGGTCCCAATCGGCCAGCTCCTTGTCGCACATGAAGCAGACAGTCGCATCCGGACTGTTGACATTGCCAGTGTGATAAAACCCCGTCTTGGCCAACTGGCGACAGGTTCGTTCCGACCGTCCAGCAGATAGCAAGGGTAAGCACGGCGGGGTTTTACACAGATTCAGAGTGCAGGCGGGACTTGGAGTTGCCGGGATGAAAATTTAGCCGGGCACGGGCTGCACTTACGTTTTTGGGGTTGCATTTGCGGCGACGGCTAAGCGGCCATAGGTCACCAAAGCTGCTGACCCGATTCTCATACAGGTGCATGCTGGTTCCCAGCTCTGTTGTCTCCAAGAACTCGTCCATGTTGTCGGGCAAGAAAAGCGCAGAGCGCTGCTGTCGCAAACTCGTCCACAGGAGCAGAAAAAGGGGAAGGATTGGTATCGATCAAGAAAAGCCGGACAAAGAGTAAAATGGAAGCTGGGATGATTTCAAACTTTTGGCGGGAAATAAATTTTCTATCACCTCATCCTTGTTTTTCTAGCTTGAATGATATCACTCCCTGAGCACAAAACCAAGAATGTCAGACTTTTATTGTCATACTTAATTTTCGAAACACACACACACACACACACACACATACGCACGATGACGCCTGATGTGCGTTCTCAGGGGGGGGGGGGAGGGGGGTCTCAGCATGAGCTGTGGCAGTCCAAGTCGAGACAAGCAGGGGGAAGAACGACGAACCAGTGGGCCAGAGGGTGTGTGAACTCGCAAATACCAGGTGAGCGCGGCAATGGTGCCCACCGATGTTGCCTGCCAGCTCCCAGAGACCAGAGAGGTAGGTCGTCAAGACACAGTCCTACACACGTATATCAAGGCTGTCATCGTCATCAGGAAATCACATGACCAGAGGTGTGTGAGTGAGTGTGTGTGTGTGTGTGTGTGTGTGTGTGTGTGTGTGTGTGTGTGTGTGTGTGAGCCCCTTGCCCGCCCATCCATTTCTCTTTCGTGTGTGTCCGTGTCTTTGTGTGTGTGCCTGTGAATGTGCGTCTGGATGTTACCGCTGTTTGTGGCAGCGCGGTACAAAGGGTCATTCCTCCCCCTCCCAACGCCTGCGGTCACGCCCTGACGAGCGCAAATTACGGCCGCCTTTGAGCGTTCTATGCCTCAAGCTGAGCCATTCCTTGTTGTCTCTGTTGCTCTTGCTTCCCGCACACATTCCAAGCTGTTGTTGTTGGTTCTGCTGCTGACGCTGCTTGACACCCAACCTGTCCGAGCGAGGTGACTCGACATCGGTTTTGAGGCTTGCCGGTCCACGTCCGATCGAGCTTCCGCCTCCACACAATACTCTTTGTGGCGGAATGGCTACGACCATGAGCCCAACCTCAGTCTAGCTCTACCGTTTGCTTCTCACCCCTCCCTCCGCCTGACTGCCACCTCCTGACCAACACCGAGGTGTCACTTGGCGACGCTTCTACAGCTTGAGAAAGCGAGAACAAGCGCGCCAAAGACCTTTGCTGCCCTCGTGTCAGCTGACTTTGAGCCATGTCGTGGTTTGACAACGAACCCAGCCCATACGGCCCCACGACGGCCACCGTCTTCACCCAGGGCAATGACCGCACCTTCACGCTCATGACCATTGCGGGCGCCGCCTGCTTTGCCACCTGTGTCACGAGCTTTCGCCACTTGCGACAATACCTCACTCAACTCTCCCACAACACGCCCCGCACTCTCGCCATCATCCTTGTCTGCGTCCCGCCTCTTTTCGCGATATCCTCCTTTTTGGGCCTCCTCTCGCCGCGTGGCAAGTACGTACCCTCTCGTCCAACCAGCCGACTCGCCATGCTGCGTGGTGCGGCCGAGGGACACCATGCCCATCAACCTTTCCCTCCTCACCCAGGCAACCCCCCTTCCTGCCCTGCTCTTGCTTTTACTTATTTCCCTCTCCCCCCCACCCCCAGCGGCATGTTCCACTTGATTCGAACAGCAGCAACCGTCATGGCCGTCTTTGCTTACTTCAAGCTCATTTTCTGGCACCTGGGCGGTGTCACCATCGCCTCAATTCGTGTGGCTGAGGAACATGGCCATGAATATGAGGATCATTGGCTCACGAAGCTTCCCCCGCTTCTTCCCTTGCGGCTTTGCATCCCAAAAATTCGCATGGACGTGAGCATGATTCGCCGCTGCCGCGCCATGGTCTGGCAGTTCTTCACCATGGCGCCGCTCACCGCTTTTGCCCAGCTGTGGATCATCTTGGAAAAGGGTACCAATCAGAGTGCGTAGTAATCCCCTCTCACACACTCTGCCCCTCTCACACACTCTGCGCCCTTGGACGATTTTCATGCACGTGTGAGCCATTCGTTCGAGCTGAACTCACCCGTGGTTGGCTCGTGCATCGTAGATGCCCCGATGGAACAAGCCACGCTTGCCATGCAGGCGCTGCAAACGATCAGCATGATTGTGGCCGTGTACGGCCTGTTTACCATCTTCTTTGCCACAAAATCACTTCTCACAGCCGACGGCTATCAACCGTTGCTCAAGATGCTGGTGGTTCATGTTGTGTTTTTGATCAACACCTTGCAAAGCACCCTGATTCCGCTCCTTTTGGCCTTGAGCAGCCCGCCTTCAGTGAATGCGCAGCAATCCTCGCACGATGTCTGGCACCCGTCTTACCAAACCCAGGCTTGGAAGGATTTTGTTGTCTCCTGTGAGATGGTCATCCTGAGTCTTCTCATCTACAAAGCCTTTCCCGTTTCCGATCTGCTCGAGTACGAGCAAATGCTGCCGGGTGACCGTCCCGGCATCGGCATGTTTGAGGATGATTACATCTCGCACCGCATTGACAACGCTGCAAGTCTCCTCCGCCGCGCTGCCACCATGGAGGACTACGCTGCACGCAGCTCCTACGCCCCCGAAGTGGAGCAACAGTCACCGCCATCCCTGGCCCGTGGGGATAGCTTTGCCCGCCTTCGCACTCACAGCGTCAAGGCCATCACTGACTTGGGCATGCTGCGTCTTTTGCCCCCAAGCAGCGACGGCAGTCTCCACTCTTCGGGTCTTGAGGATCACCTCAACCCCAACTCTGCTCTCTTTCACAACCGGTCCAAACCACTAGGTCGCAACAGCGATCCCAACATCAGCAGTGACACCTCGCGCCGCTCCTCCATGTCCTCAGCTTCGCGGCCCGCAATGTCTTGGCATGGCCAGCGTCGCGCTTCGCCCATACACCGCACGGAAACCGAGTTTACCAACCTGGAGGAGGCTGACGAGGAGCACATCGACCTGAGCGAAAGTCAGGACACCGATAACTTTGAGACCCGGGTGACGTCTGGCAGCACTGCTCGCCGCGCGTCCTCAGGGCACTCCACTGTGCCACCGATTGTCGTCACTCCAGCCGACGTTGATGGCATAGACATGGACTTGCTGGATGGCCACCCACAACAAAGACCCTCTGTGACGTCGGCCTGGATGCTAAACGACGGTGGCAGTGAAGAGCAGGCTGCTTCCGTTTTTGACAGCTCACGATCGAGCAACGCTGTGAGCACACGTCAATCAGCTCGAAATAGTTACAGCGAGACGATAGCCTGATCAGTGGTGCTGGGCCACTTCACCGTGCCTCTTGGGCTGACTGAGCGGTACTCTTCCAGCTGATTGCATTCCCTTACTTCGTCTGAGGGACCTATTTCGGCTTTGTGAGCCGCATATTGATTGAGTGGCTCCTCTCTTGTGGACGAGCTGGTTCATCTATGGTTGATCTGGTCACCTGTTGTTCACTCTTGTATCCCGTGTTGCTCCATCGTGCCATCATGCACGCCTCGCTGCGCGAGGTAATGATATGTTTTTTGACGCCGCCTTATCTCGCCCATTCAATCCAGACGGCTAACATGGTGATTCAATTTTTCCTTGGTCTATCCCGTTGCCCATCGGTAATGCCACCCCCTTCCTTCCTTCCTCGGCCTCCTCTGTGTGCTGCCTCGAGCCAGCTCCTTCAATTTGGCGGAGGCGTATCAACTTGCTCTGGCCAGACAAACCTTGGTTCGGCACGTGCCCTCATCTGAACAGCCGAAAACAAGAACCAAAAAAAACCCCCCATTCAACCATGACTGCCTGTCGACCTGCACCTCAGCAGTCGCAAGTCATCCCCGCTTCTATCCAGTTTGCCGAGCTGCCAATAAACTACTCGTGCCTTTCGTTCTCCCACCCTCCTTGTCTCTGGCAATGTTTGTTAGGTCATGTTCATCATCGTCTGCTGTGGCAAAGATACTTGTTGTAGAGATCGGTACAGTTATTGCAGTGTCTTCGGTTCGTTTACTCTACTACATCTTGATACTCTCACGACAAAGTTGTAGTTGACGCTGGAGTAGATGCTTCCGATCTGCTCCTCCAAAACAACTGCAGACCACCACTGGGTCACTCACTCATACGCGTGCATTTCCCGATCAGAGGGCAGACCCTGATTCGAACTTGATTCGAATCGACTTTGCTTCTTCCAACACGATCATACTCCCGTGGTCGCCTGTCGTTCTTCCCATTCTGCAGTTGCCATGGCTCCCCGACTCCTCCTCACAGGTGTGGCCCTCTTGGCGCTCTGCGCTTCGGGCACCCAAGCCTTCTTCTGGTCTTTTGATGGAACCTCTACCAAGACCAACCTGCAAGGCGGTGTCAATGGCGGCACCGGCTGCGCCGTCTGCACCCTCGGCGTTGGTATCGTTGAGCAACTGACTGAGATCCACAACGAATCAGCCATCGAGGCCGTTGAGCGTCTCTGCCAGATGCTGCCTTCCAACGAGACGGCCAAGTGCCAGGAGCTCGTCAAGGTCTTGGGCCCCACCGTCATTGACCTGATTGAGCAGAAGTACACCGCCGATGTCGTCTGCAAAGCCATTGGCGTCTGCACGGGCGACTGCCGCCTATTCCCCGCCCCCGCTGAGGGCATGGCCCAGTCCGTGGCTCGTGCTCGTGCGTCGCTTCCCTTTGGTCGCTTGGCCGCAGTTCAAGATTTGCCCGCCATCTGCGATCTTCCCCTTTTGAAGGACGTATGCGACATCATCTACAACTGGGCCAACAACCACGAGCCTCTGGATGACTTGGATCAGGATGGCTTCTCCCCCCTGCACACCCTCCGTGGCGCTGATTGGCGTGGCAAGGATTGCGACGATACCAACAAGGATGTCCGCCCCGGCCGCCGCCCCATTGACTCGGATGCCAACCTGGACAGCAATTGCAACGGCATCTTTGGCATCGACCCCACCACCAACAAGGCTTACGAAGACCTCTTCTGCGCTGATACGCCCCACTACGGCATTGCCGTTCTTGGTGACTCGGCCTCGGCTCACTTTCACCTTCAGCCTCAGGTCCGTCTCCCTGCACCTTTGCTCCCTTGCCATATTGGCCTTGAAGTGGCCTTCGCCGCCAGCCTCCGCTGCCCCAATTGGCCGATCGCGTCCTTCCTTCAACCGCCATGTAAGTCAGGCAACTCACTTCGCGGTGCCTTATCCCGTAGTATCTGAACACGACTGCCTACTCCAACACCACGTTTGATCGCCTGCTGTTCTCGATCGAGAACGAGTTTGACTGGCCCATGATGTCGGCCTCCACTGCCTTTGCGGGCCCCAACGATTTTGCCCCCGACATCAGTGGCCCGGATAACTCCACTTACATGTACGCCCTTACATGCAGGCAGTGTTTTCTGGTTCGCCTTGCTTCTTTGGACCTGTTGACTCTTCTGCTTTTCGCTTGTTTGTCGTTGCAACCATTCACATCCTGCGTCGCCCCTTCCGCAGGGTCGCTCGCAACCGCAACCGTTGCATTCATCGTGACTTTCAGAACATTGCCGTCAACGGTGCTCGCGCAGGCTCCATGAACTCGACGATTGTCAAGACCTTGGCTCGTAACCAGCAGGAGGATTATCCCCTCTTTGTGGTCTATGCGCTCATCGGCAACGATGTTTGCAACGGCCACGAGGATACGCTCTCCCACATGACGACGCCGGCCGACATGTATGCCCAAGCCATGGGTGCCCTGGAGCAGCTCGAGCACACCCTGCCCAACGGCAGCCACGTCTTCTTCATGGGCTTGGCTGATGGCAGCATTCTCTACGGTGCGGCGTTGATAGTTTGCTGTGCTGGTTTGCGAGCCCTTGCTGAGGCTGCCCACATGCTTGTGCCCCCCCCTGTGTGCTTGCTTTGCCAGATACCATGGCCAACCGCACCCACCCCATCGGAGCCCTGCACAATGACGTCAAGACGAAGGACGTTTACGCTTTCCTCAACTGCCTGCAGATCTCGCCTTGCCGTGGCTGGATGAACAGCAACGGTACGTCACTTGTTGGGGTGACATCGCTTGCCGTGTAGTACTGTACATTTTGCTGGCGCGCCTGGACTTACAGCCACCCACCATGCCTGCCTGCACTGCGCGCGCCACTCCGTGCTGTTGACGACTCATGGCAGAGACGCTGCGCGCGCTGACGACTGATGTGAGTACGGTGCATTTGAACCAACTTCAAGCCTTGTCCCCCTCGCCCGTGCTCTCACTTGATGCTCTCTCTTCTTTGCAGCATGCCAACCTCCTAAGCTCAGTGCTGGAGAACATCACGAAAACCCAAACCTTCTCCAACTTTGATCTGCACTACTTCCCCAACCCTCTGACCGAAGGTGGGTCGCGGGCACGCTTGCTTGCTGCAACTCAATCACACTTGACTGTTCTGCTCGATGCATGTGGGCCAGGCCCACGCGCTTTTTGGATCGCTAAGCTCGTTCTGACGATGGTGTGCACTCTTTTTTTTCGAATTGTGGTGTGTAGCAATCAAGGAGTTTGTGGCCGCGGGCGGCCAAGCCTGGCAACTGATTGAGCCCGTGGATGGTTTCCACCCCTCGCAGCTGGCACAGCCCTTGATCACGGATCAGCTGTGGAAGTTTCTTTCGGCCAACTTCTCTGACATCATGCAGCCCATCAATCCCCACAATGCGGACATTGATAAGGTCTTCGGAGACCAAGGAGGCCATTAGGAAGCGAGTCGTCATACAAGGCAGAATCGTGCTTGTAGGCTTTGGCTTTAACCGGTAGTTGCAAACGCTTCTACAATTCCGCCTGGCTGCGTATGGACTCATTCTTTGTCAGATGGAAGGAGGCCTCGTCCCCTCACCTCATACAGTCAAGGCCATTCCTGCCTCGTGCCATTTGATTGATGATATCATCATGTATCCCTCAGGGATGCGAATGAATTGATTTTTACCCCTCACTCGTCGTCAACTTGAGCCACAGTTGAGGAAGAAAGAAAACCCGAATCAGACTAATCTGAATTCCAAACAGGGTTTCTAGAGAGGGGCGTCATCGTCGTCATCTAGGGCGGCGGTAGCGTGGCGCTTGGCGCTCTTGGATGTACTCTCAGTTTCAGGCCGCTTGGCGTGCCGACGCCGACGCCGATTTGCAGCGGCAGCCAGGGTCGACGGGCCGTCAGCGTCCAGGGAAAGGGCCAGGCTGGGATTGACGTCCGTGGTGGCCATGCTCATGGCGCCGGCAGGCCCGATTTGAGACCCGGTCGTTGGTTGTGCCGGCTGGGATACCGGCATGGAGGCTGGTAAAGGCTCGTCCGGAAGACTGGGGGGTGTCGCCAGGCTGCTTGGGCCTGCCACGCCTGTCAAAGCTTCCTTGATGTCGTGCTTAATCTTGTTGATGGCATTGACCACCTAGCCAAACGCATGTGAGACTGCGCGTTGCTGCAAGCACCAATCAGGCCGGTGTGGAGTCTGAGCAAACACACCGTTGACTTGATTTCGTCTAGCGGTCGGCGTTCAAAATTGAAATGGCATTGCTGGGTGGTCAAGTTTTGAAGTCGTTCCGTGTCTGCCTGCATTTGCTCAATCTCTCGCTCAACGTGCGTCACTGCACGCTACCGACATGCAAACCCGAGCCGTGGGAAGTGTGAGTCAAAGGCAGAAGGCCAGGCAAGCACGAGAGCAAGAAGAGGAGAGTTGCCTCTTGCTTACCTTGAGGGTATTTTGACGGTGCAAAAGACGGTCAACTAGTTCATGCATGCCCGAGGCTACGTCCGGCACCTCCGTCAGAGGAATCGCCCCCAGCTTCAGCTGTGCAGGTTCAAGCACCAAAGCAGTCATTAAACAGCACGCACCAGGCGCAAGGAAAGATTTATAGGGCACGGGCACGAGGCATCTTGAATCTGACACCAACCTTGATGCCGGGCACGGTCAGGTATGCAATCATGTGTTCTGAGGCGCTGTCCAGCTCGTAGTGGAACTCGCTCTGCTCCCGCTCCGAGTCGACCTCACCTGCACGCATGTGCCGGAATGCCGTCAAGAACCAGATGACGACAACGGAAGGTGTCACAAAGGAGCAGACCAATCAGACCTGAGAAGCAGCGGTGAAAGGTCGCATCAAACCTATCCCCCAGCTGGCTTGTTGCCTTGAGCGCAGCAATGTCCTCGCGATTTGCTGAACGGAAAGATTGATGGTGCATTCACGTTGCACACACATGCGGACCAGACGTGAGGCTACCCCAAGCAGGAGAGGCGAGGTCGCTGGGGAAGGATGGAGGGGCAGGTGGAGGATTACCTTGACCCCGCCAGACCCGAGTGCCGTCAGAGAGTAGGAGCTCGAGACCGAGATCACGGCGTTCGCGGTGATCCCTTCGACGAGCTCGGCGCGCAGGGGTATCCTCCTCGGGGTGGCGCCAGAGCGCAAGCACATGAACCGTCCGCTGATCCTCAAGCTCCAAGCTAAAAATGCGCTCTTCCTGCGCCGGGGTGTGGCCAGGTTTGCTTGCGCTGTGGCCTGTAGGGCCACTTGGGGCGTTGGCGGGGCCTGCTGCACTGGAGGTGCTCGTATCCAAGTCGGGCTGCGAAAACGAGAACGTGTCGGGAATGGACGACAGCGTGGTCGCCGAACCCGAAGCCAACGCCATGGTCTTATGAATGCTCCCGTGGGAATGAAGCGCGCCTTGCGCAGCGAGAGGGTGCACTCGAAGCTGACGGCCTCGCAGCTCAGGCTTGGTCTGGAGAGAGCGCTTGTGTCAGCCTTCTGCCATGTCAACCATGCTCAAACACCCAAAAGCTACCTTGAATCACCCTCCCGTCCGCCGCTCCGTTCCCCTCCCCCTCCCCTTCCGATCGTTTTCTCAGACCCAGTTCTCGGTCCCCGGTTGCACATGCACAAGCCCTGCTGCGTTCGATCCGATGACGATGATGATGATGTTGCACGCAAAGTCTCTCTAAACTCGACAACTTCTCTCTCAAACCAATTCTCTCTCTCTCTCTCTCTCTCTCTCTCTCTCTCTCTCTCTCTCTCTCTCTCTCTCTCTCTCTCTCTCTCTCTCTCTCTCTCTCTCTCTCTCTCTCTGTGTTACGCTTTCAAGAATGGAATGACTCCAGTGGTGATCACTCTACGATGCTGTTACGATGCTGTTACGACTTGATAAAGTGTCTTCCTCTTTGCTATTTTGCTGCTTGCTGCTGTACCGCTCAGCTGGCTGGCTGTAAGTTGAATGGGCCTTTGGGTTTGGCAGGCAGGCGTAGCCCACGGCACTGCTTGTTTGGATCAGCGGTGAATGGAGCTGAGGGAACGCCCGAGAGGATTGGGGAGTCTGTCCCCGCGCGTGTCTCCTCATCCCCGAATGCACTGCCAAAAGTTTTGTTGTTTGGTTTCCGACTTTAGAAGCTGCGCGTGCAATCTGAGGGTGTCAGGACACTGACATCCCGCCCTCCCTCTGCTGAGCCCGTGGCTGGTGAGGTGAGTTTGCGTGCCTGCACCGCTCTCAGTCATATGACATCGCAATGCCTCCTTTTTTCCACTTTGCAACGAGCTTTGTTGCACTTTTCCTGAGGCTGCCATATTGAAGCTTGCCCTTACTGTGATGGCCGCGACACCACAAACCCCTGCCATGGCAGAAGCCCCATCGCCTGCCGTCACCGGCAACATGCCACGCGCCACAAAATCGCTCAAGCACATCTTTCACCTGAACCGCAAGCACGCTCAAACGCATGCCGATGACTTTATTCAGGCCGATAGCAATCAGCGCGGGTACGCCGAACGCACCTGGAGCCTTCCGGCCGCAGCTTCTGCGCCGCCAAGATCTCATGCTCGTGGGCACTTTTCGCCCCCCAATGGGTGCTTGTAGCCCTGGATTAGGCAACGAGGATGGTTTTTTCAAACAGATTGAAGACGCTGCTGCCGCTGCCGATGCCGTTGATATCAAGCCCGAGGACGCTGACCTCACAGCTCACAAAGTCCAGTCTGCTCTTGATGACGAACGCAAAATTCGGTATGCTTCTCCCTATCTTTTATCTGTTATCTGCCTCCGTCCCGCGCCCCGCGGCGTGTCTCTGTGCTGGCCCTATCATACCATGCCTTCCCAACCGCCTTTGGCCCTCACGTTCAGCACTCGCCCGTATCCAACACAACAGCAAAGCCGATCAAGGCGGTCGTGCCAACGTTGGTGGTGCAGTGACGGCTCATTTGCTGGCCTCTCCCAAAATCGATGATGTATGTTGAGCAATCTCTTTGGGCTTGGCAGCTCTGTGCGCCGGTGGATGTCTGACTTTCTTGTCGTGCTTTTCAAGGACCTGAACGAGCAAGCCTACGTCTCCGTGCTAAGCGTCATCTTGAACCAAATTGGTGGCTACCAAGACAAGGTGGGCGTCACCACACCGACTTGTTTAACGCAAGCCACCTCGTCCCAGCTGTCCCGTGCCTCGCGCTACAGCATCCACTTACCCAACCGGCATCACTTGGCTCGTGGCACACAGCGCATGTCTCAGGAGAGCTTGATCAAGTATGCGCGAGAAGCCTATGGAATCACTAGCGATGCCAAGCACCAGGAGTTGTTGGAGCGTGTACGTCACCCCTGACGCTCAATCACTTGCACTTAAGTCTATTTAACCCACCGAATCATGCCCAGGCCTGAGGTGTCCGCTCGGCATTGCCTTTTCCTTGACAGCTCGGCCGCTTGCTGCCTGTTGTACTAGGCTGAACAACTGGCGCCTTCCTCGCGAAAGTTTCTCCGTGTGGTGTTGCAACGCGCGGAAGGCCTTTTGGCCAAAGATGCTGGCAACACCTCGGATCCATTTGTCATCTTTCGCATCGTACGCTCGGCTCTGGCCTCGCTCGCCGCCCGTGACACAACGACAAGGCTTGGCGCTACCGCGCTTTGACTGTAACCCCGTCCTCATGCGATCGATGCGCCACCCTTTTTGCTCGCACTTCAACACAATGCTGTTGCTTTTTTTCTGTTCAGTATGACATTGGGGCCAGTGACAAGTCAATGCATCACGTGCAGGACAAGCATGCATCGGAACATCAACAGCAAATCTCAACAGTCAAACACAAAACATGCGACCCTGAGTGGAACGAAGGTTCGCGTCCTCCCACGCTCACGCCCGTTTGCTAGCGGTGCCCGCTTCACAGGGTATCTCACACTCTTGCGCCCGCAAACTTTGCATCTGCAGTTTTTGAGTTTGAAGTTCCAGACCCCGAATGTATTCTGGTCCTAGACGCCTGGGACGACGACGGCGATAACAGCGTCATCAAAGACCTGACCAAGGTTTGTTTGCTTTCTTCATCTACTGATGCCCCAGCAATCAAGCGTTTCGGCCCGTACCCATGCTCATCACATCGCTTTTGCTTGAAATAGATTCGGAAGATGTCACATTTTGCACGAGCCATGCGAGAGGGCTTGCATGCCATCTCGGGCAAGAGTGCCGACGGCGCCGCTGACTTTTTGGGATGTATGTTCTTTTGTCTTGGCATGGCATTTTCAAACGCCTTGGCCCAAGAATGGATAATGCTAATCTCTGCACCGCACGTCGCCACTAGGCGTGGATGTGCCAGTGATTGCCATGCCTGCCAACGGCACTGAGTACGTATTTGTGCTTTTGACATGACCATCTGCTGGTCAAAATATTCGGGGGTAGGGTGGAAACGGCGGCCCGTACGCGCTGGTTGGTTTGCCTCACGCTGGGTGTGCTGGGGCGCGTGCTACAGCCAAGAGTTCCCGCTGCAGAAACGCTCCGAAAAGTCAAGCGTGGCCGGAAAGATTTTCCTCAAGTACGTGGCACACTTGACACGAGCTGACTTGAATGTGCAGACGCACTCAACTTGCTCACCAATGCCCCTTCTCACCTACCTCGATCGTTCAGTATCTCCTGGTTCACAAAACCGCTTCAGCCTGCCGACGAGGGCTATCCCCGAACCTTTGAGCTGGTTCAGCTTCATTATTCGCTGATGCAAAAGCTCATCCTCATTGAAGCCAAGGACACATTGGGTAAGTTGAAGCTCGACCTGGTGCTAGGTGCGTGTAAGCACGAAACCCTCACGCTGGTGCTGCTAATTCTGGCCACAAACTGCCACGCCAGGCGACGTGACGAATGCTTGGGATGGCCGGTTTTCTGTCCAAAGCCAAACCATCTTGGATCAGCATGCACTACAAATTGCGCTCACAGATGTTCAGCGTGTAAGTTTGTTCAGCTAAGCGGAGCGGTGGGGACATGGTGTGGCCCATTTGTTTTATTTTGTTTTTTTGTTTTTTGTTTTTTGTTGATTGCTCTGATACGCCTGTTCGACCTCCACCTTAGGCCGTCACACTCTTTCGCTGTTTGATCGACCACCACGTCTGTGAAGGCGTCTACATCTCTGCCATCAGTGATGCCCTCAAGGTACGTTTCGACCTTGGCCTCGTCGCAAAGGGCAAGGCTTGTTCGGGTGCCAAATGTTAATGGCAGAAATGACACTATGAAGAACCGACTTCAAGCTAATGAACCCAGTGGAGACGTCGCAGCATTGACTCGCCTGATGGTGTGTTTTGTGCTTGTTTCTCTGCTTATTTGCAACTTGTAGCGCGTGGCCAAGACCATCCCGCCGCAGGCCGATGAGCGTGCTGGACTGGCGCCAGAAGAGGCGCTATGTTTTGCCGACGCGGTTGAAAACATGATCGTTTCTGGACTGGAAACCATTGGTGGGGCATACCCGCGCTGCAGCAACAGGCTTGAAAGAGTCAACCGTGCCCTCATTATGCCGTTTCTACCCCACGATACCCCGGCTCTTTCTAGGCAATGTTTTTGACGTCATCGAGCCTTCAGAAGACGGTGCCGTGTACATGCTTTCGGTCATCACCGTGTTGCGCCTTTGCTTCACGATGCCGCCGTGGCTGGCCAAGGGCACCAATAGCGAGCGCCGTTTAGCCAATGAGGTAGAGGGCGTATTCTTCAAGTATTGTCAAGAATACTACGACCGTCAGAAACAGGAATTGCACGACGATGACAAGTTTGTTGGCAAGGACGTCGTTCAGACCGTCAAACTCATGCGTCGTATCATGGAGAAGCTTTCCTTCCTCCACAAATACTGCAGGTGGGTCACACCGTGCCTAGACTTCTCGCCACTGGGTCAGACCACAACGGTCAGAGCTCATTTGCCGGCCGGCACCGACTTCCCTGTGTTCTGTGTCGGCATCCTGCGTGTGCCTAGCGTGGCCTTTGAACCGCTGGGATTGAACGTGATTGCCTTGGCCATCAAGGCCTGGGATGCCTTGCTAGTGAAGGATATCAAGGTGCGCAGATCCCTCGCTTGGTTCATACTCGCCATCAAATTGTGACCTATCTGCACCACCTCTTTGCCGGGAAAGTCAGGAGAACAACCTTCAGCTTTTCTCTCACCTTTGGACTGCTGTTGACTGCTGTTGGCTGCTTTCTCCTGTGTTGCAGCAAGTTGCGGAGGCATGGACTGGCACCACCTCGACCATTGTCGATGAGAGTGAGGACATCAGTGCTTACGGCATTATCTTCGAGCTCTATTTCTCGACCAAGAAACTGCGTGACACGATGGAAAACTTGATGGATGATGAGGATGTTGATCAGCTGGAGATCACCAATCTCAATGCCGTCTTTCAGCCCGTGATCCTGCATTGGATCTCACTGACTCAAGTGATGGGTGTCAAGTGGATTCAGAAGGTGAGCTCAATCAGACAGCTGGCTTCGACCTATTTTTGCCGATACAGAAAGCCAAACGGGCCCAGTGGGCATGGGCTCAGCCGCATATTACCCTCACTGCCAACTCCTGCTGGCTTGGCAGGCCATTGAGTACGACAAACTGACCCGCGTGACCGCCGAATCCATGTTTTCGTCAAGCGTGCTTGACATTTTCCGTCTATTGAATGACATTTGGAGCGTAAGAGGACGTCCGACCTCGTGCACCTCGCTGGCCCTGGTCTATTTGTTACCGTCTAGTTTGTGCTCATCACCATGATCACTACACATATTGGCAGTTGTGGACGCGTTTGGATTGGCCACAACAAGACATGGCCGAGATTTTCATGACCATGCTGGGTGACTCCATGTGCAACTGTGCGCTTGCATACTTACGCGGATTACAAGCTGAGATCAAGCGCCAGGTGTGTGCCTTGACCTGCAGATGCTTTGTAAAACTGCCGAACACGTTTTGCACCATCAAAGCTGACATCGTGCGTGATGTACATGCATACATCAGGGCTATTTTGACATTGAGGGGCAGTTTGACATTTCCGACAAGCTGTGCATCGCTCTGAATGACATTCAGGAAACCGCCTACAAGCTTTCCGATATTGCGCGATTGATGAAAGTGGACCAGCTCAACGAGCGTCACCGAGCAGAGCTGCTGGCCAGCGCGCCGACTCGCAAACTGACCGCCCACGA